GGGATGATACAAAGAAATAAATACCAGGGAGATCGACATGGAGGGCTGTCTCGGAGACTGGCTACCATATTTAGCCACTGGATCGGTGGCTGCCTATGGATGAGTAGTAGCTGTTGGAATTAGATAAGAGAACTCACGGTGAACAAGAAGTAAGGTGGTCTGAAAAAGTGTGGGGCACTGGAGTCAAAGAGGGCCTTAATGGGCTCAGCTTGATCTGTTACAAGGTGTAGGATGTGGAGAGAATAACCCTAAGTGAGGTTATAAAGGTGAGAGACAAAAGGAGGGTGGGCCCTTTCATTTGGTGACTCTTTTCTCTGAAGAAAATGTATCCAACTGCGTTCTATCATCAACACTCGGTTTTCTTTTTTGGTCTCAATATTTCCTACTTCCTCCACACCCTCTACTCAGAAATCCTCTCCTGTCCCATTAATGATTTATAATATGAAGTGGCCTTTTAGAACATGCTATTCTAAGCCACTACCCTGGTGACTTACAAGAATAGTTTGAACAACAGCTTTCTTCTTTATCGTTCTTCAGTTACCATTTGGGACTTAGAAATACAAATTCGTCCACCCTTGGATCTGAAGCACTGTGTTCTCTGCCTCTTCTCTTTCGTGTTTTCAGGTAATCTCCCCCATCTGCCATTTGCCTGGTTGCCATTTTAGCCAGTCTTACCTCATCACCCTGTGAGAAAGATAAAATCAGACATGAGTCAGCCTAAGTTCTTCACTTACACTTATTTCTATCTTGTACCTTTGTCCTTTGCCAGAATGTAAAGTGGTATATAAACAAGAGTGAAAATGTGTGAACCAGGCTACAAATTCTTCAAGAGTTTTTAAAATGGAGAATCGACTACAGAAAAAGTAGCTGGAGAAGGTATTATAGGGAAGGTAAGACTTCAGCCTGGCTTGGTATCTCTCTCTCTTTTTCCTAATGATCCCAACACAAGTTCCCATCTCTGCAATTTACTAGTTGTGTTCCCTGAGACACATCACTATATTTCTCTGAGGCTCAATTTTTTCCTCAGTCATCTGAGGGTAATAACATCCTTCAGATTGGTTGCGAAGATTAAAGACAGTTTATGGAAGTTAATCATTGCAGTAACTGATACATGTTAGGAGTTAATATGTATGTTATCATTATGTGGATAAGATCAATAAAAGTTGGGCCAATGTCCTCCTCGTATAGCACATGTTAAAATGCACTGGAGTTTGTAGGTCTTGTTGAGATGGTGAATTAACATTTATGACTTTTTTTGGAATTACTACACCAATCCCTGGGAGGTAAGAAAATGCTTCAACAACATCTTGCATAACAGTCAGAGTGAGGAGGACCTTTTACAGTTTATGAGATAAAAAGGTAAAGTACACATAATCTGCTAACGGCAATTGATGCCATAAAGGAGAGAAAAAAAATTCAGTGCCCTCCAAAAAAGACCTGGTCTGTGGGAACCTTTTGGTGCTCCTTTGCTCACTAAGAATAGCAGACTGTCAAGATATAGCAATTGGACTTTTAAGAGGTCAGTCATCTAACCCCAGACTTTTCATTGACAGTAAAACAGAGAAACAAAAGAAGTGGATGCAAAATTCTGCTGGGCTCAACGAGAAAGACGTTCTTCCATCCTAAGAGTCATGAGACTCCTAAGCAGGCAGGAAGAACTGTATTAAATACTGATTGCTACAATCCTATACACATGTTAAAAATAAAGAGTAGATGATGATGAATATGTCTTAAACCTGTAATAATAATAGTGAACATTTTCAGATTCATGCTATTTCAGGTTCAAGTCAGGGCCAAGGACTTTATGCATGTTTCATTTTATCTCCCATCAGCTCTATGAGGCGTCTTATTATTTGATTTCACAGATGACAAAATTGAGGTTCCAAGGTTTCAGTAAGTTGTCCAAGATCACATAGCAAGTTAGAGCCAGAATTTGAATTCAAGCTTGCCTCACTCCAAACCATACTTTTTAAAAAATGAAATATTTCAAACTTTTAGGAAAGTAGAGACTAACCTATCAAATACCAGTATGGCTACCACTAGCTTTACTGAATTATTTGTGAGATAGCGCTAAACTGACTTCAAATGTTCCTTTAAAACAAGGCAATGGATAGAGGGGAAGTACTCTGTATACCTCTACCTCCCAATTCTCTATTCCCTTCTGAGATAAAACTACTGTCCTGATTTAGTATTTACTTTTCACCACCATAGTTTTACATTATTACTACCAATGTAAATATCTATAGACAATAACATTGCCCTGTATGTTTTTAAACTTACGTAAATTCTATCATGCTCTATGTGTGATTCTGTAAGCTTGTTTTGTCAGCCAACACTGCATTCCATTATATGCATATACAAAGTGTATTTGTAGTTTTTCTCTTGTTTCAGGTTGCTGCCAAATTTTTGCTCTCAACAAATAATGCTACAAAGAGCATTTCTACACTAGTCTTCTTAGGCATAAGTGTAAAATTTTTTCTGGAATACATACCTGGAGATTTCACTTTTCCATTTTTCTCTACCAGGCCTCTGCAGTCTGTGTGAATTCCTGATGGGATTCCTGTTGGAATACCAGGGTCTTGGATGTGAGATAAAAGTACAGGATTGTGAAGTCACTTGGAAGAGGAATTTTAATTTGCAGCTAAAGCAGTGGCTCTTGGGCAGAAGGTAAGAAGAGAGTGGTTTCCCCTTCCACCTCATCAGCTGACAAACTAATTTCAAGCTGGACTTAGGGGTGTTGGTAGAGGGAAGTAACATGAATGGTCCAGGTGAAACAAGAACACTTGGAAGATGTTGTCCAGTGCTTTAAATCAATGTTTTTTAAACCATGTGTCTGAGGACCCCGGGCTTCCCATTGAGCCTCCTCAGGGACCACCTGGGGATGCCTGTCAGCGAGACAGGCAAACAGCAGGGCTGCCCCACACTGTTTTACACACGTTTTGTGTAAGATTTTGTTTCAATAAACTTTTTTGTAGCTCAATGGCTTTTAAAATTTATATAAATATACAGGAAGACAAGTGACTAACGAGAGATAGATACTTATAAGATGCCCAGCTGGGTATAGTTTATGCCCCAAATTCCCTTTCATTCAGTGTTATGGTCAGAAAACTGAGTGCACTGCATTCAGCAGTGCTGGTAGCAGTAACCATATGTAAACCATGTTTCTGATAACACACCAATTAAGGATGTAAGCAGACTAATACTAGTAGTAATAGTACTTGGTTGACCGGTTGTTCTAGGAGCACCTTTATGTGATGGTGACTTCAGAGAGTAATAACAAGTAATTCAGCTTCTTGTTTGCGATGAGAAGGGGAACATTGAGGCTGGAGAATCAGGTGGGACCCAGATCAGGAGGTGGCCTTATAAACCAAGTGGAATCATTTGGGCTCAATCCTAAGGGTAGAATTGAGGCAGCATTAGCAGGAATTTCAAGTGACAACCAAAGTTTCTGCCAGACCTCGCTTATCCTCTTTTAGAGATGCAGGTTTATGTAAAAGCCAAAAACTCCCCAAAGGAACAGTTTAAAATGTAAAGAAGAATCCATCTCGTAGCCATGTTTAAAAGGCAGATGGAAATGTCAGTAGAATGTCGTTGAGAATCTGTGAATTGTTGAACTTCGGTTCTACAAAGGACCTTTGAGATCCATCATTTTTTGAAAAGTTTTCTACCAGAAAATCCAATATCACTTATCAATATTGACTTTATAATACCAGCCAATAAACTTGAGCTTAACATACAATTTTATCCATGAAATTTGAGTATTCTCACTTTCTCCTAATATCTCTTCCCGAAAATGATGGCAAGAGTACTTTGTTTGTTTTAACTTGACCCATCTTTCACAACCCAGTTTAATCATTTTACAGGTTTTATTTTGAAACAAGTGGGCTAGATGGTCAAACAATGGTGGCATAGTTTTACCATTTTAATAACGTATGCATGAGACGTCTTCAGTGAAATTTGTGTATCAAATTTCCTTTGTGTGCCTTTTTTCCCTAATGAATTCCGTACTAAAGTATTGGTAAAATAGAAACTTATAAATTCAAAGCAAGGAATACCAATGTGATGATAAAACGTCTGAATTATAGAATAATGTTTAGAGAAATCTGTTTTATTATTTTAAAACAGGGGACTTAATTATGTACTAAGGTAGACGTGAGTGCTAATAAAAGAAAAGTAGTAAAGAAAAAGTTTTCTAGTAAACATAAAACATCATAAAATCTTAAAGGTAAAATTGTATTTTACTCTAAATTAATTACTAGACTCATTTGTTATAGAAGGTTTTGGTTTTCTTGAGCTTTTATGTTAAGATCCTCACTGAAAAGTATAACATGAGTTTATTTCTTAGAAAAGAAAGATATTCTTGTCTGAATGGATATAAATTTTGTATCTGTGGTGTATGAATTAATAGTTATTCAAGGATATTCATTCCCTACTAAATTCTAAAGTATTTGACTAGTTACTTATTTTCTAAAGAAAGATGCTGTCAGGCTCAACATGCTGTTTTCTTTCATGGCCTGTCACAATCTCTCCTCTACCTAATATTCAGCTTCTTCTCTATACTGGGAGAGACCAAGGAACTGTTCCATAGACCTCCTTTGCAGATTCAGCTTACCCTTAGGCCATTGCCAGTGCCAACAACCCTATTGCTCAGGACTTCTCTAGAAAGACTACGGTAGTGAGTCCTGTCTAAACCAAATGCTCACAGACAATATAAGGTCAGAGTAGTTGCCCTGGTCAGGAGAGCAAAGGCCAAAGGCAATGCGACCTACTGGTTTCTTGTTTCAAGTTTCTCCTTGTAGTGCCAAACTTTCATGTTAGAATTCCTTTATTTGTTTTCACTGGAATTAATTCTCTAGGTATAAATCCCTGTACAATATCTCCCACCATCATATCTGGGCATTAAAGGTCGTTTCCGTTCCCGTATTATTTTTCCTACTTAGAAGTCCCTCTTTCTGAGGTTAATAATTAACCAGTAAACCAATTTACTCAAATTCTTTAAGCTTGGTTCATTTAAAAGGAGAGTAAATTCAAAAAGATTATACCCTTATACCCCTGGTTTACTGCAGTCTCCAGCCATGGGCCTTTGGGGCATACTTTGTTTTTTAATCTTCCTGGGGAAAAGTTGGGGACAGGAACAAACGTAAGTAAAAGAACCCATCTTTATTTTTCAACATATCTTAGTTGTGGTGAGTGAAAAGTAAATTCAATTATCTTTGTTCATTTGAAAATTATACTTTTGAGAATACCAAGTAAATAGTCTCATCTCTGAAGGAGAAAGTCATGTAAGTATTTTGATATGATGAATAGCTAAATAACATGGCAGCTTTTATGGGGTAGTTATTTTATTACAGAAGTGATTATTCAAATTCCTCTTTGAAAAAACAATATAAACTCTAGATAACAAACATTCTTGTCATTTATTGCTTACTTATATTTAGTAAGCAATCATTTTCTCTGTGCATCATTTTCTTAGTGCATCGTTTTCTCTGTGTTTTCTATATACTGCACATAATAAAGCAATGGTTACTTGGGGGTTAATTCTAATATAGTGATTTGAAAAACGTGTTGTAATTACTTTTATGTTTATGAGCTCATTCTTCACAGTGTTTAGTGTTATTATTAAAATACTGTGCATTAAAAAAATACTGTGTGTTTTAAATTGTGTCTTAAAATAGTGGGCTCATATTTAGAAATAACATTATTACCAGACAGGAACCAGCCTGGAGCATGTCTTCCTCAGGCTGGCCTCTGGTTTATGAGTTGACTTTGAATAGGAAAGATTTCACAACACAAGTCCAGGTGATTTTAATAATACATTTATTAAGGTTGGGAACAGTGAAACAAAGGAAGGACTTAAGATAGAAGTAGCAGGAGAGAGCCTGGGCAGTACTCTGCTGGCTCCCTAGAACAGTTAAAGGAAAGGAGTAAGCCAAAATGGTATTTTGCTATTAACTCACCTGGAAGTCAGGAAAAGGGGGCCTTGGAGACAGGATCAGGGCGTAAGCCTGGGTTGAGTTGCTGCTGCCCACTGCTCACCTTGTTGAAAGTCTCCTTAGGACACTTAGAATTTAGGAGGAAACAAAATGTTCATGCCCAGGAAGGGGGATCAGTGTGCCCTAGGGTGAGCCGGTGCTACCTCTTCATTCTGAGGGCTTTTTATCTTTTTTCCTGTCGGTAAGATTTGTAAGAGGGGGCTTTAGCAGAATTACTCAATCGTTTTTCAGTTGCATTCTGTAAATATGCTGACGTATCACAATGAGCATGTAGGGGCTTTGGAAATACTTTTTGGTCCAGCTTTTAATGGAGTTTTTGTTATCTGTTCCCTGACTTCGTTTGTCCTTGGCACAAATGACATTAATCAGCTCTTTGTTCTTTATTTCCCAGGCAAGGAAGATTTTCGCTATGTATTCTCTGGTTAGGGAGGAGAGATAAAAGCCACTCACTCTTAAGTGTCCTTGGTTAGAGGAGATAAATTCTTGCTGGCTGTAAGTTGCTTACACTGTTTGGTTTTCTTATCTCAGTTTCCCCATCCTACTTGCCCAGGAATTTTCCTAGTTTCTTACTATCCCGCCTTAACATTCTTGAAAAGGCACTGAAGAGTATCTAGTGAAACCTGCTCATTTCCCATATGAGGGTAAGTGCAGACAGAGGAGGTGACTTGCCAAAGGTCATGCTGCTGAAGAGAGACAGAAGCTGGGCTAGTATGGAGGACTCCTCTTTACTATTTCAGTTTTTCTCCAGTTTGTCATAAATGTATACATATAAATATATAAATTGTGAACATAAATGTATACTTAGAATGTCATAAACCTGATTTTCTTACATTGCTACACTCACCCCAGTACCTTTAGTAGTTTTTATTTATTCCTGTTTGAAAGACAAGTGGCTGCAGTTCAAAGAGATTGAGCTTAAGTTGTACAACTAGGACTATAACTAGAACCTAGGTCCCCTGATTCTGAATTGTTTCTACTACATTTGTACTTGCTCTTAATAAACATTGCCTTTCCTTCTCTCAAAAAAGTGAAAGTGTAGCATTTATAATGTGAACAATTAATAAATTTAATTAACTGATTGATTCAGTAAAAATTTATTGAGTGCCTACCATGTGATAGGCACTGGGGATATAGTAGGTGGTACAGAGCTTGCATCTAGTGGGAGAAGCAAATAATGAATGAGTGAATTAACCAGTGAATGAGTGAATGAATGAGCCAATGAATGAATGAATAAATAAACTCAGGTAGTTATTAATGCCAGGAAAGAAAAAAGTAGAGTAGTAGAATAAAGAAATGATGGGGCACTGTTTAAAAATGTGGACAGATAAGTCCTTTAAAGCACTCATACAGAGCTTGAAAGAGGCAAGGGAGCAAGCTTTGCAAATATCTGGGGAAACATTTCAGGTAGAGGCTAAAGTGACATTTTTGTCCCCCTGCAAGCTCAGTGGCCTATTCCTCTGCAACTATTGAAAGAAAATAAGAAAAGTATGAAATTCTTTAGATTAGATTGTGCTACTGATAAATCAGCAAGGACCAAAGTCTGTATGAAGAGTGGTCCCAGAGCAATCTTTTAGGGACTTGGAAACTGAATAATTTATGTTTCATCACCACTACCATATTCACAATTTAAAATTAAAACAATCTTAAACCAAAAATATAAAAGTTCTAAGTATACTGAAATTAAAATACTTCCCTCCCCCAGATTAGCAAAAGTGTAAATTCAGTGTAGTACAGCAATTGAAAGTGTCAATTCAGGAAACAGGATGTTTGGGATCAGTTCCTAATTCTGTAACTTATAAACTGTGTGACCTTAGGCAAGTTAATTATCTGTTTTCTCATCTGTAAAATGGGTTAATAATAAGCCCTTCCTCACAGAGTGGTTGTAGCACCACAGTGAGTTTATAAAGTGCTTAAAACTGTGCTGAACACATTGCAAAGTCTCTGTAAATGTATCTTATTATCATCAAAGCTAAAGTTTTCTCATGTTCTGCCATTCCTGGATAAGCACATGGGGAAATCAGATGATGCTTGGAAATCCGGAGGTCCTTTCCTCTCTTTCACAATTTGCCTGCAAATGGTTCCAAATTAGTTGTCATATAGAACTGCCAAGTGCTTTAAAGGATTTAATTGCTCCCAAATGAATTTCATTGTTTTTAAAGACTTAGTGATTTGAAAAGATTTATTAAATGTCAAAATGTTGACAGGAGCCTACGATAAGTCTACCTGTTGTCATGATGGGCTAACTGTTCGGCCTCTTGAATTAGGCAATCATTATGACCTTTGGGTTGAAACACTTTTTTTTCTGTGTCATAGCATAAGTACAACAGCTCTCACTATTCAAATGATACACTTTGTGATAATATAATTAATAACCTAGATTATATTTGTAGGTTTTCTTTTAATAAACAATGAAAAAGCCCTGGCTTGTGTAGCTCAGTGGATGGAGTGTGGGCCTGGGAACCAAACAACCACAGTTCCATTCCCAGTCAGGGCACATGCCTGGGTTACAGGCCAGTTCCCAGCAGGAAATGCACAAGAGGCAACCATACATTGATATTTCTCTCCCTCTCTCCTTCCCTTCCCCTCTAAAGATAAATAAATAAAATCTTTAAAACAATGAAAAAAATCACACATTTAAAAATTTCATTTCAAAAAACATATAGATTCATTTTCATTCTTGTATAAATCACATGCAAAACCAAACTCCGGGAACAGCCTGCGGCTGTGAACAAAGCTTGTAACTTTGACCTCAATTTAACCCATGACAACAAAGAGAGACCTGAGTATCAAGTCCTTACTTATTCTAAGTCAGGTGACTTTAGTCAAATTAACTTCTTATCACTTGTATGATAAGAAAACAATAGTACCTAGTCATTGGGCTGATGTAAAGATTGAAAGACTTACAAAGCGCTCCTATTCACTCTCACACATAAGTATTCATCACTGTTGTTATTATTGTATGATAATAATCACTTGCTGTCTAAGGTTCCAGAACTACTTCAATTTTCTAATGCATTCCCCCAAGATCACTTTTATTCTAGCCTTTTAAAAAATCTACTCACTAGTATAACAAATATTTGTAAGGTTATTTCCTTTCTAATAATTTAGTGAAATTAATGAACCTTAACATTTACTGAGTACTAAGCATGCTAAGTGCTTTCATTTATGTAGTCTCATTTCATCCTTACCTCAGCCTGGTAAAGAAGGTAATATTTTCACGGTTATTGAGGTCTCAGAGAAGGGTCAGTGATTCATCATGGTAACTCAGGCAGTAGATGGCACAGCTAGAATTGAATCACTGGTTACTATGTTGTTTTTTTAGTTCATTGGGTCAAAGTAGTGATCCTCTGTACATGTTGTAGTCAACATCGTTAAGTCTTCCTGTGCTGCAGTAGCTCAGGGAAGGTACTAGTACTGCCTTTCTAAATGTTCAATAAATTTCCAGTGCTATTTTTCATCCTAATTTCAAGCTATTTCTTCCTTCTTAGAAACTATGTTGAAATTAGCATAGCTCACAAATAAATTTTAATTAAAATTATTTTTCAGTTGAGAAAATGTGCCTATTTTAAATTGAATATATCAAGTGAGATAAAAAATCAGAAACTTAACAACATATGTTATATAGAGCTAGTTACTAATCCTTCTCTTTTCCTGTTTCAACAGGTATGTCATATCAGCACCAAAAGTACTTCGTGTTGGAGCATCTGAAAATATTGTAATTCAAGTTTATGGATACACTGAAGCATTTGATGCAGTAATCTCCATTAAAAGTTACCCTGGTAAAGAATTTAGTTATGCTTCGGAACCTGTTACTTTATCCACAGAAAATAAATTCCAAAACTCTGCAATCTTAACAGTATGTATTTGTCCTTTATTTTCTTTATATATATATATATATATAGAATATCCTCAATAAAATGTGTTCAGAGTTTGAATATTGAAAACATAGAGACTTGGTCATTTATACCATTATACTTCTGCGATTGTTCGCTAATGTATGTCAGTCACTAATTATAACGTGAAGGGAACAGAAAACTCTAACTAGGAGAGTTGTGTCTGTTTTTTGAGCAATGCATGTAAATTGTAACATTCTTATTAGAAAATAAAATTGTACTGATACGCAAATATTTGAAAATGAATTGAGAATACTTATTTTCTGTCAAAATTATCATTATAAAGAAAGAAAAATATGAATATGCATGTTGATCTGTAATGCATTGCCTACAGGAAGCCTTGGGTGCTATTGAACATTTGTTTGTTTAAATGCTAATATTCTACAATTATAGTTTCTAAGAATAAATTATTGATTACTGAAAATAGCTCTCATTTACAACTTGTGGTTAATAGGAAGAAACAACCTTGATCAAATAACTTTTTCTTCTATTAAGATATTATAGTGTAGCAAGGTCAGAAACCCATTTCTCATTAAAAAGTTCTAATAACTAAAAATAATTTTCCATACTTAGTATTTATTCACCCAAGTGAATGAATACATATAATGAAATATTATTTTAAATTCTAAGAAATTAAAATTTGAAATTTTATAGTTTAAAATTATAATTATATTGATTTTTAACATTTTTAGTTTATTTTGATTTTAGAATTATATAGAAGTCATAGACATAAGATTATATCTAGTTTTAGGTTTGTACATATTTAAGTAACATTGTAATCAAAATAATAAAGGAGGACCTCCTTTTGTCCATTAAAAGAGGTAATATATATATACTCATATTATTCAGTTTTGAGAAATTGATCTAAATAAATTCAACCAAATGTAGGAATTCTTTTATTAGTGTTTTTGGTGGTATATACTCTAATTAATCTCTTAACAAATATTTACACTTATTAGGGTTTATTAAGAATTAAACTTCAAAAAAAAATTAAACTTCATCTCCCAAAAGTATTATTTTCAGCAGACACTTACCTTATGTGACTCAAGGTAGCCACTAGCCACATGCAGTTGTTAGTTTTCTATTTAAATCAATCAGATTTAATGAAAATAAAAAATTTAGTTCCTCAGTCATGTGAACCACATATCAAGTGCTCCAATAGCCACATGTGACTGGTGGCCATGGCACTGGATGGCAGAGATAATAAAACATTTTCATTGTCACAGAGAGCTCTGTTTGAACAGTGCCAACTTAGATGGTTAATTGGAAAAATAGGTGATTAAGGTGGAGAAATCACAAAAATTGATGCATATCTTAAGCATTTAATTTTACCTTAACATTATAATGTAGCTTTATTTGCCAGTTGTTTGATACTGTGCCAAGGTCTTGTCTTTAAGTGCAGGCCCACTGACTGGAACGTCAAATCTTACTTAGTAGGTGTCCTACCTTTAACACATCATCTTTGTTCTACAGTTTATGTTTCTTTAAAGGGGAGAAAGAACTTAAAGACGCTTGCAAAGAATCTGAGTGCAGAATCTTTACAGAGTTTTTCTGTTTTTCCAACTTTTACAGTATTCACATATCTAATTCCACAGCAGTTGATTTGAGTGATTGATTTTTATCCTGTATCCAAAGCCCAAGTTTTCAGAGAAGCAGTTATCTTTCTTTTATTACTTTTCATATAACATGCCATATAAAGCAGATATAAATTTGCCATATATGTCATTTAAATGCCATATAAATTTGCATAACATGCCATATAAAGCAGATAATTACAATCACTTATGCATTTTGGAAAGTGCGCAGCTCAACCAGTGGGAGCAGAAGGATGTAGCTGTGATGCAGTGTGCTGCCCACCAGTCAAGGTGTCGAGGGGAGGGAATGGAGGCCATGGGCTAACCCAGCAAGCTGAGGAACTGAAAGTTTATGAAGACAGCTTCTGTAGCTTAAATAGTTTTTATTAGATGCCTATGGTATTTAGAAAACACTTTACATTTTGGTTAAGGTATTTAACACTGAAGGGCTTTGGGCAAAATTTATTTACTATTCTGGCTCCCCTAGTACTTTTTAAATGATTTAAATGCACACACTTATTTTTTCTTCTAATGAGATTACAGTGGTATGTAGAAAGCCAACATGTTTTATAACCTTAACATTAATATACTCTTTTTTGTCAACATTTTCTGTTACAGATACAACCCAAACAGTTGTCTGGAAGACAAAATGTGGTTTCACATGTGTATTTGGAAGTTGTATCAAAGCATTTTTCAAAATCAAAAAAAATGCCAATAAGCAAGGACAATGGATATCTCTTCATTCAAACAGATAAGCCTGTTTACACTCCAGAACAGTCAGGTAGAGTATAAGATGCTTCTTTCCCTGGGGAGCACAACTGACTCTGTACCATAGAGCTTTTCAACACTTGAAATTAACTGGAGACAGGTTTTCAATTTGTTTAAAAGAGTCTCAATTCCCAATGACTTTTACACTTATAAATACCATGGTAATTTTAAATGTAGAAGGTAATTGCTAAATAAACAATCAAAATTAAAATTTGATTTTAAATGCATAGGTAAATTGCAAAATCAACAATTGCATAATCTGACTCATCAGTTATTTCCACAAAGAAAAGTGTTTTTTAAAAATTGTGAAATGTGTTATATTTTATTTATTAAACAAATATGAGATGTAATTGACACTATAATTTTTGCAATGGGAAAATAACTTATTATAGAGGCACATTCATTTAAAAAGTTCTGTTACTTTGGAGCTAACCCTCAAATTGAGAAAACAAATCCAACCCTAGAAGATAAGCTGTTTCAGCAAAGAATAAACTAGATTGCAGAAGTATATGAATATTATTTTTCTCAGGACAATCTACCTAAGAAAGTTTCTATTAGAATGCTATTTCATATTCATGGTTCTTCTGGGAGAGGGAAAGGGCAGGATAGCCCAAAACTCTGCGATTGAGGAATAACTGGACTTACTCTCAAAGGACCAAAAGTAAAATGCAGAAAAGTGTGAATGGTGACCAGATATGTTCAAGTGTCTGCAAGTCTTCGATTTTTTATATCTCCCTCTCATCCTCAATGACTTTTGAGCACATTGGAGATGGAATTATGAGGGAACTATATGTGGGATGGGAAGGTTATGGAGTTTTGATAATGATATCCCTGGTGAAGGACAGAGGAAGGGAGGCAGGACTGGCCAGATTCATTGAAAAACTTTTCACATGATGCCTGCTTGCCAAATGTTGGTCGATGGTGATGATGATGACAGTAGTGGGATGGAACTGGCCTGCACATTACCCTTCCAGCGGAAGCACCTGTTACGGTCAGTTGAGAAAGGCAAGTCTAGAAAGAGTGGAATATTGCTCATAGTGTGGAAAGAATATTGTTGCCAAATAGTACCATCCCTTGACTCCAGATGACTTCATCCACGAGGAGATAGTCTCTGCCTATAAAGTTTGGACCCTTTTGAACGTAATTATACCCAGAAACAAATATATCCTTGCCCTATCCTCCTTCTATTAGAGGATGCTTCATTAATTGGGGCCTGTTAACCCTGCCTACCATTTAGGGTCCCCAGTCTCTGTCCAGTAAATAGTCTGATACCCAAAACCCAGGACTTTTCTTAAGACTTTCCTTAAGAACAGACTCATATATTATTTCTCTATCAGGACTTTACTGTAAGAAGACTTGGTATCTTCCTCTATTCTAGTCATAGAGGAAAACTATAGAACTTTCCTCTAATTTCCACTAAGCAGACTCTGGAGCCAAATTGTCTGGGTTCACATCCCAGCTGAGGCCGTTACTAGCTCTGCGACCCTGTGCGAGTTACTCAGCCTCTCTGAGCCCCACTTTTCTCATTTGCAAAATGGAAATAATAATAGAATATACCTCATAAAGATGTATTAAGTGAATTCTTAAGTGTAAAGCACTTTTTAAAAAGTGCCTAGCATGGAATAAGCACTAGGAAACTGTTTTCCATTATTATTTAATCTATGGAGTAACACAAAGCCATATGTACACAGATGAAAAAGAATTACTTAAAAGTAATTCTTTTAAAATTGGTTGAATCTTGCTATTTGTAGTTCTAATGTCTTGATGCACACATTTAATCTGAAGATTCTTGAGGGATTTTTAGTATAAGCATCTTTAGGATAAAGGCTTAAATCTTCAAGGCTTTATAGGATAAAGGACTTCAGAATATGGGCCCAAATACTTCAAATTCATACAGGCTGTGTCCTGCCTTCCCCTGTAGCTTCATCATCCACCATGCTGCACCTAGTCTGTGGACACCAGCTAAACTGACCTCTTTTCTGGTGCTTGCTCACACCATTTTCCCAACTATGTTAAGGATGGGATGGACCTCTGTCTGCTACATTCATGACCCTCCATTGCCTTATTATTTCCTACTCAGCCATTACCATCTCAAAGAAGGCAGCCCTGACAGCACTACCAGAAAGCCAGGAAGTGTCCTTTGTAGCACCTTCCGTCCCCAGATTTTTACACGTACTTGTGTGATCACGTATTTGTCTCTCCTCCTCGGCTCCATTACAAGACTTCCGTGCCCGATTTGTTTCCCCGCGCATCTCTGTGCCCAGCAGAGTGCCTCATGTGGAAGGCACTTAATATCTTCTTTAAAATTCAAAGCCATTATCTTTGGCACAAAAATTTATTGATCTTGCCTCTGATATACCATTGCTCTGAAGACATGATTAATTTTCTAACCTAAAGACAAACTGGCTAGAAAGTAGACATGTAGTAGCCATAGAAATAATAATAAAATAGAAATTATAATCATTTGTTGATTAGTTATTATGTGTCAGGCCTGTGCAAAAACTTTGTCTCAGTTTAGTTCTCACAACACTATGAAGCAAATATTAGCAGCCCCATTCTACAGAGGAGGGCGTTAAGATTTAGAGGGATTAAGTATTATGCTTAGGATCACACTAAGAAGTGGCAGAGGCAGGAGTGAAACCACAGTTTTGGACTCCAGGGCCTGAGCTTTTGTAGTACTCTGCCCATGGTAAACATCCCGGTGGTGCTCAGGCCTGGGCCAGGAATGTTCATAAGGCAGAAGGGAGAATTTGAGGTTGGAGGTAGGACTGAGCGTAAGGGTAGAGCAAAGCTGGGGGGATTTACTGAATATTTTGCTTTAATCCTATGGTCGTAATGAAACCAGCTGCAGAGATATTAATTGGCTTTTTATGTAGAGCTTTGCATAATATGGACTCTTGAAAAAAGGTTTATGATACCATTTCAGTTTTAGTTTATGGGCCAAGTTTTGGACATGGAATGATTTGTGTATCAGTAAAACACTATAGAAATAACAATTATGTCATTGGAACTAGATAAGGATATTTCAAACAGCTATGAGTTAAAATGTAAGCAGATATGTTTGTTTAAAAGGTGGGGAATCTAGTAATTGATAGAAAGAAATGGAAGAGAACTAATTGTTATTGAGTCACTGACATTATTCTTTTAACAATGAGAACAATTGTGTGATCTGGCTCAATAAATATAACTAAACTATACAATTCAAAGATGACTTTAGCAACAATAAGAGATAATTTGGGGTCTTGTTATAAGAGTATATAATGTCTAAATCAAACTACCTAATCTTCCATTAATCTTTAACTCTAATATGAGACAATATATTATATTCCCATATGACCATATGGTAGACATTACTATTTTGCTACTATGAGTTTCTTGATAAACAATAGCCTAATTACAGATATATGTAATTTTGTACTATACATGTGTTCCAAAAAAAGTTTGTATGTAAATATATTTTAACAAAGTGAACTGTACTTAAATTCACTAGAATTAGCTTTTTAAAGAAATCCAAAAAAATTCTTATATATCTGCAAGCTTTTTCTTTCTTTTAAAGGTGGATTTCAGTATATTGACCATGTATTGATTCACTGTAATGAGACTCATCTTTTTTAAAGATGATTGTTGTTAAAAACCAAAATACTCTTGTGTTTAGAGGTTTTGATGCTATCAATTATTCTTACAGTAAAGGTTAGAGTTTATTCACTGAATGATGACTTGAAGCCAGCCAAAAGAGAAATTGTCTTAACTTTCACAGTGAGTATGTTATTTATCTAAATAATTTAACTCATTTTTAAAATAAGATGTTATTTCATAATCCCTCCCTAATGCCAACTAATTAAAAATTCAGTAAATGGTGACTGAATACTTTCTGTGAGTATATCATTGTAGGTCTGTGCCTCTAAAATAGGCATGTGTAAAGAGCTCATGAAAATTAAATCCCAACAATTTAGGATTTTAAACGAAATCATTTAAATACATCCTTCAGATTTGTTTCTTCAAGAACATCAATCAATCACTAAGGTTGTCCAACCTTTACTATCTCTGGGCCACCCTGGAAGAAGAAGAGTTGTTTTGGTCCACACATTAAATACACAAACACTGACAAAAACTGATGAGCAAAAAAACGACGTTAAGTAAATATACGATTTTGTGTTGGGCCACAGTCATAGCCATTCTAGGCCACATGTGGCCTATGTGCTGCAGGTTAGACACCCCTGTGTGAATTAATTTAATACCTATTATGAGATTTTAAAATTTGTATAATTCAATATAAAGTATTGCAATCTATGGTACTTACACTTAAAGGAACTTGTAGTAGCTAACATACTAACGTGTGAAAATAGTACTAAATTATGAGGTAAAGGTTAGCAGTTATCAACCTTTTATCAGCCATGACACACATAAAAGATGATAGGTACAAGTGCAATAAACACCCATGGCCTTGCCCAGTTTGTGCCCCAACCCTACAAGATTTTTGTGGGGAAATAACTAACTGCTCATCTATTAACGGTAGCTGTATTGGTAATGGTCTTTCATTATAGGCTACAGCACCTTTCCTCCTACTGAAAAACAAAAACAAAACCTTTCCAAAAACACAAGGAAAAAAAGTAATGTATGAGAAAACCCTGAATCCTTTATAAATCACAAAAATCATAAACCTTTACAAACTTTTATATCCGACTATTATGAATGAATTACTTGTGAGACATCAGAGTATTTCAGGATTGTGGTTGATAACTATTGATAACATGTAAACTCCAGGAAGTCAAAGAGATCAGTGAGGCCAAGGGACACTTCAGGAAAGAAGTGAAATTGGAACTGGATCTGGAACAATGAGTAGAATTTAGATATGTGGAGAAGGAGCAGGAGGATTGCTAGAAAAGGAATGATGGACAACAAAAAGTCACAAGTGAGAGGGACAGGACAGGAAGAAAGCAATCTCATTCAAGGGCGACAGCATCCCTGGGGAGAGAAGGGTGAATAAGATTTGAAAGTTAGACCAGACCTAGAAGACTGCATAGCAGGTTGTAGGAAACTCCTGTAGATTTATTGTAGGGAAGTACAACAAAGGATGGAAGGGAAAAAAGTGTTCATTGTAGCCATGAACACTGCTACAGAGGAAGTATAGGAGTGTGGAGTAAGGGAGACCCACTCTGGGCTGCCGCAGAAGTCCGGGGCAGAGAGACGCATTGTCATATTGGCAGCAGAAGGAATGCAGAGAGAGGCCTCTCAGACTACCCAAACTAGAGGGCAAGGAGAGGAAGCAAGTAAGAATGGCGTTGACAGGAACAAGGACACTGATTTATAGAAGACACAATAAATACCAGATTCCAATGTGAATTTATTTGTTTATAACCATGGATCTGTATGGGCTGAGTTATCTTAAAGCAGAGGCCCAGGAGCTGTGAGGTTTTTTTTTTTTTTTTTTAAGATTTTATTTATTTATTTATTTTTAGAGAGATGGGAAGGGAGGGAGAAAGAGAGGGAGAGAAACATCAGTGTGTGGTTGCCTCTTGTATGCCTCCTACCGGGGACCTGGCCCACAACCCAGGCATGTGCCCTGACTGGGAATCACTTTGGCTCAGTGGCAACACTGAGCATGGACCCATGCTCAGTCCACTGAGCTACACCAGCTGGGGCTCAGGAGCTGTGAGTTCTTTTCTTGGAAACCCAAGGTTTGAGTTTAGGAGAATAGGTATACATTCGCACAGGGTCTGGCAGAAGCAACACCTGCTTAAGTGTGGTTGGTAGGGTAATAGTATGGATGTAATAATTTATAATTTTAATTTGAACATTTTACCTGTAATGTCATAGGGCATGCTTGAGTGTGATGTTATGTTACAAAACTTCATGCTTATAATTTTGTAATAAAACAGAGACATTATTTGTGCTGGACCCTGTATGTAGATACCAGAGAATAAAACTGTACTAGACAAACAAAACAAATTGTATAGTAGGACAAATGACGTTGAAGCTCAGAGGGAAGACAAAATTTGGGTGAGATTAAAGGATGATGTAATCCCTTCCTGGAATAGAACAGGTAAAGGAAGCCTTGAACTGGTCCTAATGAAAAGAATGGCCATAGGTTTTTAAAAAAATAGTGAAGAACTTCTCATGTGATATATAGCATGAGTTTAGCTATGGCAGCAGGAAGAAGGAGGAAATGAGACTAGTGCATAAACTGGCTGACTGATGTCGGAAGTCTGGGAGAGAGTAAAAAGGAGAGGCAGTGTCAGCTTGGATGCCCTTTTTCTGTCGGAAAATTCTAGTGGGATAGTGGGAAAAAGAAGACAACTTTACGTGAAAATAAATAAATAAATAAATAAATAAATAAATAAATAAATAAATCAAAAGAAGGAAGAAGAGAAAAGGAAGGAAGGAAAAAAGAAAATACTACAGAATGTGGTCAGATGCTATTTATTTCACCTCCTGCGCCCCTCTGTGGTGGAACTTCAGTGATGCGGAACCTGACACCACACAAGGAAGAATGAATGCCTGTTGTCCTGTGTAAGAGCTGTCCCAAGAAGACAGGATTGAGGAATCGGATCCCAGAGCAGTGGGGCATCAGCTTGTAGAGTGTCCTGAAAACAGTACTCAAGAAAGATCATCTTAGAAACACCATGCACAATGAATTGCAGGGATAAAGAATAGACCAGAAGATACTTAGCCTCACCTCTAATTCTTTTTCAAAATGGACCTTTGCAACTTGAGAAAAAATACCTTAAAATCCCAACCATGCCCCTGGCCAGGTAGTTCAGTTGCATGGAGCATCGTCCCATACTCCAAAAGGTTGTGGTTTTGAGCCCTGGTCAGGGCACATACCTAGGCTGTGGTTTCCACCCCCTGTCAAGGTGTATACGGGAGGCAACAGATTGATGTTTCTCTGTCTCTCCCCCTTCCTCTATCTCTAAAATCAATACACATATCCTCGGATGAGGCTTAAAAATAAATCCCAACCATGAATTTCTCAGTCACAGCATATGGTGGTCAGTTTCTGTGTTAAGACCAAAATGGACCTTTACACGTGGTCCAAAGACAATAAGAAACCTCATTTCAATAATTTTCAAACCCACACACAAAAGGAAGCTTATGGGGAAGCTTTATGAAAACTTTAAAGTTTGTTTAACTATTTTGAATGTTTTATCAAGCTCAAAAGGAATATATTGCAGCTATAAAGTATCTAGGTAATAAATGCATTCGATAGTATATTTGCTTTAAAAACTTCAAATGAACAGATAAGAAATTTAGATGCTATAAAGCCTGTAAGTCCACATTTGATTTATTATAACATCAGTTATTGTTACACTTCTTTTTTTAATTATACCACAGAGAGTTGAGTCTCATCTCTAGATAACTGAGGCTAGGATACCTGGATGCTGCTGTTTACTTTTGCGTGTGTGTGTGTGTGTGTGTGTGTGTGTGTGTGTAGGGAGATAGAGAAGGGGAAAGAGGGAGGGAAGTGGCTTAAATAAACCTTATTTATCTTCACTACATTTAAATAATCATTCTCCTTCATATTGAATTTGAAGACATGGATATTTGTTAGTAAATATTTCTGTAGATCAGAAATAATATAATCAGTTAACTTTTTAATGTGGTTTATGTGCTTTGATGTTGTTTGTTTTTATTCAAAGGATCCTGATGAATCAGGTGTTGACATTATGGAAGAAAATGATTATACTGGAATTATCTCTTTTCCTGATTTCAAGATTCCACCTAATCCTAAGTATTTAAAAATATTTTTTGATTAAGTTTTCTCTAAAAAGCATATCTAGAGCTTTTGATGGTGAGGCAGATCAAATGAAACCACCTGGTGTTAACAAAGAGTGTCAGTATAAAAGAAATGAGGAGATGCAAAATCTTTTTATTTTATTTTAATTTAATTATTTTTCAAGTACAGTTTTCTGTCTATTTCTCCCATCCCAGCCCACCCCGCCCCATGCTCCCCACCTCCCTCCCATTTCCACCCCTTTAGTTATTGTCCCTGTGTCCTTTATACTTGTTCCTCTAAATCCCTCCCATTTTTTCCCCTTAAATTCCCTCCCCTCTCCCCTCTGGTCGCTGTCCCCTTGTTCTCTATTTCAGTGTCTTTGTTTTTATTTTGCTTGCTTGTTTGTTTTGTTGTTTAGCTTCCTGTTAAAGGTGAGATCATATGGTATTTGTCTTTCAACCCCTGGCTTATTTCACTCAGCATAATGCTTTCCAGTTCCATCCATGCTGTTGCAAAGGGTAGTAGCTCCTTCTTTCTCTCTGCTGCATAGAATTCCATTGTATATATCTACCACAGTTTTTTGATCCATTCATTTACTGATGGGCGCCTAGGTTGCTTCCAATTCTTGGCTATTGTAAATTGTGCTGCTATGAACATTGTGGTGCATAGGTTCTTTGAAATTGATGTTTTAGGATTCTTAGGATATAATCCCAGCAGTGGAATTGCTGGGTCAAAAGGCAGGTCGATTTTTATTTTTCTGAGAAAATTCCATACTGTTTTCCATAATGGTTGTACCAGTCTGCAATCCCACCAACAGTGAACTAAGGTCCCCTTTTCCCCACAACCTTTCCAACATTTGTTGCTTGTCGCTTTGTTTATGATAGCCATCCTGACCCGTGTAAAGTGGTATCTCATTGTGGTTTTAATTAGGAGATGCAAAAGCTTTTAAAGAGCAGTGAGAAGCTTGACTCATTTTGGTGGTGTGGGACTTCTTAAAACGTCTTGTCAATCTGCTTTGCAGACAGAAATTAAAGTTTGGAAGAGTGAAAAATAGACCTCGGGCTTTTCGAAAAAAATCAAAACCATCAGCCTTCGCTCTTTATGGAAATCTAGTAGACTATCAGACTAAAAAGGTGGTGTAGTCCTATGTCTTGCTGCGAGAGTTATAAAAATATTACTCTTCTGGAGGCTTTTCTGCATAGGCTATGAAATTTTAAGAAAGAGGATGTTCTCAGATGTTCTTTCACTTGGCCTCATGTTAAAGGATTTAAGAATGTGTTTAAACGAAATCTAATTTAAGCAGAATCCAATGTAATAAATATTTAGTGAACACATTCCTGGTATGTGCAAAGTACAGTAGGAATGAGAGATGTAAAATAGAAATGAAGACTCCACGGTCCCTGCCCTCAAGGAGCTTAGAGTGGGCAAATAAAATAGATGTACCTAAAAATGGCTACAGTATTACTTTAAAGCAGAATCTTTTTATGGTCTTTATTGCTCCACCCTCTATAAGGGGATTTGCAGTTAATTTACTATACAGACGATCATCTAGAAACTTGGATAAAATTGGGGGAATTAAATATATCAGATAAATTTTAAATTGTATACTTTCTTGAAAATATTACATGCTTTGAAGCACAGAATTTAACCTATTTTATAACTGTTATCATTCCTCCAGCTGTTACCATTTTTTCATCTTGTGCCATTTGCTTTGTGACAGATTATGTGTCAGCCACGGTAGCCTCTCATGGCCAGGACTTTCCTGCCCCAGCTTAGAATGTGCTTCCTCTTATTCTTCATAAGGCTGGCTTCTTCCCGTTCTGTAGGACATGGGGTAAATCCTCCCCTTTCGAAGAGGTTATCCCTGGACACATGATCTAATATAGTCCCTCTCTTTCTTTTATTCCCTTGTTTATTTTCTTAGTGGTACTTATTTTAATATTGCAACTATTTATTTAGTTATTTACAATACTTGCCCATTTATTCCCCAGCAGACTGTAAACTCATGTGAGAAAAGCGGTCATGTTTGTATTGCTCACTGTTATATCTCCACCACTTCAATAGAACAGGCACAGTGAATTAATGATAATGATAAAATTAAATTTATTGATTGCATAAACAATGTGCAAAGTAGATGCTATCTTTCCCATTCCACAAATGAGGTTAAGCAACTTCCCCAAGTCCAGGCTACTAGTAAATGCACAAGTAAAAAATTTAAACCCCCATGGTCTAGTAGGTCTATGAAGACAGGGACTCATTTATCTTATTTATTTTTTATCTCCAGTCATTAATTCAGTGTTTAGTTTTGCTTTTTGACTGAAAGTTTTTAATTACACTCAGGTCATTTTTCTCTTTAAACAAGCCATACTTTGTTTCCAGCTCCAGTTTCTTATACGCGAGGTATGAATTTTATCATCTGGATTGGCTTGACCTCCATTACATGTTTCTAGAGACATTATTATGAATTTTCTACTGTAGTATAGATTTTAATATTATGTTAGTATAATTAAGCTCCAAGATCAAGTAAATTCTCAAGTATCATAATCTCTTTAATTCAAAGTTATTGATAGTATTAAGATAAAATACCTGAAAAAAATAACACAATGTTTGAAAAACTAATTACTAAACAGTTTATTTTATCCTGAAAGCACTCAATTTTTTCAGCTTATTGCAAATAAAATACAATTACTTAGGCTATATACATCTTTACTTACTTCTCCCTCCTTAAAACAGAAATTGATTAGCTTCCCACTAGGTAAATTAAAACTATTTGATGACTTCTGTAATTTTAAATATTTTGCTTTCACAGATATGGTGTGTGGAAAATTCAAGCTAAATACAAAGAGGACTTTTCAACAACTGGGACTGCATATTTTGAAGTTAAAGAATATGGTAATTTCTGACAATTAAAACTTTACCTATAATGAGTTACAATAATTATTTTCATTAATGAACTTAATGCAGAATCATTCCCTGAAGACGAAAGAGCCAAGTGGTATGGTTAGATGTACTGGTGGAGAGGTGGAGGGACATGGTTATCCCAATGCCGAGGCTTTAGTTCAGCATGGTCTTGTTAACCTTGAGTAAGCAAACTGACTTCTCCGGACCCGTGTTCCTCATCATAGAACCTGAAGAGACCTAGCCTCTGGAGGAGTTTGACTAGTTAAGGTCTTTTTCCAGAATTATGATTTTAGGAGAAACTTAATTAGAGATGAGGTGAGTGGAACCCAGAAAGACTAATAGCTAGTTTACTAAAGTCATTACAATCCATTAGGGACAGGACAGGAACAACAATTGGATTTCCTCACCTCTAGTCCAGTGCTATTTTCCTTCTGGTTCACAAATTCCTAATATATTTATTTGGAAATTAAAGATATTATTATTTTGAAATCAATCATATTAATGGATTAATGAACATATAAATAGCTTGATCTTTCCATTTTAATAGTTGTTTACTTGATAATTTGTGCGCTCTGATATCAAATTTAACTTTCTTTTGCTTGAAGTCATTTTTTAATCCCCAGGAGACTGTTAATATGGAAAATAAATAGACAAATTTGAACAATTAACAAACAAAACAGTGACAACAAATTTGTTACAATTAAACTCAACTTTGAGGATTGTAGGTGTTCAATATATGTAATTACAACCAACCTCCCTCCTTCTAAGTGTTTTTGCCACTTCCTGCATATACCTAGAATTCATCCACCTCTTATTACCTGTGGCCACCCTCATTGACTCATCACCAGGCTCTCTCCTGGATTATTGCAAGAGCCTCTGAATTGCTATCTCTGCTTTCCAACTCTTTGCCCTTGGCATTAGCCAAAATAATCTTGAGATGCAAATCTCATCATATTATTTCATTATTGAAACATCTCCAGTAGCTCCTCATTTCTTTCATAATGAAAGTCAGGATCATTATTTTGAGCTGGCCTTCCCCTTTTCAGCCTCATTACATACCACTCTTGCCCTCGCTTCCCTCTTGCACTGGTGACTTTGTGCATGATGTCCCATCTGCCTACACACTTCCCCTCCCTCATTGCCTTGGCAATTCCTACTCATCTTTCCAGTCTCAATTGAAAATTCATTTATTCATAGAAGCTTTCCCTGCATTCTCTTTCCTGAGTAGGATTCTCTGTACTTCTTCGTACCAGTTTTCATAACAGTGGGTTAGGTGTTTATCTGCGTAATTTTTTTTGGCTTATGCCTGTCTTCTCTGCTTGACTGTGAGTGCATTAAGGACAGAGTTTGTGTCTTTGTTCACTGGTATGTCACTGCTAACAGGAATGTTCCTCCTACATGACAAGTGGGTATTAGATGAAAGGGTAAAATATTTCCTTGCACTTTATATCCTAGAGAGACCACACCTGCATGGATCTTTGATAACACAGGAATGCAACCCAGGGCAACAAATTACATTGTTCTTTTTCTTCTAGCCTTCACCATCTAGAAAACACATGAGCCATATCCAAAGCCCGCTATCCCACTGAAACTTGTGTGACTGGCATTGTTTGTCCACAATCTCAGGGTCACTCTATCACCCAATTTTCTATTAACTGTTGTGTAGGTTAATGGAATTAGAATCCATAAGCCCTCGTACACAGTCTGAGTTAGTATAAAGAGAAGGCAGTGATATTTCAACAAGAGATATTGTTTTCTCTTGGGCAATCAAGGTACCAAAAAATAGAAAGAAAACAACTGTTTTCTGCTCTAAGTTTTAATTTTGCATGGATATTATTTCTTATAGTTAATTATAACCTCTCTCTTCATGACTAAAGTTAGAGTTTTGTGCTGGAATTTAGGAATTGGGTTGATTTTATCTATTGGACAAAAGAGGGAAACATTAAATAAGCAAGAATTTTTTATTTTCAATTTAATAAACACTGTTAAGCATTGACTATGTTTAAGACTTATGATACAAGTGAAAATAAAAACAACAATGCAAAATCTACAGAGACAAAAAAAAGACTTATGAGAAGGGTGAGGGGGGAGATATATGAAGATAAATGGAGAACAGTCTGTTTTCAAGGAGCCCATACTCTAGTCAGAGAAATAAACAATTGCTTATAACAAATGCTCAAATCCAAGTATAAACAAAGTGCTTCTGGTGCAATGATGACAGCTGAATGTTGTGTTGATGGTCCATCAACTGTACCAGAAGGAAGGTTGTTCTTAAGTGGTAACATTGCCTTTTTCTTCTTATTTTCAGTGTTGCCACATTTTTCTGTCTCAATAGAACCAGAAAGTAGTTTCATTGGCCATAAGAAGTTTAATAATTTTGAAATTACTATAAGAGCAAGGTAAGAAAATTGTTTATTTTTCATGTTATCCAGCTAAATTGAGTGCCAGCTCTTATTGGTGAAAATTGCCCAAAGCGAGATCTGTGATTTTTCTTCCAGTTCTCTTGATATGTAATTGACATGGAACATTGTGAAATTTTAAGGTGCAGTGTGTTGCTGAGATCTGTAATTTACTGGCAATGTCTACCATGACTTTGGGATTGACCAGTTGAGGAGATATCGTGCCTAGCCTATAGTTTATTTGCCCATTGTAATGTGAGCTGGTTCTGATTTTAGCTTTGTTGGTTATTTACCTGCAAAAAAAAAGTTCTAAAGGACATGGTGTTGTTTTAGGAACCAGCATGACTTGCGATATTGGGAATCAGATATGAAGCCTCTCTCCTTGGCACTTTTTAATGGCTTAATCAACCAAGCAGTGATGCATAAGAATACTTCAAGACTCAATGCCTTAAAATCACAACCACTTATGGGTTAGCTGGGCATTTCTGCTGATCTGGACTAGGTTCTTCTTAGCTAGGCTTGCCCATATGCCTGCAATCATTTGGCAGGTCAGCTGGAGGCTGGCTGGTCTCAGGAGGTCTAATTCATATAGGTGGTAGTGGACCGGCAGTTGACTGAAGCTCCAAGGATGATTGGACCATGCATATCTCATCATCCAGAAGGCTGGCCTGTAACAGAAAAAAAAAAAAAGTTCAGAGAGAGAATATAGAAGCATAAAAGTCCCCTAGGGGCCTAAGCTTGAGACTGGCACTCCATCACGGCCACAACACTCTTTTGTCCAAAGCAAGTTATGATACCAGCCCAGAGGAAACAGATTTGCATAGAAGGAGCTGCAAAGATGGTGGATATGTGGGAAAGTGGAAAATTGGGGTTAGTTTTACAAGCCACAAAAAGTTTAGGTCATTTAAAAATAACAATATCATATAATTATTTATAATAACCAATTTATATAATTATATGTGTCAGACACTTTTGAAGCATTCTGTATATATTGTTTCATTATATTGTTTCATTTAATCATTTGAAAATTCTGTGAGGTAGATACTATTACTATCCCCATTTTACAAACAAACAAACAAAAAGAGGTCCATAAACGTTTAGTAATTTGCCCAAGATTGACAGCTAGTAAGTCACACAGTTTGTGGTTCCCCTTAGAAGCTACCCTGTCTCTCTTACTAGCATTTATTACTAAAATAGAGTGTTTGTTACTTAGTCTAAACCACATAAAAGGCTCACCTGATGTGGCGTTATGGAAATTAATTTCTTCTAGTGGAGACACTATTTGTTCACGCTATGAATAAGGAAAGTTACTTCATGATACAGTATTATATGCTATATAGAAAGTTTTCTTTATTCACACTTTAACTCTAAACTACAAAAGTAATGTGCATGCCCAGGCTGGTGTAGCTCAGTGGATTGAATGCAGGCCTGCAAACCAGACGATCCCGGTTCGATTCCCAGTCAGGGCACATGCCTGGGTTGCAGGCCAGTTGCTGGCAGGGGACACATGAGAGGCAACCATACATTGGTATTTCTCTCCCTCTCTCCTTCCCTTCCCCTCTAAAGGTAAATAAATAAAACCTTTAAAAAAAGTAATGTGTAGTTACAATTAAAATAAAATTTATCTAATATAACAGTAAAATTGGGTATACTGCTTTTAAAGATGTAAAAGGGAAGAGGAAACAGCTCCCCCCTGATCATCTAGGAAGTAGTATGTTCTGTAGGAAAGAGCTCCAGACCTGAGTCTTTTGATCTCCCCAAGATCAGTTTTCCCATCAGGCACATAGTAATAAAATCTGCACTTTGGCTTTGTTATTGTAGCTTTATGAGGATGAAATGTAATAGTGGATGGAAGACAATTTAAAGTGTATCAGTTGCTCTGTGTGATTTCAGATTGTTAATTTATCTGAATTTTATTTTTGTAAACTCAAAACAATCTTCTGCTATTATCATTTGACAGATATTTTTATAACAAAGTTGTCAGTGAGGCTGATGTTTTTATCTCTTTTGGAATAAAAGAGGACTTACATGATGATAATAAAAACATGATGCAAAATGCATTGCAGAGCAAAAAGGTAAGATGTTCAGACGTTTACCCAAAGATATGTCATGAATGCTAGATATGGGAAATTACTTCAAAATCCCTCAGTCCAGTCCCTCAGTTTATATAGCTATGGGAAATGGAAGCTGAAAAACCTCACTGGCTTCTCATTATCCACTTTCCGTGACGTTAGCCCCCCAGCCAGCCTATCCCGTGCCATTTCCCCCCTTTCTCTCCCTCACACTATCTCTCTCGCTTCCAGATCTTTGCAGTGCTGCTCCTGTTTGGGAATGCTCTTGTCCTTCTTTGTCCCTTCCTGCCTCTTCTTTGCCTGGCTAATTCCTCCTTGACCTTTAAGTCTCAACCTTGACACTTTTTCTCTGGGAAGTCTCCCTGATTCCTCTCAACTAGATGAACTGCCTCTGCCTTAGTCCCTTAGCCCTTGAGCCTCTCTTAGTAGAGGACATTCGACAATTTGTTGTAGTGGCTCTCAGCCAGGTACTACTTTTACTGTTAAGGGGACATTTGGCAATCAGTGTCCACAGACATCTGTGGTTGTCATAACTGGGGAAAAGGATGCTACTGGCAGTTAGTGGGCAGAGGCCAGGCATGCTGCTAAACTCCTATAGTTATCCTTAACAACAAAGAGTTATCCTTCCAAAAAGTCAATGGTGCCGAGGTTGAGAAACCCTTCTTTGTTGTATTGCTTTATTTACTTCTCTGTCATTTTTTACACTAAACTCCTTGTGGGTCTGAATGGTTCCCATTACATGCTCAGAGCCAGCATTGTTCCTGTCAAACAGTAGGCACTGCTGTATATGTATTTGGGAGTGAATGAATCCATTGGGAAGTTACTTGTCCATGGTTAAGGGCTAGTGGAAGTGGGGACCAGATTAGAGCTCTGGTCCCCTTTTCCCTTGTTTACTGTTTTTTGCAACATACCGCAGATGATAAGGGCTCATGTCATTCTGCCCACTGTGGCATATTCCTGTAGTTTCTGTCATCAATTATTTCACTTTTGCTTTTTAAAAAGAGTTTTATCTATTCAAGATGTAAATTAGATGCCTCTTTTTAATGCAAGATTCCATGCTAGACACTGAGATTTAAAGCTAAATGATACAAGAATCCCGGTTTCAAGTTATTTAATTTTAGAAGAGAAAATAAGGCAAATCTATTTTACTATTGTGCTTAATAATGAAATGCTATGGCTTAACCGTATATCCCTTTACCCATTGTATGGTTTTTTTTGTGGTTTTTTTTTATGTTTTTTTTTATTGATTATGCCATTACATTTGCTCTATTCCCCCCCTCCCTTCCCCTCCACCCTGCATACCCCTCCCCCACCATTTCCCCCTTTAGTTCATGAACATGTGTCTCAATTTCTTTAGATTCTGTATTTCCCCTACTATTCTTACCCTCCCCCTATGTATTTTCTATCTACTGTCTATGCTACTTATTTTCTGTACCTTCTCCCCCCCTTCCCCTCCTCCCACTCCCCTATTGCTAACCCTCCCTGAGATCTTCATTTCTATGGTTCTGCTCCTGATCTAGCTATCCTCTTAGTTTGCTTTTGTTTTAGGTGTGGTTCTTAATAACTGTGAGTTTGCTGTCCTTTCACTGTTCATCTTTTTTATCTTCTTTTTCTTAGGTAAGTCCCTTTAACATTTCATATAATAAGGGCTTGGTGATGATGAACTCCTTGAATTTGGTCTTATCTGAGAAGCACTTTATCTGTCCTTCCATTCTAAATGAAAGTTTTGCTGGGTAGAGCAATCTTGGTTGTAGATCTTTGGTTTTCATGACTTGGAATACCTCTTTCCAGACCCTTCTTGCCTGTAAGGTCTCTTTTGAGAAATCAGCTGACAGTCTGATGGGAACTCCTTTGTAGGTGACTGTCCCCTTAGCTCTTGCTGCTTCTAAGATTCTCTCCTTCATTTTAATCTTGGCTAATGTAATTATGATGTGCCTTGGTGTGTTCCTTCTTGAGTCCAACTTCTTTGGGACTCTCTGAGCTTCCTGGATTTCTCGGAAGTCTATTTCCTTTGCCAGATTGGGGAAATTCTCCCTTTATTATTTGTTCAAATAATTTTTCAACTGGTGGTTGTGCCTTTCCCCCTTCTGGTACCCCCTATAATTCGGATGTTGGAACGTTTAAAGATGTCCTGGAGGTTCCTAATCTTCTCCTCATTTTTCTGAATTCTTATTTCTTCATTCCTTTCTGTTTGATCATTTTTTTTTCTTCCTTCTGGTTCTCTCCCTTGATTTGAGTCCCAATTTTCTTTCCATTACTATTGGAATCTTTTGTATCCCCATTCATTTCAATTAATTTAGCTTCCATATGTTTCTCTAATTTGTGGCTAAAGTCAACCAGTTCTGTAAGGATCCTTATAACCAGTGTTTTGAACTGTGCATCTGAAAGACTGGCTATTTCTTCATCACTTAGGTCTATCGGTTCTGGGGCTCTGAGTTGTCCTAGAGCCATTTTTGGTCTGTTCGCGCTGTTAAGTGAGCGGAGCAAAGCCTTAGTTGTTTACCAGGACGGGGCGACCCAGGTCGCTCCCATTGTATGTTTTTAAGTTAGTGTTTTAATGTGTGAGCCACTAAGCACAGATTAAATATAAAACCCAACAAAGTAAGCAAAAGTAAACTGAGAGGCCTGGGAAGATGGATGATGACTTAGGGGTTGGAAGAAGATGTTTTTGTCAGTTAATACAACAAAAGATCTATTGAATCAAATGATGTTTATGACTTTCCACATCTATAATTCTGTAAACTCGATTAGAAAATAATGTTCTGGGCTTAATTGTGCACCCCATCATTCACTGTATTTGTGATGATAAACCATTCTTCTGACATTGGCCATCACTAGAAAGGCTAGTAAAAGCATATTTTGTTAATTTTCCCTTATAAGTTTTTCTCTAAAATAACACTTTCATTTTTTTCCCTTTTAAAAAGTTGATAAATGGAATTGCTAAAGTCACACTTAACTCTGAAACAGCAGTTAAAGAATTGTCCTATGGCAGTCTGGAAGAGTTAAACAATAAGTACCTTTATATTGGTGTAACAGTTGTGGAGTCCACGGGTAAGTTTCTCTCTTTGTATTTTGTCTTGGCAAATTTTTAGACAGTATATTAAAAGTAGAAATAATTTCTACAGTTCTTTCATATTTTGTTTTCTTTTAGAGTCAAATTTTACTTTTTATATTACTAAAAGCCAGGGTTAGAATATAGTTCTGCCGCTCCCTAGTCACTGGGTTCCCATTGCCTCAACTGCAGGATAATACCTGCCCAGCTGATATTCTGAGTGGCCCTGCAGGCCATCTGGCTTGAACCTCTGGCACCCCAGTGTTCTCACCTGGTGAGAAACAAAATAAAAACAAAATTATGTATGTAAAAATGCTTGATAAAGTACTATGCAAATGAAAGTTGTTGTTATTATTGTTTTAGTCTCCTTATATGTGCAGTGATGAAGTTGAACCAAATGCCTCCTACAGCCTTTTCCAGCTGTAATGTTCAGGAATTCTATCTAAACCTGGAGGCAGTAATGTTTCTAAAATGGGTGCAGTAATTGTATACACTTCATAAGGTTGTGGTGAGAATCAAAGTGTCAATATATCCAAAGCCCTTAAAACAGTACCTGTCACATAGTGACCATGTAAGCATTGGCTGTCCTCCTCCTCATCTTCTTCCTTCTCCTTCTTGGCTCCAGCTACTGCTTTATTACCATCCTTAATATCTTATATAGTGCTCTCGGTTCCACTCGAGTGGTTTTTAATAGTTATTAATTATTATTCCAAGCTGAGTCAAATGGTCTTCTGGTATGTCTTGATTCTAATATTTATATTTTTAGGTTTATATTGAACCCCCCGACTAACTTTGAACAAATAATTTAACCACACTGCATCTATTTTTTTTGTAAAATTAAAGTTAAACCAGATGATCCCTAAGTACTTTGCCACTTCTTTAAATTTGTGCTTCTAGGATAGCAGAGTGAAGAATAGAGGTAATTATTCAGATATTGAGCACCTTATATATATCAGATGCTCAATAGATGCTGGAGAATGATGATGACTTCACACTCCTTGCCCTGGCTAGCTATTGTTTTTGACATTATTTTAATAATGTTTCTTTCTTACTTTTATTTTTCCTGAATTTATTTTAAATCAATTCATTTTAATAAGTATTTATGAAGTAGTCAAAGAGTGTTGCTAAACATGCAGGCTTCCAAATGTGAATCCAGCTTGCAAGTGGCTTACATACTAGTATCAGTTGTAAGACAGGTAAACAAAGAATTCTGTACCAAGGAGGAATTCCATGTGTGCTTTAAGCAAAATAGTGTTATTGACCTTGAGAGGAAGGTGAGCTCCTAGGTGATGGTTGAGTGACCAAGAACAGTGTCCTAAAAATGACCATCCTGCAGGATAAGCAGAGTTTTGAGGCAGGGCTAGTTGATGAAGTAGAGTGGGGCACCCTCCATAGAGGAACATACCCAGCAAGGGTGGAAAGTGAATCTTGACATTGGAGAATAACAGATTATCATCTAGTTAGCTGAAGTATAGGGGATAATGGGGATGTAATATTGGGAAGGAGTTTGTGGACACTAGAACTTTGTATGTTACTCTTCACAGTTTAGCTTAAATTTTAGCTGGAGGGTGATACCACTGGGCTCCTGCCAATGGACCCTCAGGGCAGTCTCTCCTTCAAGTGCTCTTTTCTGACTTCCTCTACATTTCTCTCCATATTTCTGCGCTTGAATGCTCAACCCCTTCCAAGGCTCAGACTCTGGCCTACCCTTTCATTCTCTCCTTAATCTGTTGTACTTACTCAGCTTAAACTCTGACCACTGGCGAAACACGGTGTCCCTTCTTTACATTTTTTTTTTTCAGTCCAGTCCTATAGCTCTAATTCTACATGGGGCATGTCTACATATAAACCTTGTACATAAGGCTTTGGAAACTCCTGAGATTTAAACTCTTCTCTGCACTGGCCCCCTGAACCAAGACCTGTGTCCTGCTTGTGACTGGTAAATGAATGAGCTCAGAAATGGAGTGAGTGAAGGAATAAGTCTGTGGAGACATCAAGATGAAATAGATCCCCATAAAAATCCTCCTTCAAAAGGTCAACATGATCCTTGTCGTTTCTTTAGGTGGATTTTTTGAAGAGGCAGAATTTTCTGGCATCAGATATGTCCTCTCTCCCTACAAACTGAATTTGGTTGCTACTCCTCTTTTCTTGAAGCCTGGAATTCCATATTCTATTAAGGTAGATGAAGGCGGGTGGTGGGGAAACCGCTGAACATAATTGTCTTTTTCTGTTTACAGAAAACTTGGGGTATGGCAAATGGGGGAAGAACGCTAGAGAGGCAAATCGTGGAGGGAACTCATTCTGTAAGAGCTGCCCTCCTGTGGACATGGACAGGGGTGGGAAATGGCAGGTCAGCTTCAGTCTTAGGGCAGGTATCAGTATTTAATAAGACAGCCTGTGTTAGGCATTTGCTAAAGAAGCATTGCATTAAATTATAGGTAAGTAAAACCCCATAAGTCTATAGTACAAAAAATGCTAACATTTAAAACTATTTGGTGGCACGTTCCTAAAAAGCCTGAAGATGGAGTGCTTGTTACTCTGCATTTTCCTTGGCTGTGACTCTGACTGAGCTCAGCTGTCTGTGATGTTCTCCATCCTTTCCATCCCGACTTGTCCTGTTCCTCTCTCTTCTGTCTTTTTTGCTTCCTCCTTCCTATTTAATGTTTTCTCTCCTTCCTGCACTTTTCCTTTTTTTAAAAAGCAGTAGTATGAAATTAAAATATTCATTTGACTTTTAAATTATATTTTATTATATTTAGTATATATTTTATTATATATAATAGATTTTTCAAGTAAAAATTTTTGTCACCTGCCCTTGGCTTTGAAAGTCAGAGCAGCATAGTGTTTTATTCTTTGAAAATGAGCTGCTTTGAAAAATCAACTTTAGTATAAATAAAATGTCTTACTTATTACTTACTGTAGGTCATTGGCTTTTGAGGTCACATACAAAAATAATATAAAATATATCTTTGTGCAAATTATATATGATTACATGTATGGCAGTGAGAGAAAGAGGTTAAGAGAAAAAAAGGATGCATTTATTGTTTCTCGTACCCAAGAGAATCATTCCCAGAGTGACTGTCTCATTTTCTCTTTTATTCAGTCCTAAACCAACTGAAGAAACACAGAAGTTAGATAGCAGAAGACCTTATTACATCTACTTGGCTCAGTTTAAAAAGATAATATTTATGTTCTGAGTCTGCTTGTTATATAGGAGGATCTATTCAAAAGTGATTTAACAAAATAGAATTAAATATTTTTTAAAGCTGAGAACATGCTTCTCTTTACTGAATTGAATATGAATAATTTATACTTTGGTGGGGGGAAGAAAATTATTTGAGAATTTCTGTGCTTTAAAACAAGTGCTGAGCTGTTTTATTGAATTTTGGCTGTTCTGACAAAACAGGTGCAAGTTAAGGATTCACTGGATGAATTAGTAGGAGGGGTGCCGGTGACCCTGAGTGCACAAACGGTCGATGAAAACCAAGAGACAGCTGACTTGGAGCCAAAGAAAAGTGTAACAGGTTCCAGTGATGGAGTAGCTTTATTTGTGGTTAATCTCCCGACTGGAGTGACAGCTCTGGAGTTTAACGTGAGCTGAATTCTGTTAAGTTTTCTAGGACAGTGTGTACTTTTGACTGTGTGTCTTGGCTAGTGTGCAGAACAGATGCAGCAGATTTTGGGCTTGAGTTCAGTGAACAGTTGTGCATCCAAAAGTAAGTGAGTAAATAAATAAGTCACCAGAGGAAAATTAATCTATCACTTTTTTATTTGGGAATTTATTCTTTTCTCTTATATCCATAAGACTATATTAGAATCTAGAAGCTTCAGAATGGGTATAGCAGTGGAAGTCAGTGGTAAAATTATTCTCTCCCAGTACCCCCAATTTTCTCTCTATTCAGGCTCATAAAAGAGTTAAATGTGGGAGCTTCCCTTTTTTCCTAACTGCATGGATCACTCTCCCAACAAATAATATTTAAGTGTCCAATTCCAAGCAAACAATGAATAACTTAATAAAGCATGTTAATGACTGGAGTGTGCATACACTCATTGTCATCTACTGTGCACTTACAAAATGCTAAGCCTTGGGCGAAGAGCTCTAGATAGATTGCATTTAATACCTACTTAATCAGCTCTATCAGGGGTGTCCCGCCTTTTGGCATCTCTGGGCCACACATTAAATACATTGAGACACATAATCACACACAAAAAAATCTCATAATGTTTTACGTAAATTTACGATTTTGTGTCGGGCAGCATGCATAGCCATCCTGAGACACGTGCGGCCCATGGGCCTGAGGTTGGACACCCTTTTTAGAGAATATTATCTTTGACGTTTTGTAGCTGAGGAAACAGAGGCTTCAACCTTCTCTTGAATAACTTACCGAGTTAGTGGCGCACTGGGAGGAAAACCAAATGCATATGACACTCCAGAACATGAACTACTAATTCCTTTGCCGTCAAAGGTGGATATTGCTGCCATTACATCATTTCTGTCCCACCCCATGTTTTTGCACACTCTTCTGTGCCACTATCTCACAATGAAATTGGGCCAGAGAATCTTTGTAATGTCCATTCATAACTCCTGCCCCCTGCCCCTGACACTGGTCCTCATGACCTCCCCACTACAACCCCGAATTTCTGCCATCCCAACCCATAAGAAGAGGAATCCCTAGCTTGCCATGACATTTCTGGAAGGATGCCAGTATTTGTTCCAGGAGGATTTTTCTCTTTCCCACCATAACCCACGATCCCACATGATCCTAATTATTGTCCACAGTCTTTGTAAACTCACTTAATACCACAGCAGTATGAACATGGGAGTAGCGGAGGTTTTCCTTTCTTCAGCATGTGGCGGTATGAAATTTAGAAATTTATAAAACAAATAAAGGAATTTAAAAGGTATATTTCACAGAAAACATTTCATCATAGTCCACATGTCTTCTCTGAAATGTTCCTTTTTAGGTCAGGACTGATGATTCAGATCTTCCAGAAGAAAATCAAGCCAGCAAAGATTACAGAGCAATAGCATATTCATCTCTCAGCCAAAGTTACCTTTATATTGACTGGACTGGAACCTATAAACCTTTGCTTGTGGGAGAACATCTTAATATTATTGTTACCCCCAAAAGTCCATATATCGACAAAATAACTCACTATAATTACTTGGTAAGTACTAAAATGATAGATTTACATCTATTTATTCTCCCACCTAGAACATTTTTTTTTTACTTATAGAGAAACAATAGAATGACCCCTTAATGTTTATTTTTAACAAAGCATTTTAATGACTATTTATCATCTAATTTGATAACCAGCTTTTCAAAAACCTTTGAGATTGGGCATGATTTGCATTACCATTTCATAGATGAGGACTGAAAGATGGAGAGGTTAAAGCACTCATCGTGGTCACTCAGCTAAGAAGATTTTGATTTGAACTGGGAACCTCTGCCTTCTTGTGTGATCTGCTTTCACCAAAGGATGCTGACTGCTCCTCAGAGGGAGCCTGATTAAATTCTCACATCACCTCCGCTCTATATCGTGGGCAAAAATTACACACCTAGACCTACTGAAAATATGTGCATTTCACTGGCCTAAAAGGAGAACCCAAATCTTGCTCTTAAGTGTAGCGTTGTATCATACCTGCTCCAATTCTGCAGCTGCATAACATCCCTTATTACGTCCCTAATATTTGCAGAGGTGGTCAATCAAGCCTGTTGGTGAAGCCCAGGGAAGAATGTGTGAAGAATGTTAAGGGCTTCCTGACAACTGTCAAAGAACTGGAGTGAATTATTCCAGTGGTCAGGCCAAATAGATGGTGATGGATTTGTCAACATTTTTGGAGAAGGAAATTAAAAAATAAACGAGGACCAAATATCATATTGACTGTGATGAATGAGGGGACCTATTTAGGGGCTGCGTACCAAAACTCAATGTCTACAGGGTACAGTCCTGCTAAGGACAACTTAGATATCTTTGAGGACATTTTGGCTTCCTGTAATTTGTAATTTAAAAAAAAAACAACTTATGCCTTCAATTTAGAACCTGATCTCTGCCTTTAAAAGTTAATCGCCTAATAAGATACACTCTGCTTGCCTATTTTTTAAAATCAGTAAAACAAAGGAGATTTTAATGACCATTATGACTTTAAACAGATTTGGGATCAAATTTTAACTCTCTGTTTTGCTAGTTATGTGATTTTTGAACTAAAATCAGTGTGGCGTTTTGTTAATGCCTGAGCCTCGGCCCCTTCATTTGCACAATGGAAATAATACTTCTATCCTACTGGTTATATAAGAATTAAAGGAGTTAAGTCAATATAAAAGTTCCTGGCACATAGTAGGCTCATACATGTTAACTTTCTTTTTCTTTTACATAGTTTCTACTCCAGCTCCAAGCTCAATTCTAAAGCAAAAGTTTTGTTTTTGTAGTTATTGTTGCTGCCACTCTTTATTTTCAGATATTATCCAAGGGCAAAATTGTTCACTTTGGCACAAGGGAGAAACTTCCAGATTCCTCTTACCAAAATATAAATATTCCAGTGACACAGAACATGGTTCCTTCAGCCCGTCTCCTGGTCTATTACATTGTCACAGGAGAGCAGACAGCAGAACTAGTCTCTGACTCAGTCTGGATGAATATTGAAGAAAAATGTGGCAACCAGCTCCAGGTAATCCATAAATTATGTCACAATTGAATTTTCTTTTGAATAAAAGACACTGTAAACACAGCAATTTATGAAGATTTGTCTCAAAAATGACCTTTTTTTTCTTTTTCGAATGACCTTTAGGTTTCTCTGATTCCAGGAGCAGATGTATATTCTCCAGGTGAACATGTGTCTTTTAATATGAAAACTGACTCAGATTCCTGGGTGGCTTTAACAGCAGTGGACAGTGCTATATATGGAGTCCAAAGGAAAGCCAAGAAGTCCCTAGAAAAAGTTAAGTGGCGCATAGTCCTGGTTACTGCTGTGTGGGTGGCTCTATGCAGTACTTCACAAAGTGTGGCCCCAGGCTAGGTCATGAGAGAAGAGTTAAGGGAAGACTGGGCCTGCTTTTCCATAATCAAAATTTGTACTCTAATAGTGGTTCTTAGGAAGGTAAGCCATTGTCATGTTACTCCCCCAAAGAACAAGTCCATCCTTTCTTATTCTAATAAGTGTAGAGTTAAGCACTTTAAAAACATATGACTGTGATAGCAATTATATTCATGGGCACAAGTGCCATCAGTTGGGAGGGTTTGGGGATTTGGGCAGGCCAGGCAGAGGAGAGGGGCATTATAGGAGCAGCACAAAAGAAGACTGGATAGGTGACCTCTGGGTTTTTTTGTTTGTTTCTTTTTGTTTTTCTACTCTCATAAAAGTTTATGGCACAAAAGAATTTGAGAATGATTCAATTTTCCTAAGTTCCCATTTATCTCCTTCATGCTCTGCTACTGTTTTCTAGGCTTCAGTTTCTCTGAACAAGGAAGAAAGACCTAAGGAACTAAAGTTAAAAGCATTCAGGAAGAAAAACATTTGGGGTCAAAATTAAAACTAGAATAAATACCCCAAATGAGTTCTCACCTACTTAGAGCCTAGAGCCCTCCTTCCCTAGACACAAGAGGTTATATTCTTTTTGTTTGTTTGTTTTAAGCAACTTAAAAATTGATTTGTTTTATAATCCACTCATTTATGCACTCACCCATTTATTTTTCTTTTGTTTGAAGAAGATATAAAATTGATTGTATTAACGGTGGAGTTAGACCTCGGTTCTTGAGTCCCGCTAAGAAAGAATTCAGAGTCAAGAACTGTGATGTAAAGAAGTTTATTTAGAAAGTTACAGAGGTAGAAGAAGTGAGCCAGCTGTGGGGACTCAGGAAACAAGTTACACAGGCAATAGAAGAACCCTTGGAGATTAGGAGACAGAAAGCAAAGATAACGTGCCCAGGGAAGAAGAGGGAAAAGCACAGGCATACAGGCCTACTCCAGAGAGAGCGCCTGAGGAAGGAAAGGGGAGGGGAAAGGTGCTGGCTTGCTATAGAGGGACACAGAGACAGAGAGAGTGCTGGGTCCATTGTCTTAAGAGTTTTTATCCAATTCTCAAAGGTGGGGATTTTAGGGGAGGTCTTGGGAGGATCTCAGTATCTCAATAGAATATTCATCAGCTTTCTAGCTCTGTCCTTTCAGAATCATGGTCTCTACTGATTGATCGGCACTAGGGGAGGAGGTCATTAGTCATTGCATCTGGTCCTGATGTCAGCCATTGTGTCACTTCATCTGATTTCACTGCTTTTCTGGACCTGGATCTAAAAAAATTGAGGCCTAGATATTATCTCTAGTTTGACCAAAACTCTGTCTCTTTCATCAACAGACCTGAGGCTTTATTCCTGAGATTATCTGATGTAGGTCAGAACCTCATTGTCCTAAGGGGCTTCCTGCTTAAGGGAATGGTTGTTCAAGGGCTTGTATGGGAGTGTTGTGTGAGTCTATTCATCCCCTTGTTCCTCCTCTGATAGGTTCTAAACCACATAACTACTGATGTGCTAGAGGAAGAAAGGTTGGGGGTCTGAACCTCAGGACCAGTGATGAAAAAGGTCAGGGTCCAGTCTGAATGAGGAGCAACATGATAGGGATGGCAAGATCACCCTGGGGATAAGGTCCTAGCCTGTAATACTTGTTTTCCAATTTTTTCCCATTGCTAGGCACCTGAAATGTTGTTCCTTAGTGACATTCCATACCTAGCCTATTATTCCTGTTTTACTCATGTTTGTTTAACTACCTACTGTATCAACTGAAGCATGTGTTCTAAGTACAAAATACCACAGCTCAGTTTTTAAGAACCTGCTCACCAAAGCTTAAGATGTAGCTCTTGATTTAATTTTGAATAGGTATTTATGTACAAACATAAAAGAACAAACTAAAGGGATTAAGTTGAGAAATATGGACTTTGGCCATTTGCTGAATGAGCGGCCTGGGCATTTCACAGGTTCGTTATACCTATGAAATAACTCATACCTTTAGTTCTTTAGAGGAATGATTTCTACACCTGAATAGGCTCAACATTTTGTCTATCTGGACAGGTATTTCAAGCGTTAGAGAAGACTGACCTGGGCTGTGGGGCAGGTGGTGGCCGCAACAATGCAGATGTATTCCACCTGGCAGGACTCACCTTCCTCACCAACGCAAATGCAGATGACACCCGAGAAAATGGTAAAACGCTCAGCATATTTTGTTTATGCTTCAAATTGATACTGAAATTTACATCAATCATTTGCCTCCCAGGTCTCACTTTTGTTTGTCCTCTAGAATATTCTCTACACTGATCTTAGAATGATATGACTATGTAATGCCCTTGTATACTACGTTTCATTAGCCTTTAAGGTAAAGTATGCCCTTTTTAGTGTAGTACTCAAAGCCTCCCGTGAACTTCTCCCCAGCTCTCTCCAACTATTTCTCATCCTGCTCTACCTTACCTTACTTTACCTTGTTTAAGCTATATAGAACCAAGTGTGTTTCTTGGGTGGCGCTAGGCTTTTTACAGCTCTGGGCCTTTCCTCTTCAGAACTGCTTTCCCTTTTACTAACCTGGAGAAGCTAGTGTAAGAATCATCTCCTCTATGAGGCTTCTGTCTCCACCTCTCACCCCCCAAAACTGATCATTCCCTCCTCCTTTCATAGAGAGAATGTTGTAGGGACTAGTTCTATTTATAATAATATAATAGCAGTGCATCACTGCACATTCTTATACTTAATTATACCTCTTTTCTCAGCCGCTACACTGTGAGCTCCATAAGGGCAAGGAACACATCTTAATCATCTTCTTTTTATGGTTTTAAAATTGTTCATAGGTATACTTAATACTATTACTTGTAACAATATAACACAAGGAACAAATAATAAAACTAGCATAACAAGCAAAAACTTAGCCCACTCTGAACACTTAGCTATTTCTCCATAAAGAACAGATCAAAAAGGTTGCAGGATTCAAATACAAACAGATCAAACAAGTCAAACTGTGTAACACTAGACTGTGAACTCTCCTAATGTAAAACTAGTCACATGAAGATGCATAGTGTGCAATGTCTAAATGAAAGCAGGTTCTCAATGTTTTTGAATGAATGATTTGTGAATATTTTAAATACTTGCATAATCTTATGGAGTTTTTCTTTCTTGAGATTTTAATCTTTTTTCTTTCTTCTCTTTGTCTTTATCATTTTTTAAAAAGCAGGTGAAACTTGTAAAGAAATTCTCAGGCCAAAAAGAATGCTGCAACAGAAAATAGAGGAACAAGGTACTCTAAGAGTTTCATATTGTGGTCCTGTCATTCAAAAGCTGGAGAAAGTTCAACATTATCTAATGTCCCCTAACTCAGATAGAATGGGCAAAAATAAAGCTATGTATAGACATCTAATTCATCTCTCTCAAAAAGATTAATCCAAATAAATACAATAGTTTATTTGCCATAATTTTAATCTGAGGAACATAAGTATTATTTCTATCTCCAAAATCTAAAAGATTAACTTTTATTTGTCATTTATATTAACTAATATTTCCTCTCTACAAACTTAGTCTAGCAATTAAATTCATATTCTTTCATTTTATTATGAAAAATCCATAATTTTATTAACTTGGGGGTATACCTAGAAATCTCTTTTTTCTATTTCATATGTTAACAATTAATAATGTTTTAGATTACTCTTTGGGAAACAAGTCTAATAGAAATGATTTAAAACGATTCTTTATATAGAAATTTGATAATCAGCAGTGTTACAATAAAAAAATATTGAACTGAAGGCAGTGACTTGAGTTCAACTCATGTTCACAATAATATAATAATTTCTTCCATTTATATGTGAATTATTCTAATTCTAACTTTCATTTTAAGTTTTAATGCTATGAAAAGAGAGACACATTAGAGTATTTACAATGAAGAGTTATGCCACTAGTGAAGGTCCACAAACCATATCACATAAGAAGTGTTTGAAAAAAAAATAGGCTATTTAGTTGAAGAAGGAAATCCTTGAGTAGTGATGATAGCTATCTTGAAATATTAGAGGGCTTCTCAGATAGTTAACCTATTTTAGCCAGAGGGTACTGAACCCAAGGTGTCAGTTTCAATACAATATTTAGCTTAGTTGCAGGAAGCCCTTTAACCATTTAACATGAATCAGAGTGGACTACCTACCTCACAAGGCCACATTCTCCCCATTCCAAGAATAGTTCCAAAGGGAGGCTGGTCAGCCAACTAGCCATGACTATTGTGGGGGGTAGAGGGGCTGACGGCAGGAGAAACCAAGTATCCCTTCAGATCCCTTCTAAGCCTGGGGTGTTATGACTTTATGTATCACTGAGGGCACTGTGTTATTACCATTTCAGCTGCTAAGTACCAACATATAGTAGTGAAGAAATGTTGTTATGATGGAGCCCATCAGAATGATGATGAAACCTGTGAACAGCGAGCTGCCCGGATTAAGCTGGGTGAACGATGCATCACAGCCTTTAAGGAATGTTGTGCCTTGGCAAATCGGTTCCGTGCTGAAGAGTCTCATAAACCTTTGCAACTGGGAAGGCTCAGTAAGTTTGATGTTTTCTATCAGAATTCTGCCCAATATGAGGAATTTTTGTGTAATTTTATGCTGCTAAGGAAGGCAATGTTCATGCTCTACTTAAAATTGGAAGTGAAAAAGATAACTTGTAAATGCCCATAAGGAAAAAATCTGTTAATCATTTTTGGGAATCCGAAGATATATATAGTATAGGGCAGAGTACATTAGTTCACAGTCAAGACCCAGGGCAAGTTTAAAGCTGACTCATTCTATAAACTTGAATGGTTGTTTATCCTCTCAGATCTTCAACCTCCTCATTTTTAAAGCAAGAAGGTTAGGCCAGATGATCTCCAATATGCCTCTGAGCTCTAAAATTCTATGGCTCTGTGATATTACAATCAATGAAAATTCTCTTTATACCTATATGACCAAAATAGCAAAAGATTTCTAAATCTAGCTTAAGGTTAAGTGTGCTTATGTAAAAGCTGAAACCTTATTTCAGTTTCAAGCACAATATATACGAGTATTTTCAGATTTTATAGAACTCTTATTAATATATTTTCAGAAATTTTAGGGCTTTGTTTCATTTATATTTAGTCAAAACAAAATAGACAAAAGCAAGAAAGAAGAACAAAGTAGGAGGGATCACAATACCCAATAATTAAACTATACTAATGGCCACTGTAATCAGTATAGTCTAGTACTGGCATAAGAACAGACTATAAGATCAATGGAACAGAACAGAGGACCCAGAAATAAACCCATGTCTATGGTCAGTTAATATGGCAGCACTATATACAATAGCCAAGTGCTGGAAACAGCCTAAGTGCCCATCAGTAAATGAGTGGATCAAAAAATGGTGGTACATTAACACAATGGAATACTATGTAGCAGAAAGAAAGAAGGAACTCCTACCTTTTGTGATAGCATGGATGGAACTGGAGAGTATTATGCTAAGTGAAATAAGTGAGTTGGTGAAAGACAAATACCATATGATCTCACCTGTAAGAGAAGTCTGGTAAACAAAATAAACTAATGAACAAAATAGAACCACAGGCATGGAAACATGGAACAGATTGACATTGGCCAGAGGAGAGAAGGGAGGGGGATAATGGCAGAAAGAAGGGTAAGGGACTAGTCAAAGAACATGTACGAGTGACCCATGGGCATGGACAACAGTGTGGGAATTGACTGTGGGAGCAGGGGGTAGCCTAGGGGGAGGAGGGCAAAGAGGGAAAAAGTGGGACAACTATAATAGAATAACAATAAAAAAAGTGAAGGAATTTTACCTACTTGAAAAAAACAGATAAAAGCAGAATAACAGCTCCTGTTTTATAATCTGATTGTTTTGCTTAGTAGTGCATCTTAAACATTGTCCTTTTAAATGGATATATTTCTGCAAACATAAAATTTTGTGGGTACTTACCAAAATCATGTTATTAGCCATATTTAAGTTTTCAGACTTTTCACATATTACAGTCAGCATTTTCATGAACAACCTGGTACATATATTTTTTCATTGTCCAATTTTTCTATTATAATTGTCTGGTTTGGCTTCAGCTGCATGGAACTCAATCTCTGCAGCTTCTCTCTGGTACTTTGCTCCTTATTCTAGACAGTTTGACTTCCCAAAACTCCAGTGTGTGTTGCTGTAACTCTGCAAAGGTCTGCGTGGGCTCCTCTCCCTGCCCTGCAGCCTGTAAACTGTCTTCAGAGAAAAAACCTGGATGACTTTAGGGTTTACCTAACCTTCTCCTTTCTCTCAGGGACCGCAATGCTGGGTCCCTTATGTTCTGGTGTCTGAAAACTATTTTAGATGGTGTGTCTGATATTCTGTATTTTCAAGACAGAAGGATAACCCTAGTCCCTACTAGTTCATCTTGGACAGGAACAGAAGTTCTATTGATTTTGAGTAAAGGGAATACATGATAAATGAATTTCTAAGCAGAGAATCACATAAACAGAATTATTGCAATTATAAGAATGCAAATAACTTTATAGACTGATTAGTATCTTATATAATCTCAGGAACACTAAACATTTAATTTCCACTTCCAATCTTAATTTAGAAAACAAATAATTAAAGATATTTTTATGCCTGTTTTGTAAATGCTATTAATGAAGAAGTTCTAATACTGCCATTTTGAAATCATTAGGTGACGTGTTTCACTGAGCTTTCAGAAAATGCTTGTTTTAGATTAATGTTCATATTTTAAAATTTGGCTATAAATGAAATTTATATTGTTTTTCTATAGTAGAATATACTATTTTCCCCAGATATACAGACCCTGGCACCAATAACCAAGACAGAAATAAGGAGCTATTTTCCAGAAAGCTGGTTATGGGAAGTTCATCATGTCTCCAGACAGTGTCACAAACTTGCAGCAACTCCCCACAGAACTCCAGTGGTTTACCACGTTGACCCCATCTCCTGCCTTCCAACATCTACTGCAAGGTAGTTTGATTTACTTTCAACAAGTAAAGCAGGCAAGGGATTCATATCCAAAGCTCCTCCTCCAAATGGGAGGCTTAGCCATCGCTTATATATACTATTTGGTCAAGTTCATGTTGATTTCTTATTTGCAGTTGGCCTCACTTACCTGGTTGGGTTCCTGTCAAGCTTATCCCATTTACAGCTGGTTGCAAAATACTGTGCTACATTTTAACAGTTAGCAAGAATAGCATTTAGTAAGAATGGCTCAGACCGTGACACCCTTGTCCTGTCTAGCAAAGGTCTAGCCATTATACTTCCTTGACATTACTTTGAAAAATGTGAGAATTTGCAAATATTATGGCCAAAAATCTGAAGATTACTCATTTCCCAATAGTTTATTTAAGAGTTAAGATGCTACTCCCATGTGGCCAAATTATTTTTGCTTCACTTTTCTTTTTCTTATGTGCTTTGCTCTAGTAATTGAGTCCAAGGCAGAAGAGTTCTGTTCATTTAATTTCACTTCTCTTCCGTAAGCATTAACCGAGCACAATGGTGCTATACACTGTTAGGCAGCCCTTCTTATCCTGAAATATCTGCACCATAAAACAAATGTTGGTTAATAAAAAGAAAGTTTTTTTCTCTTTAAATTCCAATATTCAACACATTTTAATGGAATGCCTACTTGGTACCAGGCACTGAAAACCGTGATAGTAATGCCAAGTCCCTGACCAACACCCTTCCTTGGGGGGCTCAAAGCACTGACTTTTCAAGGAGCAGTCAAGGCACTGAGTCCCGAGCCTGGCGTCAGTTTTCTAATGGGTCTCCTCTTCTCTGCCTTTGTCACCTCTAAATCTTCTTGCATAGTGTCGTCATTTCAGCTGACATTGCCCCTTGGCTAACACTTCTCTGGTAAGCCTCCCCATCACTGTTCTCTACCCTACCAGTGATTGGATAAATTACCTTTCCGGATTAATTCTGTTGTATGTGTCACAGAATTATAAGGGCCTAACTTACCTGCCCATCTTCCACATTGAGGTGTAATTACTTCCAGGGCAAGGGCTAAATTCAGGTTACTGCTTTACATCTAGGACCTGGCGTGAAGTCTGTCTGGCTTGTAGAGGCACTAAAATGAATGTGTTGAATAAATGCAAACTGCACCTGAATTTTTTAATGCTTTATCAGTACAGTTATTACAATGCACTGCAATGTATTTACTTAACTATTTTTTAACTAGACTGTAAACTACTTGTGAGCAGGGCTACATCTTTTTTTATTTTTTAAATATATTTTATTGATTATGCTATTACAGTTTTCCCATTTTTCCTCCCCTTTATTCCCCTTAGTCCTGCTCCCACTATCATTCCCACACCTTAGCTCATGTCCATGGGTCATACATATAAATTCTTTGGCTTCTCTATTTCCTATATTATTCTTAATCTCCCATTTTGTACGTGCTATTTATGCTTCTTATTCCCCGTCCCCTTTCCCTCATTATCTCCCCTCCCCCTCCCTGCCGATAACCCTCCATGCGATCTCCATTTCTGTGATTCTGTTCCTGTTCTAGTTGTTTGCTTAGTTTGTTTTTGTTTTTTAGGTTTGGTTGTTGATAGCTGTGAGTTTGTTGTCATTTTACTGTTCATATTTTTTATCTTCTTTTTCTTAGATAAGTCCCTTTAACATTTCCTATAATAAGGGCTTGGTGATGAAGAACTCCTTTAACTTGACCTTATCTGAGAAGCACTTTATCTGCCTTTCCATTCTAAATGAAAACTTTGCTGGATAGAGCAATCTTGGATGTAGGTCCTTGCTTTTCATGACTTGGAATACTTCTTTCCAGCCCCTTCTTGCCTGCAAGGTCTCTTTTGAGAAATCATCTGACAGTCTGAGGGGAACTCCTTTGTAGGTGACTGTCCCCTTATCTCTCGCTGCTTCTAGGATTCTCTTCTTCATTTTAATATTGGGTAATGTAATTATGATGTGCCTTGGTGTGTTCTCCCTTGGGTCCAACTTCTTTGGGACTCTTTGGGCTTCCTGGAAGTCTACTGCCTTTGCCAGATTAGGGAAGTTCTCCTTCATTATGTTTTTAAATAAGTTTTCAATTTCTTGTTCTTCCTTTTCTCCTTCTGTCACCCCTATGATTCGGATGTTGGAACATTTAAAGTTGTCCCAGAAGTTCCTCAGCCTTTCCTCATTTTTTTGAGTTTCTGTTTCTTCATTCTGTTCTGGTTGAATGCTTATTTCTTCCTTTCAAATCAGTCCAAATCTGGTCCAAATCATTGAATGAGTCCTGGTTTCCTTCCCTTCACTGTTGGTTACCTGTACATTTTCCTTTATTTCACTTTTCATAGCCTTCACTTCTTACTTTATTTTGTGACCATACTCAGCCATTTCTGTGAGCATCCTAATGACCATTGTTTTGAACTCTGCATCTGATATGTTGACTATCTCTTCATCACTTAGTTGTATTTTTTTCTGGAGCTTTCATCTATTCTTTCATTTAGGCCATACGATTTTGTTTGGACATGCCTGTTATATAGTAAGGGGTGGAGCCTTAGGTATTTGCCAGGGCAGGGCAACCCACACCGTGTGGCGCTATATGTGGGAAAGGAGTCCAAGAGGGAACAATGCTGCTTGCTCAGCTCTTCGCCAGCTTTCAGTCACTTCCTCCACTAACCACAAGCAAATCGGGCCCTTCTGGTGCTGATTCCCAGGTAGGTGTGTTAGTGTATGTTCTAGGACTCTGTGGGTCTCTCCAATAAACTCCCCTGTGAGACTGGGAGTTTCTCCCACTTCCATTTCAACCCCCACAGGTTATTTCCGTCAGAGGCTTTAAGTTTTTATCTCCCCACAATGGAACCCTGGGTAGCATGGTCTGTCTTGCTCCCCAGTTGTTCCTCCCAGTTTATCTGCACGCAAATGTGGGGCTGCCTCCTCTGCCTGCTGCCACCTCACCTGGTCTGCCAGCCGCCACCTTGCCACAAGTCCTCTCCACCCGCGCTGCCTGTCTCCACCCCTCCTACTGGTCTGGATGAATGTTTCTTCTTAAATTCCTTGGTTATTGGACTTCCATACAGTTTGATTTTCTGGCAGTTCTGATTATTTTTTTGTTTTAAAATTTGTTGTTGTCCTTCTTTTGGTTATGTGAGGAGGCAAAGTGTATCAACCTATCCCTCTATCTTTGCTGAAAGTCCCAAGACTACATCTTCTAAGTGCTATACACTCAGCACTATGCCTGACATAAAAGTGGTAGACAATAGATATTTGTTGAATAAAATAAATTTATAAACTTAATTTTAATCAGCAATTTTTAGTTATGTCAACTTTTTTATGAACACTATTAAGATGTATTGCTTTGCTTACCTATTTTAGAACATACTATGCAATAAACATAATTTTTCTTTGTTTTGTATGTTTCAAATTTGTAATGTTTCAAAGGCATCTTTCTGAATTTTAATTCTCATCATAAAAGTGAAAAATCTAAAAACATATAACCAGTAAGAGATGTATGGAATATATTTTTCTTGCTTAATTTTCCTTAATACTCAACATGATTTTATTTTGCTGTGATTTTTCTCTTCTACAGTAGTATATAGCAAAAGTTCTGCTAATGAGTGCTGTCTGGTTGGATTAATCAATGTTCCACTATATTTGACCATTAGTGTTTTAACTTTCAGTAAGCGGTTGCAGTTTGTGCTACCTGATTCTCTAACTACCTGGGAAATTCAAGGTGTTGGCATTTCAGATAGTGGTAAGCACGTTTAAGTTATATACTCATTTAACGAGTGATTTGATTATCAAAATGTAGTTTGATGATTTGTTTCAATAATGGCATTGAAAAAATGCTGTATTTTTGCCATCATCAAAAAAATATATAGTTATTTGGCTATTGTCTGTTTACCAGTAGTTTACCCAGGACTTAAGTGGTGACATTTTTTAAATATTCTTTTTAATATACTACAAAACAACTTAGATATGCCCATTTTTTGACCATGTCAATTTCCTCTTTTGTTCTTCTCTCCGCCATCATTTTGTAAATGCTGATGTCAATCCCCTATTTTTCTTCATTGTTCTCAGTGACTAGGAGCTTGAGCAGAGTTGGAAACAAGTGTATGAATGCTCTCCTGAGTTGATGCCCTTGTGTGGTGATTTAGTGCAGATACTTATATGAAGAACTTCAGGAATGATTCTGTTCATTTGTTGCCTGTTTTTTTGTTATTATAAAATCTTGGTTTCCACAGTCAAAATTTTATACCCATTAAACAGAGCCAGTGATAAATATCTAAAAAGAGATTTGGTGCTTTAGTTGAAAAATTCATGCCTTAAACAGAATTCAATATTTGTTGGACAACAGAGATTTCTGTTAATACCAATAATTAATGAAATAAAGATCAATGAATAGAAAATTCAAGAACATGGGATGACAATAATGAAAAAAATATGATCAAATTTTTTTCTTGAGACATTTTAATACTAATAAAGTATTATAGGAATTCGCTAATATGCCTCTACTTTGCTTTTACATTGTGCTGAAGGTATATGTGTTTCTAATACTGTCAAGGCAAAGGTGTTCAAAGATGTCTTCCTGGAAATGAATATACCGTATTCTGTTGTACGAGGGGAACAGATCCAATTGACAGGAACTGTTTACAACTATAGGATGTCTGGGATGAGGGTAAGTAGGTATTTATGGTATGTACATGTAAATGAAAAAAAAAAGAATTCTCTTTCTGATAACTCTATTAATGGAATTATCACAGACACAAAAAATAAAAACTCAACTCAGTTCAACATTATAAACCAATATGACCCAATCGGTTTCTTTAATTCGTGCCCCATCCACCCTAGTTGTTTGTTTCTGAAGAGGGAGAAGGAACTTTTCATCTTTTAGAAATTCCTCAAAATTAGTTGTTGAATATTGGCACTCTTTTTGTTTCCCTATTTAATTTATCCTAGTTATTATATTCTTTTGGGTATAGTTCTCAATTCTATCAGTTCACTAGATTTTGGAGGGGAAGTGAAAATTATTCACCATTTGAGCCAGAAGTCAGTAGCTACCATTATTATCCCCAGTACAAATATAGGGAAATGGAGACTGAAAGAAGTCTTACAACCTGCTGACATCACACAGTAAGAGGCAGAGCCAAGATTTGAACCTAGTTTTTTCTGGAGGCAGAGTCTGGTTGTAAAATTAGGTACAAGTGGTTGTAAAATTGTACAAGGTACAATTACTTAGGTAATTGATACCAAGGTAAAATTAGGTATCAATTAATTAATTGATAAATTAATTTGGAGGCATATTGGGCGAGGCCTTAAATGCCAAGAGATGGAGTTTTCAGTTTTTCATAAAACCATTTGTTGAATACCAAAGACTGAGCTAAAAGATATGAAATGAATAAGAGTACCTGAAACTACTATAAAGGACACATAGACAAAACCAAGGGGGAGGGTGGAAGCAAGGGAGGGAGGTGGGTTTGGAGGGGGTGGGAGGAAAATGTGGACAACTGTAATTGAACAATGATAAAATAATTTTGAAAAAGAAAAGAGTGGCCCTCGCTGGTGTAGCTCAGTGGATTGAGCTTGGGCTGTGAACCAAAGGATCGCCAGTTCAATTCCTGGTCAGGGCACATGCCTGGGTTGCAGACCAGGTCCCCAGTGGGGGCCATGTGAGAGGCAACCACACATTGATGTTTCTCTCCCTCTCTATCTCTCTTCCTTCCCCTCTCTCTAAAATTAAATAAAAAATTAAAAAAAGAAAAGAGTGCCTGAGCCTGGGGTTCCCACTGTCTAAAATAAAGACAATGTTACAAATGCTGTCACAACAACATGAACAAAGAACTTCAGTAGCTTTGCCCCCGACTTAGTAGGTAGCAGTGTAAGGAAGAGAAAGTATTTCTGGGACATGGCGAGCTTTCTAGACATCCCTTCATGTTGCTAAGGTATAGCAACTCATGTGTGTGTTTTGGAAAATCTGAAGTTAGCTTTCTCCTCTACCTTAAATCTACGGGATTATTTAACACTGTAAAAGTACCAGGGGAGGGTTTATATCCAGATGAACACAGTCAGGACATACTTTCCTTATCATAAAGTGTTTTGATGTAACTGTTCTTTGGTGATATTTCAGTTCTGTGTTACAATGTCTCCTGTGGAGGGAATCTGTTCTTCAGGAAGTTCAGCTGTCGACCCTCAGGGGAAAAAGACCTCCAGATGTCTGCACCAGACAGTAGAGGGCTCGTCCAGTCACCCGGTGACCTTTACCGTGCTTCCTCTGGAAGTTGGCCTCCATAGCATCAACTTTTCACTGGTCTCTGCGCTAGGAAAAGAAGTCTTAGTAAAAACATTACGAGTGGTGGTAAGAAAAACATGTTTTGCCTGATTCTTTTAAAATCACTTTTTTCATTCTGAAAAAAAGTTATCAGCAGCCATACGCTCCGTAATTCAGAAAGAGACACAGAAAATAATAATGTACATGTAACAAAATGTTAACCTTTAGGGAAATCTGGGTGGTTACCTCAGACTTTTTTGTCCTACTCTTGTAACTTTTCTTTAACTCTGAAATTATGTTTTTAAAATTTAAATAAAGCAATACTTGCTTATTGTAGAAAATATAGAATACTGGAAAAAACAAAGAAAATTAAAGTCACCCTACAGCCAGAGATATCCAGTTTTCACAATTTGGTATACATCTTTCCAGTTTTTTTTCCCCCAACACATTTAGAAAGCATGTTCTTTAAATCTATATATGTGCCAGATATTATACTAGCCACCAGAGATATAAATGAATTATGCCCATGCATTTATACTGTAGAACTTACAGTCTAGAAAATTTTCCTTTTCATAAAAGAATAAGTAAACAGACCAAAAAAGGAAGAAAACTATCATGTTTTAAGTATTATTTACCCATACAGTCTGTTGAATGTCTTAAGATTCTTGCTCAGAGTCACATGGCTAGTTAATGAGAGAGCTGTGTCTTCCATGAATCTACAATTTGGGGTGCAAGAAAGAAACTTCGTTCAGTGCAAAACGGCTAATTGTGATATAGCACAGCTATAAAAACAGCATGGCTGTGAGGCAGGCCTGGGGCCTAGCCCCTCTCCAGCTGGAAAGCCCTGTTCTGCTCCTTGATGGTTCGGTTTACTCTGTGCTGGTCTGCTCTCCTGTGATTTGGCCTACTTCCTTTAATATAGTTCTCAATTCTATCGGTTCACTAGAATGTGAATTCTTGCACCCCAAATTGTAGATTCATGGAAGACACAGCTCTCTCATTAACTAGCCATGTGACTCTGAGCAAGAATCTTAAGACATTCAACAGACTGTATGGGTAAATAATACTTAAAACATGATAGTTTTCTTCCTTTTTTGGTCTGTTTACTTATTCTTTTATGAAAAGGAAAATTTTCTAGACTGTAAGTTCTACAGTATAAATGCATGGGCATAATTCATTTATATCTCTGGTGGCTAGTATAATATCTGGCACATATATAGATTTAAAGAACATGCTTTCTAAATGTGTTGGGGGAAAAAAAACTGGAAAGATGTATACCAAATTGTGAAAACTGGATATCTCCGGCTGTAGGGTGACTTTAATTTTCTTTGTTCACTAGAATGTGAACCGATAGAATTGAGAGTTCACAGTCTGCTCTGCTTGCATTGATTTGCTCTGCTCCCAGGTCCCAGGGACATCTCCAATGTTTCAGCTCAGCCAACAGAGCACAGCCTTCAACCTTCTGGAAAGGGAGAGTGTGCTCTCAAAGCTAGAGGGGAGCTGCTTATATGGACAGAAGTCCTCACTGTTGATCCCTGATTGGTCTGTCCTTATGCAAATGAGGACTCCAAATCTTCAAAGTTTGATTGGTCCAAAAGGCACTGTCTTGAATGGATAGAAGAGAGCTACTCTGGTTGGTTAGAGCTGGGCAGCTTTGATTGGATGGGGAAAGCCTCAGTTCTGTTGGTTAAAATAAGATTCCAGGAACTCTTTTATAAAGGCTTACTGAGATGGCAGAAACACAGTGCAGGTGGGCAGATGCAGGCTGTTTAGCATAGGTTTCTCCCTGAAGCGCGATTTGTGTGAGAGGCCCCTGTGTGCAATGGATGCTAGGCTTGTTTTCTTTTTTTTTTTTTTGAGCCCAGCTAGCCACCAAAAGCCCTTCTTAGTAGGTGTTTTCTTTCTCAGGGTTCACAGTCTTCATTCTCTGAGTTCTGATGTCAGCTGTGAAATTCACTTCAGTAAGCATGTGTTAACTCATTTCGTGCAAGACTAGTTCCATGCATCCTTGCATGGTAGTTCCACGCACAGGCTCTGGAGCCAGGCTCCGTGGATTTGAATCTTGGCTCCACCACTTCCTAGCAGTGCGCCACTGGATATGTTTCTTGATCTCTGTGTCAGTTTCCTCATCTGTCAAATGGGAGTAGTAATAGCACCTACTTCACAGAGTGGTTTTGAGGTTAAATGAGCTGAAGCATACAAAGCACTTAGGTCAATATTGCCTGGCTTATAATTTCTATTTTAAGTGTTTGTTCTGATTATTATGCAGATTGCCAGAAAATCTTATTCCTGCATGTATGCATTTAAGTTTTTAAACATTCTTGCCTTCTTCCCCCAAAAAAGGATTTTTTAATTGGAAAAGTGGTCTAAGAATTCATGTCATATAGATATAATTATGTTATTAACTGAATGTTTTCTGCCTTTATTTTAGCCAGAAGGTGTGAAAAAGGAAAGTTATGCTGGTATTACTCTGGACCCCAAGGGTATTTATGGTAGGCAGAATAATTTTCTATTTTATGTGTCATCTTTTGCTCTAGAAACTGCAGTATTATGTAACTTGAAACACTATTTTTCAAAATATTAATTGTCTAGAATCAGGAATGTCCACTTCTTAGTTCATTGCCATTCTTGATAGCATGTATCGTACTGTAATCTGGATGGGTTTAAATACAATTCCATTAGTTTTAAATGTAAGCATTGAAATAGTAGCAATTGCATGATTTCCCTTAGATAGTAATCATTTTCTATCCAACACAATAATAATTATAGTATTTTTATTGTGCCATCAGTCCAAAGAACATATAAGAAAAAGTTACATACTTACTTAACATGCATTATTTGAAAATACAATAATGTTGATTAATCACTTTACAAACCATTTGTAGTTTTTCCTGCTTCCCTTTTTTTCTTCAATGCAGATATTCCAAATCTTCTCAAGGCTAGAATTTTTGCAGAAATGTAAGCACTTAATCAAGGTCTAAATATAGTCTATTTATAAAATTTATAATGTGCTCAGTTAACAATTCTTTTCTTTTTTAAAAAATATTTTATTCATTTACTTTTAGAGAGAGGGGAAGGGAAAGAGAGAGGGAGAGAAACATCAATGTGTGGTTGGCTCTCAAGCACCCCCCTGCCCCCGCCACTGGGGACCTGGCCGACAACCCAGGCATGGGCCCTGACTGGGAATTAAACCAGCGAGCCTTTGGTTTGCAGGCCAGCGCTCAATCCACTGAGCCACACCAGTCAGGGCTCCATCAAAAATCTTGGTTAAAAAAAGTTTATGCCTCTTTCCAACCTTGTCATATGACTTTTTCCCCTTACCATTTTAGATATCTTAGGTATCTTCATTACTTTCTAGAGTGCTAAATAGGATAAAGATGGCAATCAGTTCTGTCCAGTTTATTTCAGAGATTTTATTGAATACTTCCATTATTTATATATTGGAATTGCTATACCAGAATAAGATTTTATAGAGTTCTGTTTTTTTCCTTAATCCTCACCTGAGGATGTTTATTGATTTTAGAGACAAAGGAAGGGAAAGAGGAGAGTGGGAGGGAAAGAATGAGAGGAACATCAAACAGTTGCCTCCTGTACAGGCACCAACCAGGTACTGACCCTGCAGTTTAGGTATATGCCCTGATGGAGAATCAAACCTGAAAATTTTGGTGTACTGGACAATGCTCCAACCAACCGAGCCACATGGTTTCTGGGGTTTTTAAAAAATATATGTTTTATTGATTTATGCCATTACAGTTGTTTCATTTCCCCCCTTCATTTCCCTCTACCCTGCACACCCACTCCCCCCATTCCCCCCCTTTAGTTCATGTCCATGTGTCACAATTTCTTTAGATTCTATATTTCCCATACTATTCTTGCCCTCCCCCCTATTTTCTACCTATCATCTATGCTACTTATTCTCTGTACCTTCTCCCGCCCTCCTCCTCCCACTCCCCTGTTAACCCCCCCATGTGATCTCCATTTCTATGGTTCTGCTTCTGATCTAGATGTCCTCTTAGTTTGCTTTTGTTTTAGGTTTGGTTCTTAATAACTGTGAGTGTGCTGTTCTTTCACTGTTCATATTTTTATCTTATCTTTCTTAGATAAGTCCCTTTAACATTTCATATAATAAGGACTTGATGATGATGAACTCCTTGAATTTGACCTTATCTGAGAAGCACTTTACCTGCCCTTCCATTCTAAATGAAAGCTTTGCTGGATAGATCAATCTTGGATGTAGGTCCTTGCTTTTCATGACTTGGAATACTTCTTTCCAGCCCCTTCTTGCCTATAAGGTCTCTTTTGAGAAATCAGCTGACAGTCTGATGGGAACCCCTTTGTAGGTGACAGTCCCCTTATCTCTTGCTGCTCCTAGGATTCTCTCCTTCATTTTAATCTTGGCTAATGTAATTATGATGTGCCTTGGTGTGTTCTTCCTTGGGTCCAACTTCTTTGGGACTCTCTGAACTTCCTGGACTTCCTGGAAGTCTATTACCTTTGCCAGATTGGGGAAGTTCTCCTCTATTATTTGTTCCAATAAGTTTTCCACTCATGGCTGTTCCTCTTCCCCTTCTGGTACCCCTATAATTCGGATGTTGGAACATTTAAAGATGTCCTGAAGGTTCCTAAACCTCTCCTCATTCTTTTGAATTCTTGTTTCTTCATTGTTTTCTGTTTGGTCATTTTATTCTTCCTTCTGGTCCACTCAATTAATTTGAGTCCCAGTTTCCTTCCCATCACTATTGATTCCCTGTGCATTTCCCTTCATTTCACTTAGTGAAGCCTTCATTTGTTCATCTAATTTGTGACTAAAAATTAACCAGTTATGTGAGGACCTGGTCACCAGTGTTTTGAACTGTGCATCTGGTAGGTTGGCTATCTCTTGGTCACTTAGAAGTATTGGCTCTGGGGCTTTGAGCTGTTCTTCTTGAGCCATAATGTTTTGGTCTGTTTGCGCTTGTTACATATGAGCTGCAGAGCCTTAGGTGTTCACCAGGGCAGGGCAACCCAGGTTGCTGGATTGTGACACTGTATATGAGGGCAGGATCAGAGAGGGGCAATGTCATTTTTTTCTGCTCTCTCTCAGATTTTGGTCCCCTCTGCTGCTTCCCACAAGCAAATTGGGCCCTTCTGGTGCTGGTTCCCAGATGTGTGGGCTTGTGCAGCCTCCAGGACCCTGTGGGTCTCTCCAGTGAACTCTCTGTGAGCCTGGGAGCCTCTCCTGGCACCTCGACCCCCTAAAGTTTTTCCAGTTGGTGCTTTTAGGCTTATTTTCTGGCGCTGGGGCCCTGGGTTGTACGGTCTATCTCACTGCTTGCTCCTTTGCCTGGTTTATCTGCGTGCGAATGTGTGACCATGGTCAGCCAGCCACCTTGTGCCCTCACTGGGTCCGCCTGTTGCCACCCCAGGCCTGGGATCTGCCAACCGCCGCCTGAGCGCCTGAGTCAGTCAGCTGTTTTTTCCCCGCAAAACCCCTCTCTACCAGCTGCTGATTCCACCCCTCTTACCAGTCTGGATGAATGGTTCATTGTTGTTGGACTTTGGTACAGTTTAATTTTCTCTCTGTTTTGGTTTTTAAATATTTGTTGTTCATAAACTTGGTTGTGTGAGGAGGTACAGTATTTCTACCTACGCCTCCATCTTGGCTGGAAGTCGGGTTGTTTTTTTTAAACCACGATGTATTTGGAAAAGTACATGGACAGTAACATTAGAAGAAATCTGAAAAATCTGTCGGTGAGGAAGAAGGAGGTATCAGAGCAAATTGTAAATTAATAGTGATTAATATTGTGGGATATCAGTTTAAAAAGAGACTAAACACAAACTCAGTACTCAAGACTAGCCCTATTTGTTTCTTTTTTTAAGTATATTTTATCGGTTATGCTGTTACAATTTTCCTAATTTTTCCCCCTTTATCTCCCCTCCACCCTGCACCCCCCAACCCTCCAGTATTCCACCTCCCCCTTAGTTCATATCCATAGGTTGTACATATAAATTCTTTGAGTTCTCTGTTTTCTATACCTTTTTTTGACCTCTCCCCATCTATTTTGTGCTACCAATTATGCTTCTTCCCTGTACCTTCCCCCCCATTCCTCCCTTCCCCCTTCCCCCTTCCCCACTCGAAACCCTCCTTGTGATGTCCATTTCTCTGATTCTGTTCCTGTTCCAGTTGTTTGCTTAGTTTTTGTTTTCATTGTTTTTTTTTTTAGGTTCATTTGTTGATAGTTGTGAGTTTGCTGTCATTTTACTGTTCATATTTTTTATCTTCTTTTTCTTAGATAAGTTTCTTTAACATTTCATATAATAAGGGCTTGGTAATGATGAAGTCCTTTAACTTGACCTTATCTGGGAAGTACTTCATCTGCCCTTCCATTCTAAATGAGAGCTTTGCTGGATACAGCAATCTTGGATATGGGTCCTTGCCTTTCATGACTTTGAATACTTCTTTCCAGCCCCTTCTTGCCTGCAAGGTCTCTTTGGAGAAATCAGCTTGATAGTCTTACGGGCACTCCTTTGTAGGTAACTCTCTCCTTTCCTCTTGCTGCTTTTAAGATTCTCTCTTTATCTTTAATCTTGGGTAGACTGTGTACCTAGGAGGAGGACTGCTGTGTCAGAGGGCAGACATACATTGAATGCACTTCCAAAAAGGTACAAGTTCTATTTTCCCATCCCAGCCTCCCCGAATATAGTATACTTCTGTCACATTTCTCTCCGTAATGGCTGTACTGTTTACACTTCCACCAGCACTGCGTGAGGGTTTTCATGTCTCCACATTCTCACCAAGGAACTTGGTGTTCCTGGCCTCTCTAAAACGCTCTACTTTTCAGGGGTAGAAAGTGATATTTCTTTATTGTTTTAATTTGGATTCGTCTGATTACTAGTGATTTTAAACATTTTTTCATATACATGTTAGCCATTTGGGCTTTCCCATCTGTACATTACCTAGTCCTATCTTTTACACTTTTTTCTATTTTCCATTTGGGTTTTCTTATCCATTTCTTGTTGATTTTGCTTCCAGTTTACTTCATGCAGTGCTGAACCACAGTGTGTTTTGATTTTGAACAGGACTCTTTATTCTGATACAGTCAAATTCATTATAATTTCATTTTATTATTTTATATTTGGGGGGTAGGCTTTAAGAAGCCTCCCCACACTATGAGTTCACAAACATATTTTATCTTATTGGTTTTACAGATTTAACTTTTAAATGTTTTAATCTCTCTGGCCTTTATATGGGATGTCTTGATGAGTTTTCACCATCATCTCTGACAAGGGAGTAAAACTGACTTCTTTTTAGTTTTAACTTTGTTTTCTGTACCTTTTCCATCTGGTAGCAGAGTTGGTAGTGAGAAGTGAAATAGTCAAGAGCAGGTATTGATGGAAAAAATGATGGAGGATCAAATTAAGATAATTTCAAACAACCAACTGTCATTAAGTACCATATATAGTTCATGAACCGTTTACCAGATTTTGGGGGTTATATTATTTTTACTCTCACAAAATCCCTTTCAGGAAAATACCATTATCTCTGTTTAACTGATGAGCAAACCAAGGCATAGAAGGATTAAGTGTTTTTCCCAATGTCATGTATAGAGTAAGCTCTTTCTAAATTCCATCCTCCTTTCAATCACTGTAAACCTCTTAAATGTCTCACTGAGTTTATCTTAATATTATATCCTCAGCACTTATCAAAGGTTAATGAAGAAAAGTTACCTGAGGCATGTTCCTGTCTCTTCTGCAAAGTCACATTACTTGTCCATTAAATTGCAAAATGTCACTATTTTTTTAAGTGTCTGCCATGTGCCGGGGACTGTATTGAGTGCTAGGACTATAGCATTCAGTAAGGGACGGTTTCTGCCCTTACAGAACTTTCTTAGCAGGACAACGGGAGGTAGAGTCTCTTCGTGGTGACTATTATGGGCTACGCAATAAAACTTCTGGAGTTCAGCTCACAGATCCACCTGTAGTGCTTTGCGACCTTGAGCAATTTGCTTTCTAAGCCTCAGTTTCCTCATCTATAAAATAAAAAAATAATAGACCTAACATACAGGGATGTTGTGAGGATCCAGTGTAACAATGCATTTAAGGAACTTTGCAGAGCTCTTACTATTCTATTAGTAAAATGGTAAATATTATACTCTTTATGAAGTAAACCATTGATTACAGTAGAAAAATGCTCTGGTACTGGTATGCTAAAACTCTGTTATTGTGCATAGAGAAAAAGTATCTAAATAACACTAAGGAGAGGAAGTGGAAAGAGTTTCGGGCATGTTTCCTAGTGGAGCTAATCTTCATATTTCCTTGACTAAGGAATTACATGTTAGTTATTTTTAGATTTCAATTCTAAGAACAATTTTCTCTTTGAACAAAATAGCAATCTTACTTTTACTGGTGAATACGATTTATATAACCTATTTGTTTCCTATCTTGTAATGACCAGGAAGCTTACAATCAAATTTAATGCTTTATTTCAAAAGATTAAATAAGCCTAGGCTTTGATAAAAATCCTTGATTGTTTTAACTTCCTACCAAAATTTTAACATTGTTACTGTAAAAGAATGTTTTGTATTAAAAAATCCTTAGAGGTAGCTATATTAAATAATTTGCAAATAGCCATCCCTTGAGAACTCTGTAAATCTAAGAATTTTTTTTCTTTAAATTTCAGGTGTCACAAGCAGACAAAAGGAGTTCCCATACAGGGTACCATTAGATTTGGTCCCCAAAACAAAAATCAAAAGGACTGTGAGTATAAAAGGTAAATTAACAAATGCCACTTTTATTTCTCATTTTACTTTGTTCTTCAAACAAAAATCAAATATCCTCATGATTATTCTGTTTCTTCTCTGCTCTAGTCAATAGCATATACAAATTTACCTCTGGGAGTACCTGACTCCTATTCCCACCTTCAAATCCCAGACCACTTTTCCAACTATCTTCTTCTACTGACCTGATTTAAATGGAGATTTAATCTCCATGCTAGAGGGTGGGGGCTGTCACTGGCCCAAAGACATCTTTACCATGGGGATGCAGCTGCTTCTGGACTTAAGAACTGGATCTTGGTGGCCAGGCCTGTTCCAGAGAATGCTTTATGAACTGTAAATGGCCCCCTAACAGTACTGGGGAGCTAAACAAAACAGCACCGCTGAACAGTAGCAGAACAGCACTGCTCTGCTAAACTACCAGCCCCAGAGGGGTTCTCTCCCCTCCAATGCATTTGCAAAAGTGGTGTCTTTGGTGGTTTTTTTCCCTGTCTCCAGCATTTACAATTCAATGACATACATATTATCAAAGTGATCTATGATCCTGATTACACTTTATCTCAGATAAAATCTTAGAATCACTGAATGTAGCACTGCAAAGGACTCTTTCAACCATGTGCAACCTCGTTGTGTATATAAGAGCACTGTTTGCCCAGGGCAGCATCATGAATCATGGACAGGGCCCTCACAGCATTCACAGGGTGTTCACAGTTCAGATTCTTTGCTTTGCTTTGCTTTGTAGAAGCAACTAATTAATACCATTTATGTCAACGCTATCAGGTTGAATGGCAACTAATTTGCCATGCACTCTATGTAGTAATCCGCCCACTGTATTTACACCAGCTTACCACCATATAACAGTGGTAGTTTTAAGCCTACTTTTGGTATTTCTTTTAAATTGAGCTTCCTAAACAGATCTTTTTTTTTAGCTCCCCAGTACTGAGAAGTAATTCAACTGCCTAGATAAACATGAAAGAATAAAGATGCTTGCTCTTATCTCTATTTAAAATATACTGTTACACAGAAACTCATAGAAATTGATTGTGTCTAATTTGAATTTTGTGTGTGTGTTCCAGGAATGCTTATGGGTGAGATCATGTCTGCAGTCCTGAGTCGGGAAGGCATTGATATCCTCACCCACCTCCCCAAGGGGAACGCGGAGGCGGAGTTGATGAGCATTGTCCCGGTATTCTACATTTACCACTACCTGGAGGCGGGAGATCACTGGAACATTTTTTCCCCTAATTCATTAACTAAAAAAGAGTACCTGAAGAAAAAATTAAAAGAAGGTAAAAAAATCTATTTTACATATTGTACACAAAAATTTTGGTTTTTAAATAGTTTAATTCAACTAATATTTATGTTGTTATGAGTTATACAGAAGCTTAATTGTAAAAGCATTTCAGCAAAAAACATCCTAAGGCAGACTTCACTGTGAGTAAATACTATCTGCTGTTGCGTTTTGGCTTCACTTACTAAAATGCCTGGACGAGAGTCAAGACACCTGCATTCCAGATCTACAGAGCACTTCCTTCCTGAGTGAGTGAGCTCAGAAGGTCGTACTTGATAGTTCCCAATTTAAGCGATTTGTATACTTCATTTGAGAAGTTCAGTGTTGGCCACACACAGAGTATATGCTTACTGCCCAACACCAAGAGGAATCTACCACTACCAGGGGCTAATAAAGCACTCTTTGATTGGAAATGGAGGTCACTGAAGCACTTCTTTTTCTGGTACCTCTTAGGGATGATAAGCATCATGTCCTACCAAAATCCTGACTATTCTTATAACATGTGGAAAAATGGAGAAGCTAGTTCTTGGTAAGTAGAAGGTTTGACTTGCATTTCATATATAGTAGTTGATTAATTAACTGAAGAATAATGATCTTTACAGAAACTTTATTTGCCTGGTTGCTCAGGCTAAAAAAGCCTAGTCATCCTTCACTGACTTCTTTCTCTTCCAAACCACATCTGATCCAGCAAATACCTTCGGTTGCACCTTCAAAATATATCCTGGATTTGACTGCTTCTCACCAGCTCCACTGTACTATCCTGGCCCAAGCCACTCTCATCTCTCACCTGGATTATTGCACTAGCCTCCTCAGGTTTTTTGGCTTCAGCTCTTGCCTCTCTTCAATCTGTGTTGCATAGCATCTGGAATGACTTCATTAAAGTTAGTTCATGCCATTCGAAATGATTCAGGGGCTTCCCATCTCACCAGGGCAAAAAACAAAGTTCTTGCTATGATCTACAAGGCCCTCCATGGTTTGCCCCCTCCACCCCCCCCAACCTCTCCATCTACATTCCCTTCTACTCTCTTTCATTCCGCTCAAACCTCAGTAGCCTCCCTGCTGTTCGTCAAACACATCAGTCATGCTTGCAAACTCAGGGCCTTTGCACTGACTGTTCTTCTATCTGGAATGCTTCCCCCAGGTATCAGCATGGCTTTCTTCTTTATCTCCCTCATGTCTTTTCTAAAAGTCAGCTTCTCAGCGAGGCCTCTGCCAATCATTCTATCTAAATCATACCCCATTCCCATCCCAACACTTTATTTCCTTCTCCCCACTTTCCTTTTCTCCTTAGAATATATTACTCAAATTCTTTAATTAAAAATTTTTATTTATTGATTTTTAGAGAGAGAGAGAAAAAGAGCAAAAGAGAGGGGGAAGCATCAATTTGTTGTTTCACTTGTTTATGCATTCATTGGTTGCTTCTTATATGTGCCCTGACCAGAGATCAAACCCGCAACCCGGACACATAGGGACAATGCTGTAACCAATTTAGCTTCCTGGCCAGGGCTAATCTTTTAATTGAACTTACTAGGATGATATTAGTTAATAAAATGATATAGGTTTCAAGTGTACAATTTTATAATATGTCATCTGTATATTGTATTGTGTGTTCCTTATCCCAAGTTAAGTCTCCTTCGGTCAACATTTATCCCCCCTTTACCCTTTTCTGCCTGTCCCCAACCCCCTTTCCCTCTGGTAATCACCATAGTTGTCTATGTCGATGAGTTTTTATTTTTTGCTTATCCCTTTCACCTATTTCACCCAGCCTCCCAATTCCCCATCCTCTATTACTAATATTCTTACTTATCTCACTTACTGTCTGTCAGACAGCCACTACCATGTAAGCTCTACATGGGAATTTCAAAGTATACCTAGCACCTGGTACATACCTGTCACACAGTGGGTACTCAAAAGTACTTATTCAGTGAAGTATAGTAAATTCCATAATTCTGATGATTTTGAGGGAAAGACAGTCTGGATTCATTAAATCCATACAGGAATCTATTTTAAAAAAATACCGGACTTCTGACCAAGATGAAGGCATAGGTAGACACACTGTGCCTCCTTGCACAACCAAAAGAAGGACAATAAGAATTTAAAAACAAAAAAACAACCAGAACTAACAGAAAATCAAACTGTATGCAAATTCAACAACCAAGCAGTTAAAGAAGACACATTCATCCAGACCAGTAGGAGGGGCGGAGGTGGGCAGGCAGGGCAGAGAGGACTCATAGCAAGGAGGCAGCTGGCGGACACAGCTAGGCGTCGGATTGTGGAACTGGGCACACAAGGCTGCAGCTGGCCAGCAAGGCAGCAGTGGGGGGACCCAGCGAGGCAGCAGATTGCAGACTTGGTGGTCCCACAATCACGTACGGATAAACTGGGAGAAACAATTAAGGAGCAAGACAGACCCTGCAACCCAGAGCTCCAGCATGAGGAAATAAAGCCTCAAACTTCTGATTGAAAACACCTGTGGGGGTTGAGGTGGCAGTGGGAGAAACTCTCAGCCTCACAGGAGAGTTTGTGGGAGAGACCCACAGGGTCCTAGAATGTACACAAACCTGCCCTCAAGGGAATCAGCATCAGAAGGGCCCAATTTGCATGGGGGAAGTGACTGATATCTGGTAGAGAGTGGACCAAATGCCATTGTTCCCCATTGGACCCCTTTCCCACATACTATCACAACCCAGGGAGGTGGGTTACCCCACCCTGGTGAACATCTAAGGCTCCGCCCCGCACATCAAGACAAAAAAAAATGGCCCAAACAAAAGAACAGATCAAAGCTCCAGAACAAATACAACTAAGTGAAGAAGAGATAGCCACCCTATCAGATACACAGTTCAAAACACTGGTAATTAGGATGCCCACAGAATTGGTTGAATTTTGTCACAAATTAGATGAAAAAATGAAGGCTATGCTAAGTGAAAGAAAGGAAAATGTACAGGAAACCAATAGTGATGGGAAGGAAACTGGGACTCAAGTCAATGGAGTGGACCAGAAGGAAGAAAGAAACATTCAACTAGGAAAGAATGAAGAAACAAGAATTCAAAAAAATGAGGAGAGGCGTAGGAACCTCCAGGACATCTTTAAACATTCCAACATCTGAATTATAGGGGTACCAGAAGGGGAAGAGGAACAGCCATGAGTAGAAAACTTATTGGAACAAATAATAGAGGAGAACTTCCCCAATCTGACAAAGGTAATAGACTTTCAGAAAGTTCAGGAAGCTCAGAGAACCCCAAAGAAGTTGGACCCAAGGAAGAACACACCAAGGCACATCATAATTACATTAGCCAAGATTAAAATGAAGGAGAGAACCCTAGAAGCAGCAAGAGATATGGGGACAGTCACCTACAGAGGAGTTCCCATCAGACTGTCAGCTGATTTCTCAAAAGAGACCTTACAGACCAGAAGGGGCTGGAAAGAAGTATTCCAAGTCATGAAAGGCAAGGACCTACATCCAAGATTGCTCTATCCAGCAAAGCTTTCACTTAGAATGGAAAGGCAGATAAAGTGCTTCTCAGATAAGACCAAGTTCAAGGAGTTCATCATCACCAAGCCCTTATTATATGAAATGTTAAAGAGATTTATCTAAGAAGAGGAAGATAAAAAATATGAACAGTAAAATGACAGCAAACTCATAATATTAACAACCACACCTAAAACAAAAACAAAAGGAAACTAAGTAAACAACTAGAACTAGAACGGAACCACAGAAATGGAGATCACACTGAGGGTTATCAACAGGGGAGTCTTGGGGGAGAGAAGGGGAAAAGGTACAGAGAATAAGTAGCATAGATGGTAGGTAGAAAATAGAAAGGGGGAGGGTAAGAATAGTATGGAAAGCGAAGAAGCCAAAGAACTTATATGTACGACCCATGTACATGAAGTAAGTGGGGGGAATGTGGGAGTGGTGCAGGGCAGAGAGGAGTGAAGGGGGGAGAATGGGACAACTGTAATAGCATAGTCAATAAAAAAATACTGTCGTGCTTTGACAAAGCATTTACTAAAAGCAGAGTATGCCATGGCTTTGTAGGCTCTGCAATATGAAGCACTCTTAAAGAATTTATGACCTAGAATAATTGACTTTTAGATTATGCCCTTTAACTATTAAGAGTCCTCAGGATTTCATTCTGGACCCTCTTATCTTCTGTAATCTCTCCTTGTACGATCTCACTCTTGCCCATGACTTCCATAACTTCTATGCAGATGGTTCCCTAAGCAATATCTCAAGACTTAACTTCTTTCTTAAGCTCCAGATCCACATTTCCAGGGTGTGGGAGCCAAAGGCCCTTCAAACCCAATCATATAAAATTCATTCTTTTGTTTCTCTGGTTTCTTATTCAGTGTACAGCAATGCTCTGTACTTTAACCCTCATTTGACCTCTCCCCCCTTTTTTTGGCTTTATATCCAATCAGTCATCAAGTCTCACAGACTGTACCTTAGAATTGGGTCTAACCTTGTGTGGATGGCACATTTTAAAAGATATGTAAATCTCCAACTAGAGGGTAACTACCAACTAGAAGGTAACTACCTTCTAGAAGGTAGCATACCAACTAGAAGGTAACTACCTGGATACAATGGGTGGGTATTGATCCAGACTGGAAACCACCACAACAGGAGTTGGGAACTAAATGCCTGGAGAACAGAATCCCCACAGGAAGATGCAACAGTCTTTCAGGAAACACCCAGAGCCTCTCCAGAGTTCTAGGCAAAACTGAATGGATGGTGTCGCAGCCAGAACATAGGAACACTTGTGTACTGTCCTAGACTCAATTCCACAGCTTCCTTGAGAGAAACATATGCATAGAAAAAAATCAACTTGTACCTAAATACTTTTTAAAACGGGGGGGAGGGGAATATGCAAAAAGTACAATGAATAAATATCATTAATTTTAAAGTATTGTTGTTTTTTAAAGAATAAACAATGGCTCTGGCTGGGTAGCTCTCCATTAAAGCGTGGTCCTGATATGCCAAGATTGCAGGTTCTATCCCTGGTCGGGACACAAACAAGAATCACCCAATGAATGCATGAATAAGCAGAACAACAAATCAATGTTTTTCTTTCTCTCTCTCCCCACCCCCTTCTTCTCTCTCTCTCAAAATCAATCAATATATTTAAAAAATAGCCCTGGCTGGTAAGCTCAGTGGATTGAGCATGGGCCTATGAAGCAAGGGGTCGCTGGTTCGGTTCCTGGTCAGGGCGCATACCTGGGTTGCAGGCCAGGTCCCCAGTGGGAGCCACGTGGCAGGCAGCCACACATTGGTGTTTCTCTCCTACTCTTTCTCCTTCCCTTCCCCTCTCTAGAATAAATAAATAAAATATTTAAAAAATAATAAAAAAAATAAACATTGTATTAACTAAAACACACTGTAAATGGAAAGCCAGAAGGGATTCAATGTCTAAATGTTTATTTATTTGATTTTGTCTTAAAGGTTAACAGCTTTTGTTTTAAGAGTACTGGGACAATTGCATAAATATGTACCTCAGAACCAAAATTCAATTTGTAATTCTTTAACATGGCTGGTTGAGAATTGTCAACTACAAAGTGGATCTTTCAAGGAACATTCCAGTTATCGAGCGCTAAAATTACGGGTAAGGAAACCAAATGTACAGGTTAGCAATAGTTTTATTTATTTATTTATTTATTTTTTAATTTTTATTTTTTTTAATTTTTTTAATTATTTTTTTAAATTTATTTTTTAAATTGATTATGCTGTTACAGTTGTTCTATTCGCCCCTTCATTCCCCTCCACCCTGCCCCCCATCCCCACCATTACCCCCCTTTAGTTTATGTCCATGTGTCTCAAGTCCTTTAGGTTCTATATTTCCCATGCTATTCTTGCCCCCCCCCATCTATTTTCTATCTACTGTCTATGCTACTTATTTTCTGTACCTTCTCCCCCCATCTCCTCCTCCCACTCCCCTGTTGCTAACCCTCCTTGAAATCTTCATTTCTATGTTTCCACTCCTGATCTAGCTGTTCTTTTAGTTTGCTTTCGTTTTAGGTGTGGTTGTTAATAACTGTGAGCTTGTTGTTCTTTCACTGTTCATGTTTCTTTAACTTCTTTTTCTTAGATAAGTCCCTTTAACATTTCATATAATAAGGGCTTGGTGATGATGAACTCCTTGAATTTGATCTTATCTGAGAAGCACCTTATCTGTCCTTCCATTCTAAATGAAAGTTTTGCTGGATAGAGCAATCTTGGTTGTAGGTCTTTAGATTTCATGACTTGGAATATTTCTTTCCAGCCCCTTCTTGCCTGTAAGGTCTCTTTTGAGAAATCAGCTGACAGTCTGATGGGGACTCCTTTGTAGGTGATTGTCCCCTTAGCTCTTGCTGCTTCTAGGATTCTCTCCTTCATTTTAATTTTGGCTAATGTAATTATGATATGCCTTGGTGTGTTTCTTCTTGAGTCCAACTTTTTTGGTACTCTCTGAGCTTCTTGGATTTCTTGGAAGTCTATTTCCTTTGCCAGATTGGGGAAATTTTCTTTTATTATTTGTTCAAATAATTTTTCCACTGGTGGTTGTGTCTTTCCCCCTTCTGGTACCCCTATAATTCGGATATTGGAGCGTTTAAAGATGTCCTGGAGGTTCCTAAGACTCTCCTCATTTCTTTGAATTCTTGCTCCTTGACTCTTTTCTGTTTGGCCATTATTTGCTTTCTTCTGGTCCACTCCATTGATTTGAGTCCCAGTTTCCTTTTCATCTCTATGGGTTTTCTGTGGAATTCCATTCATTTCCCTTAGTTTAGCCTTCATATGTTTCTCTAAATTGTGGCTATAATCAACCAGATCTGTTAGGAACCTGATGACCAGTGTTTTAAACTGTGCGTCTGAGAGTTTTGCTGTTTCTTCGTCGCTTAGATTTATCTCTGGGGCTTTGAGGTCTTCCTGCGACATTTTTGGTCTGTTCTGGCCCTTTAAATGTGAGAAGCGGCGCCTTGGACTCCCAGGTCGCTGGGTTGTGACGCTGTATGTGGGGGCGTGGTCAGAGCGGGGATATGGCGGCGCCCTCTACTGCCGCAAGCCACGGGGACCGCCGGCCCCGGTCCAAGCGCCCACTCCCTCTCCTGTCCGCTTGCCCACAGATAGGCAACCGCAGTCAACACGCAGCACCGCCTCCCCACTGTCTCCTCAGCAGTCGCTCACCCGGTGGGTTGCTCGGTCGCTCACTAGGTCCAATCCTGGGTTTGGAACCCGTGGGTCTGGATTCCCGCGTCTGGATTCCGTGCCTGGGTCCGTCCGACCGGAGTCCTGTGCAACCCCTCACGAGACGCTGGTTTCGCCCCTTACCGGTCGGGCTGAAGAATTTGTTGTTACTGGACTTCCGAAAAGTTCAATTTTCCGTGTTCTGGTTGTGTTTTCTGATGCTAATATTTAGTTGTCCCTAAACTTGGTTGTGTGAGAAGGCACGGCACATCCACCTATACCTCCATCTTGGCAGAAGTCCCAATAGTTTTATTTAGAAGTTTGAGTTTCGTTGTCATCCTATTTTAGTAGGATGGAGAAGAGAAGAAAAATAATAGATGTAACCCTGTAAGAAAACCCTCTTGTGCACAGGCAAAGGATTTGAGCGGCCTTGTCGTACTGCTTTCAGACTGTTTATCACAGGTCAGGTAGGTGGCATCTCAGACATCTCCTCTAACAGGCACTGGTGGTTCCTAGGCAGCAGGTGCTAGAGATCTCAGGATGGGTAAAATGCGCTAATCTGTCCATGTACCAGGCATGGAGTCTGTACCTGAAGTTCAGAGCCTTCTTACAGGTTAAGGCGGCAAAGGTATCTTGAAAAATGGGAGGGACCCTATTTACACTCTGTTAGAAAGAGAGATGGGGGGCCTGTTTATTGCAAGCTGTGACAAAGTGTTTGAGATTAGAATCTATGTATTTGCTTGATCTATACAAAGTAATTTCAATATTGCTCTAATATATTTTACTCCTTAATTTTTGAAGAGATTCAGCAGTTTTGTTGTTGTTGTTTTTGTCGTTTTGCCTGACCCAATCCAATGTTTTTTTATTTTTAAAATATATTTTATTGATTATGCCATTACAATTGTCCCATTTTCCCCCTTCATTCCCCTCCACCCTGTACACCCCCCTTTCCCCCACATTCCCTTCCTTCAGTTCATGTCCATGTGTCGTAAGTTCTTTAGCTTCTACATTTCCCACACTACTCTTGCCCTCCCCTGTCTATTTTCTCCCCACCGTCTATGCTACTTATTCTCTATACCTTCTCCCCACTTTTCCTCCTCCCACTCTCCTGTTGCTAACCCTCCATGTAATCTCCATTTCTGTGACTCCGCTCCAATCTTTTTAATATCAGACACAAGGAACTCCCTGGCTAACAGGAGTCTCATAATGGTCCCCTGTTGGACCAGTAGCAGATCAGGACTCCCACAAGATATGGAGGCAACTGACAACAACATTTGAAGAGTAAAATACTACAATAATTTTTTTCCTTAAGATGTCCACCCACCTATCCATCCATCCATCTATATTCATTCAACAACCATTCACTGAGCACCTAATACATGCAGGAGCCTATTTTGGGCAGCTTGGGGCAGAAAGAGTAGGAAGCATGGACCAGACAGTATCCCTGCCACTAAGGAGCTCACATACCTGTAGAGAAGTGGAGTAAAAATACTAGTGACTCTAATGTAGGTATAAGTGCATGTGTTCATTCATTTGCTCAATAAATATAAACTGAATGTGTACTAAGTACTACATGGTAGGAACACAACAGTGAACAGAACAGGTGTGGTCACTGAGGCCACAGAGCTTACAATTTAGCATAGATATTAAATAGGTGACTTCAAGGTTGTGATAAATGTTAAGAAAGGGGAAATATTGTTGTTTCATGGAAAGCAGGAGATCTAACCTAGACTGGAGGAGTTGAAAAAATGACTTCTAGGCTTCTGGGAGCTAGGTAGGAGCAGGTCAGGAAAAGTGTTCCAAGTGGAGCCAAGAGCATGCCTGGCATTTGTGAAGTAGGGAGGGAGGGTGGTTCATTCAAAGAGCCGGTACCAAGAGAGCAAGGGAGTGAGTGGCTTGAAATAAAACTGGAGAGATACTAGAGGTCAGTTCACAGAAGGTCTTAGAAGCATTACAGTGGGATGTCACTGCCCCACAAGAAAAAATATATGGGAGAATAGTGACAGAATCCTGCTTTGTACATTTAATGGGGTCTTCAAGGAGGAGGAGAATTTGAATGTGGTGAAGGGGTAAGAAGTGGAGCTTCAGGGTGGGCAGGTAAGGGAGAGAAGGGCATGTGAAAGCACAAAGAAAGAAAGAAAGATCCAGAGTTTACTGAGAGATGGCAAACAATCCAACTGGACTATACGGAGGGAGACAGGCTATTAAGCTCAAAATGGAAATTAGAACCAGGTCATTTTGCTTTAAAGACACCATTTCACTCTCCTTTATCATTATTTTTAGGGTACCTCATCTACTGAAGCCCGAGAGTACACCTTATATCTTACAGCCTTTGCTGTGATTGGAATTAGAAAGGCTTATGATGTATGCCCGCTAATGGTAAGTAAGAGTTTTCTTTCTCCAGACCCATCATCTATTTCTGCGCCTTGAAAATAAGTATAACTCCAGAAGAAGAATGATGTTAGATTAGAGACCACCTAATCCAACCCATTCGACAGTTGAGAAAACTGAGGCCTGCAGTCGGGTGAATTTAACTGTTCACTTTTACAGGCTACTGAATTATAGTGCTGGAAGTAGAACTGGTAACTTCTGACTGGTGAGGGAATGAGCCAGCATCCCCAGCTTCCTTCTCTTGTCTCTGCCCAATCTGATGATCTGTGTATGACTCTTATCAATAGTTGAAGCGCTCTATGTCATAGAACTACTGATAATACACAACAGCATGTTTGCTTATTTGAGTTGTACTGTTTCATTTGCTTGGAAGCTGAGGGGAGAAAGAAGAAAATTCACCTAAGTGAATCAACATAAAATATTCTAAGGGGTAATAGAGCTGAAACTCTGATCTGGGAAGAGACAGGTCCCTGAGCTGCAGTTAAACACTACTGCCTACAAATCAGAAGTAAATCAGATAAGTCCTTCCAACCAGCATGCAGAATGGAAATGGAAAAACCCAAGGGTGGCAACAAACTCACAACTATTAACAACTGAATCTAAAAAAGAAAAACAAAACCAGGAACAAACTACACAGACAACCAAACAGGAACAGAATCATAGGTATGGGGATCATTTGGAGGTTTATCAGTTGGGAAGGAGAGAGGGGAAAAATGGTTCCTATCAATCAGTGCTTCAAAAATCAAGAAGCATGATTGGTAGGAACAAAATAGACGGGGATGTTAAGAATAGTATAGGAAATGGAGAGGCCAAAGGACTTATACACACGAACCATGGACATGAACTAAGTTGGGGGTTAGGGGGCATTGCTGGAAGGCAGGGGGTACCAGCCAGAGTGGGGCAAATGGAAAAGAAAACTAGGACAACTGTAACAGCACAATCCATCAGATATACTTAAAAAAAGAAAAGAAAAGAAGGACCCAGGGGGATTTGTAGGACTTGAACCATAAAACAAAATAATGTTTTTAGTTTGCTTCAGGAGAATTTTTATGTATACTAACAAGACAAAAGAATCGATGAGGACCAGTTCCCAGGGGCCTAGAGGACCAGCTGACGCCTGGCGGAACATGAGTGAGATACAGGTGGAGCTGGCAGAGAAGGAGCCAGGCAGGACATCAGTGGCACTGCACCGCACTCTTGTAACCACTCGTTCAGAATAACTATTTTAGTTGTCTCAGGACAAAGTGGTAGAGACTGTTTTCCCAGGAATGCTTAGGATCAAAAAACACTTTGGCAGCCTAGCTCTTTTTTCTGCTGGTTGTGGTTTTATTTAGTAAAATCCCTTTTGAATACGTGAATCTGCCTCAGTTATGCTGAGGAGGAATGCTGGACGCTGTGTCTGTACTCAGGGCTTTGTCTTCCCAGAGGCTAGGTCTGACTTGGGAAGTAGAAAGGAAAGGGAAAAACCTCCAGAGGGAGAAGAGAATTCAGGGGCGAAGAGCTTGACCCGATGTGGACAACCTCTTTTTCGCTTCTGTGATTATGCTCTGCTCCTTCTCCCAGAAAGATTTGCTTCAGCCAGACACTGTCCATTCCCATTAGGTCATTTCTCTCTCCACCCTTTGTCTTACCTACCCCAGCATGGTGCCACCTAGGGGTATTTCACATTAGTTGATAGTCTGGTGCTGCCCAAAGAAACTTAGGTATCTTCTGCCCTTGTTTCCAGAAAATCAGCACAGCTCTAAGTAAAGCTGACACCTTCCTGCTTGAAAATGCCCTCTCGGCCCAGAGCACCTTTACACTGGCCATTGCTGCTTACGCTCTTTCCCTGGGAGACAGAACTCACTCACAGTTTCGTTCCGTCGTCTCAGCCCTGAAGAAGAAAGCTTTGGTTAAAGGTATGTATTGTTCCATATATTTTTCGGCAGGCGTTTACTGAGTAGAGTCTGCTCATTCTGAGAAGTAGGCAGTGGCATGCAAAGATGAGTAAACCACAGTCCCCGGCCTCAAGGAACAGACCATCACAGTGCAATGCAATAAGTGCCATTATTCACTCATTTATTCATTCATTCAACATATATTCATTCATTCCTGAATCTAATAAATATGTATCAAGGACCTCCTATATACCAGGCACTCTTCTAGGGTCTGGGGATAAAGCAACAGAAACAGCAACAACAACAAAATCCAGACCCTCGTGAAACTTACATTCTACTTAAGGATGAACAGATATGATAAATAAGTAAAGTATTGCATTTAGTGAATAGGTTGATGATGGCTTACACGAAGAAAATCAAGCAGGGAAGGGAGACGGGGCAAAGTAGTGGGTTGTAATTTTTGATAGAGTGATCAGGCTTAAGCCTCACTGAGAAGATGGCATTTGAGTTAAAAGCTGAAGGAGGTGAGGTGAGGAAGCCAGCCAGTGGCTATCTGGAAGGGTGTCGCTGGTGGAGGTACTGCATGTGCATATACCCTGAGGCAGGAGCCTGCCTGGTACCCCAGGAGTGGCAAGGAGGCCGGTGTGGCTGGAGAGGAGTGAGATGAGGGGTAGAAAGTGAGGGCAGGGAAGGAAAGGGTGAAGCAGACTTCCAGGGACTTGGAGCTCATTACAGGAGCTCTGCAGGCCTCCTGTGTACGAGGAGTGTATGAGGAGTCACGCAGTGTACGAGGCACTCATGCAAGCCAATGAATTGAGGCTGAAATCCAGCCTGTGCTCCACTTCCTCAGCCAGGCACCATGGTTTGGGTTTGCCTCCACCCTGAGCAAGGAGTGCCCGCATCTCGCTCACATCAAGGTGCGGTGGAGAACTATGGCAGCCCTAGAACTTTAATTTCCACTTTAAGTAAGAAGGGAAGGCATTGGAGGATTGTGAGCAGAAGAGTGCATAACTTGGCTTGTATTGGACCAGGTTGGCTATAAAGACATATATTTTGTCTTGAAGACTAAAGGTGAAAAATAAAGAGAGAGTAGTGGTGGGCATTGGCTAATGTGCCTGTGTCAGCACGGGCGTGGTTGGGCACTTCTTAGCCCTCTCTTGGGTGAGGTTTTCAAAACAGTTAATAAATCTTACATGAAGTTTATCTCCATCTACCAAATTTGACTTCTGTCATTATTTAAAAATGTCAGAATCTTAACATGTATCTCAAAATCACTTATATAATATACTAACACAAAAGAAATGTCTTCGTTATTATAAGATATGGATCATAAAATTATAAAACTTAAGAGCTAGAGCAGAACTTAATTCAAATAATGTTTGAGCTAGAAGTATCTTTAAAAACCAAATATTTTATTCTAAATACAGCAAATCTGAGTCTCTAAGAGGGAGGGAAAACATCTTGTCCAAAGTCATGCCAGTAATGGAATCCTGAATTTTAAGCAGGCATATTTTCACTAATCTTCAAAAATGATTTCTAGCCCTGGCTGGTGTGGCTCAGTGGATTGAGCAGTGGCCTGAGAACCAAAGGGTCACTGGTTCGATTCCCAGTCAGGGCACATGCATAGGTTGCACGCCAGGTCCCCAGCTCACCCAAATGGATGAGAGGCAATCAAACATTGATGTTTTTCTCCCTCTCTTTCTCCCTCTATTCCCCTCTAAAAATAAATAAAAATCTTTAAAAATTTTTAAATGATTTCTAAATATGCTTTACCGGTTTTTTAAAAAATAATTTAACAAAGAATTTGAGGTTACAGGCTTAAATTACTAGAACAATAACAAACAAATATAATTTAGAACCTAATTTATGAAAAGTGCTGCTTATGAAATTATCTTTAGTGCTCTAAATTGGGAGCAAATAATAGAAGACTGAACGAAGGCTTTATTGGGTGTTATCTCATAATTTCCAGAATATAGATCTTTTCTGTCAGAAATTTCCAGAGTGCTGCAAATGGTAAAGGTGTCTTATTAATGAGGTGACTTTTGGAAAGTCCTCAGGTAACCTCAGGATGAGGGCTGGTTGCCTGGGGAACCCACCACGTGATGAGACTGTTGGAAATTTCAGTACCTGCCCACCCACACCCACAAGGATGGGGACAGCAGCTAGCAGGGCTGTCCAGCCTTTGGCATCTCTGGTCCACACTAGAAGAAAAGTGGTCTTGGGCCACACAGTACATGCACAAACACTAATGAAAACCGATGAGCAAAAAAAGGTCTTAAGTAGCCCTGGCTGGTGTAGGTCAGTGGATTGAGGACAGGCCTGTGAAGCAAAGGGTCGCTGGTTTGATTCCCAGTCAGGGCACATGCCTGGGTTGCAGGCCAGGTGCCCAATAGAGGACACATGAGAGGCAACCACACATTGATGTTTCTCTGCCTCTCTCCTTCCCTTCCCCTCTCTCTAAAAATAAATTAATTAATTTTTTTAAAAAAGATCTTAAGTAAATTTACAATTTTGTATCAGGCCGCAGTCATAGTTATCCTGGGCCGCATGCAGTCCCTGGGCCACGGGTTGGACACCCCTGGAGAGGTGAAATTAGTCATCTATGTTCAATGATTTGATCAGTCATGACTATGTAATGAAGCCTCCATAAAACCCCAAAAGTACAAGATATAAAGAGATTCCAGGTTGGAACTCGTGGAGATTCAGGCAAAGTGGTGCACCTGGAGAGGGCATGGAAGCTCTGCACCCTTCCCTATGCCTTGCCCTGTGCATCGCTTTTGTCTCCTTATTCCTGAGTTATATCCTTTTATAATATGCTGCTAATCTAGTAAGCAAAATGCTTTTCTGAGTTCTGTAAGCTGCTCTAGCAAATTAATCAAACCTGAGGAGGAGGGTCTTTGGAACCTCCGATTTATAACCAGTTGCTCTGAAGTGCAGGTAACAACCCGGCTTTGGGATTAGCATCTGAAGTAAGGGTGGGGGGTGGGGAGAACATCTTGTACTACTGAACTCTTAACCTGTTGAATCTGCTGCTACCTCTAGGTGGATAAGGTGAAAATTGAGTTGAAATCTCTGACACCCTGGAGGTGTCTGAGAATTGTTTGTTGGTGTGGGGGGGAAACCCTCCCCCATTGGAAACTGAGTCTCAGAACTGTCCTCTGCTACCAAAAGTTGTGGACATTCCACATCAACCTTTTAAAATAAGGCAAAGAGCACTGTATTAAGGGATCTTGTTGTGTATTGGTCACCTTGAGGAAGTTCTTATAAAAGGATAAGAAACTTCTGAAAACCAGAAGGCCTGTATCAAAAGAAACTGCTAGAATTGCTGTGTCAATTCACCTTTTTAATCATATTAATCAGTGTGATTTGTTGATGTTCAGGTAGTTCACCCACTTACCGTTTTTGGAAAGAGGATCTTCAAGAGCAAGATAGCCCTGTACCTAACACTATTACAGCACACATGGTGGAAACCACTTCCTATGCTTTACTCACCTTTCTGAACTTGAAAGATATGAGCTATGTTAACCCAATCATCAGATGGCTATCTGAAGAGCAGAGGTATGGAGGTGGCTTTTATTCGACCCAGGTAATGTTTCTTGTTTCATCCTCCTGAAACATATTTGCTGCCTCATTCACCACACATTCCATACTCATTCTTGCATGCCATAGATAACAATAAATGACTAGCAGCAAAGAACTCTTAGAGGTTACCTGCATTGGCACCTTTCTAATACAGAGGAGCAAAACAACCCTGAGAGGTTCATTTTTGGAGTTAGTGGCCAAGTCAGACTCAAAACTCAGCTCTCCTAACTCTAAGTCCAGCACTTCCTCTACGATCCTAGTGACCACAAGTGCCTAATAAGTTTATCAGCTATTATGTTACACCCTGTGTGATAAACAGGGGCTGCCTTGTAGACAAAGACACTGACATTTCCTCCCCCAAGAATGAATAAAAAGTGAGAGAAATGCTGATTGTTACATGTTTATCTACATGAGTATAAACTCATTTGATGTATTGCATTTTACATTATAACTCATGCATGTATTTTACACTATAACTATTATGTAAAACACACCTATATTCAAGTTTAGTTCAAATGTTAGTATCTTCTCTATTCCCTGGATGTTTGAGCAATGACAGGGTGTATGAATATATATATATATATATAATGTAGAGCTATGGAGGTTCTTCAGGATTGCTTTAGTGATCATTTGATCCTGGAGGCAAATAGGTTTCATCTTGGGTACACTATAGGCTTAGCAGGAAATAGTGACCCATTGATTAGCACTGGCTTCCATGGACCTGGGCAGGCAAGACAGCCATGTATTTGACATCTCCGATATGTTTACATTTCCTCATTTTATAGATGAGAAAGATGAGGTCCAGAAAAGTTAAGTTCATTTATTTATTCCTTCAACAAATACTCGTTGAATAGCTATCATATGTGTACCATATTTTTGGACCATAAAATGCACCTTGGTTTTAGAGGACAAAAATAAGAAAAAAATTTTGAAGCAAAAAATGTAAAATATTTAATAGCATAAATAACATAATATTTCACCAATGTAAATGTAAACAGAACTCAACAGCAGCATTAACAACCATTATTGCTCCCAAATTGAGGGGGTGGGGCAGGGTGTTGCATCTTATAGTCCAAAAAATACGGTACCTATAAATGTGGTAGATGACAGAAAAGATACAATACTTTCCTTCTGACTCTTACATTACAATGGAGGAGGCCAACAAGAAACTATACATTAAAATATTACAAATTGAGGTGAATGGTCTAAAGACCAGAAGGGGAACCTTAAATAAGGGGAAGGGGAAGCTTATTTATGGCTTCAAGCTAAAATCTAAGGATGAGAAGGAAAGAGTCATACAAGAAGTTGGAGTCATTCTTCGAAGAGTGACTTACTTGTGGTCATATGCTCAGGACTGTGGAGAAACCTGAACCTGAAGCCACACATCTTTACTGTCCTTGCTAAGAGTAACAACCTTCCTGGGGAGGAGAGAACTGCCTGCCACCTCGCCAAGGGGACCCTTAACCAGTCTCACTCAGTCTGCTCCACCCACTCCTAAGAGAGTGATTTTCAGACAGAGAGCATATAAATAAGCTGATCCTATTTTTATGCCTTGCTGCTTGTTGCTAGGATACAGTGAATGCCATCGAGGGCCTGACAGAATATTCACTCCTGATTAAACAACTCCGCTTGAATATGAATATCAGTGTTTCTTACAAGAATAAAGGTGACTTCTACCATTACAAGATAACAGAGAAGAATTTCCTTGGGAGGCCAGTAGAGGTAAACAAAAGATGTTTTATAATATTTTATAATTGGACAGGACCTTAGAAATCATGTTCCACCCTTATTTTACAAATGTATCTATTCACTACTTAAACATACAGTGACTACCTTTTGTATCCTAAGCAGGGGTGCCAACTAATGTTCTTGGCACTGAAGACTCAAAAGTAAAGCACCAAGAACCTGTGCATATGTGTGTGTGCTGGGCACACATATGTGGGGAGAACAGTCGTTTAAACAGACAGTGAAAAGTAAGAGCTGTATAGGTACATGGAAGGGCACAGGGGACCTCCTGAGCCAGCCTGAGAGGAGGAGGGTTTTGTCAAAAGCATCCAGATGAGTAGGTTACATCTGGAAGAATTTAGCCAGGTAAAGAAAAGGGAAGAGCATTTCAAACACAGAGAACAGCAAGCACAAAGGCACCGCAGTAGAATAAGAGAGAAGACACATTCGGGAGTCCTCCAGAGGTTCCATCTGGCCTGGACACACATGCAGACTGGCCAGAATGGAACTGACCTTTAGGTTCTCCAACAACTTGCCCCATGTCCTTTGCTACTACTGCATTTTTAAAAATGAAAACCTCGGTGGCCTATGAGAAGAAAAGGACACACTGGAAAAACTAGGTTCCATATTAATAATAGCTGGCAGCTACTAATACATAGTTTTCCAATGACCACATTTTAGATTATAGTTCTTACTGTCCACAGTCTCCACAAATTCATGTTTGTGAAAGGTAAATTTAATGTAAAAATTGCAAACTGGTAGCTCATAGTGTGTATATATGTATATGTGTAAAGGTGGATATGGATGGAGACGTAGATTCAGACATAGATATATTCCAGCATTTATTTTTATCTGATATTTGTTTATGTTTTACATTTTATCCTTACCCGAGGACATGATTATTGATTGTAGAGAAAGGGGAGGGAGAAAAAGAGGGAGAATAACACTAATGTAAAAGAGAAACACTGATTAGCTGCCCCTTGCACATGCCCTGAACGGGGACTGAACCCACGACCCAGGCATGCACCCCAACCAGAAATTGAACCTGAGACCCCTTGGTTTATGGGACAGTGCTTCAGCCAACTGAGCCATACTAGCCAGGGCTAATCCAATATTTAAGTCAGAAAAACAAAGCTGCTTTGACTGAAGGGATGAGATGGCCTAGCTAGCCACTTGCCTTATCCTCCTTTCCACCCTTCCCACTGGGAGAGTGCTGAAGCACCTCCACCCACCCCGTGGGACTCTGGCTCTTGGGAGGAAGATGATTGTAAGAAGGAGAAACGACTTGTCCCTGAGTGGCTGTCAGAGTAGTTGAGATTCCACAGGAGCTCCTGGTTTTCAGCAGGTCCTCCTTTATCTCCAAACCACAGGAGGTCCCTGGCTCTCACTGCTGGCCAGGGAGCATAGCCACAGCTCCACAATTCCCACCCTGAGGTGCTTTTGGAGGTGTTCCACTTGTAGATGTGTGTAAAAGTCTCAGGATATGTGTTTTACATTTTAAGTGATGCAGGAGTTGAGAGGTCAGTACTGCCTAAATGCCAGAAAAATCTCCCAACCATCCAAAATATTCCGACTCAGGATGCCAATTATACCACCAAACAACATCATCTCTATAGTAAGTTTCTTCAGTAAATATAGCCTTTTATTTCTGAACTGTACACAAATAGTCACTTTCCCAGTGTTTCAGCTCTCTAATTTTGTAAAGAAAACTATCTCAAACCTTAGTGGCATAGAATAATACCACTTGATTATCCCATGATTTGGAGTCAGAAATGTGGGCTGGGTTTGTCCGTATGGTTCTTCTGCTGGACGTGGCATTGACTGTGGTGACACGGCTGGCAGCTCACGCCAGCCTTGGCTGGGAGCTTAGTTACCGCGCTGGCCGGGGGCCTCGGTTCTCCTTCCTCCAGTTCTCTCTGCATGGTTGTTTGGGCTTTCTCGCGGCCCGGCAGCTGGATTCCAAGAAGAAGAAGTTCTTCTAAATTTGAAACCATAATCTAAAGGTCTCTTAAGATCTGTATCTTAAATTATTCAGAAGTTATTCAGAGTCACTTCTGCAACATATTCTTGGTCAAATGGGCCAGACAGTCAACGCAGATTGAAAGAGAAATATCAAGATGACATTACAAAAGAGCCTGAGGGAGGAGAAAATATTTGCTAGGCATATATATCTGATTCATATTTAGAAAATATTGTATAAGGAACTTGCCCTAACCAGTGTTATTCCAACATTTAAAATCCAGAGATTTCAGATAAAAACCTGATGTCCAAGTTTGAGGCAATAGGGGGCTGGCAGTGGCATGCATTCTTCAATTTGTCACAGTTCCATACTTGCTTTGCACCCGGACCTCTGCAGGCATTTGTGCTTTTGGCCCCCTCTCTGGTAACCTTTCCCTGGGAGCATTTAGAGTTCACCAGACAGTCACATTCTGAGCCAAGGCTCTAAGCTCTGATGAGGAGCTCTTGGCCTGAAGAGCATGGTGAAGAACCAACTTTTCAGGCCTCTCACTCAAAGTGATCTCTTCCAGGCTTTGTACAAATTAGAGAGCATTTATATCGTAGATTTTCTCTGGAAGGGTGAACTAACCCAGTTCATGTCTTCACTCTCCTCCTAGCAGAGTGGGAAGAAGAGTGGCAGCACCTAAGGATTGGCAGGCTTGGGTGGGGTGCTAGATGAACCAGGTGGGTTGCCATGGGTTTCCACTAACAGAGTCCAGAGGAAGTAGGGAAAACAAGCCATTAGGAGGTAGAAGAGGTGTGCAAAGCAGAAGGTAGGAGGGTCAGATACAGAGTGCACCTACTTTAGAGTTACGTTGGAGTTCCCTGTTCTTGCTAAGGAAAAGGATCGGCTAGGCACTGAAAGGAGTTTATTTAGTTGGCAAAGGAGATGAAGGTCTTATTTCACCATAACCACATAAAAATGAAAATGTAACCAAAATGGTTTCCTACGTGTTGGTTATGCTGGCTTACTTAAACGACTTCAGACACCTTATTTAGCTGTAGAAGGGAAAGGAAATTCCAGTATTTTTAGTGCCTAGTCTGTGCAGAGGGTCTTCAATGCCTTATCCATTTAATCTCACAAGAGCTGTGAGCGAGGAAGCTGGCAGGTGTCTGCTCACTCTTCTCATTGCTCTCTCCTCCCTCCCTATTAAATAATAAAAGAAAGCATGGGTTCTTTCCACCTTTCCAGGTGCCTATCGATGATGACCTCATTGTCCGCACTGGATATAGCAGTGGCTTGGCTACAGTGCAGGTAAGTATTTCATTGAGAGCCAACTTATTTGGGAGTTAGGTGTTTGCTTACCCTAAGTAACGTATAATGAACTAGGGACTTTGCCACACACTTACAGATATTTGGGCTTTGGTAACTATGACTGAGGTAGGATTCACTTATCTAATTCTTTTTAGCTGTCTTATTAGCTGTACACACAATTTCTTTTTTTAAATAGCTATTTTTAAATCTTGTATGAATATAGTCTGTGTATCTGTGGAAATTACATACATAATTACATATAAGGGTTGGGCAAAATAGGTTTGCAGTTGTTTGTATAGAAAAGAATACAATAATATATAAATAATAATATAAGAATAAACTGTTTCACATACAACCATAAACCTACTTTCCCCCACCTTGTATATGTACATTTACAATGTTATGCTTACACATGTATATGTACATATGTGTGTGCACACACATATTTCTATGATTGGTAACATAGTCACATCTCATTTCCCCAGCATCTTTGGGGATTGAGAGATACATATGTGTATATACATGTATGTAAGGGCTTAAGTTTGTTCTGTTTTAGCCATAGACTGCATGGATATACATAAACAGAAAAACTTGCCACTAAATGGCTAAAATATAAATGTAATATGCTTTCTGAGCATAAATTAACATTCTATTGATGATTTTAATTATGTTCTTATCTTTATTCCTTCAAAGACTGTATCAGATTTCATGGGTGGGGGATAGATTGTCCTTTCTGTCACTTCTAGTTGTTTTTGGTGTGACTACTCTGGCAACACCCTTCCCATCCATACGTACCCATAATTTATTCTTTCCCACGGTGGTGTGTGGGGTGGGAGAAAACAACACTTCCTTGTAGTGTTATGTGTAAAATCAGAGTGTACAGGCTCACAGTTGAGAATCTTAAAAGTTTTCTGAAGAGTGAGGTGCTCAGATTTAACTATGGAATTTGGACCAAGATTCTGCCCAGCCACAGTGAAAGACAAATACCATATGACCTCACCTGTAAGTGGAACCTAATCAACAAAACAAACAAGCAAGCAAAACAGAACCAGAGACTTGGAAATAAAGAACAAACTGACAGTGACCAGAGGGCGGGGGAGAGGGGAGTAACAGGGGAAAGAAGGGGAAGGGTCAAGTCAAGGAACATGTAAAAGGGACCCATGGACAAAGATAGGGGGGTGAGGAAGAGGATTGAATGTGGGAGGTGGGGCGTGGGTGGGGCAGGGAAGGGTAATGGGGGGAAATGGGGACAACTGTAATCAGATAACAATGGGGAAAGAAAAGAAAGACCTAAAAGAAAAGAATAATAAAATTTAAAAAGGAAAAAAGATTCTGCCTGACCAGGGGTCAGATTTTGCTTTCTTTGGGCTTCTCAGCCATGTTCCAGGCTGTGGAGGTGCTGAGATGAGAGTCCAGCTGCTGAGGAAATGGGTCTTCAATGTGCATATCCGCCCGGGTTGGGGAAAGGCCACTTTGAGCATCCACCCCACTCATGGCAGCGGTCCCGCCACTATACGTTTTTCCCCTTCCCACTAGAAATCAGGTCTTGTTCGCTTGTCCCAATGCAGGTGACAACTGTGGCTCACAAAACTGGTACCTCCGAGGAATTTTGCAGCTTTCATTTGAAAATCGAAAGCCAGGACATCAGCGGTAAAACAGCATGATTTACACTGTAATTTTGCGTAAGCGTAAAGAATGTCAGAGAGCTTCCCTGATTAGAAAATTGTGCTTGCCTAAAAATCAAAATTTCTTTAGCATGTTCACATCAGAGTAAACATTACTGTAATTTATTATAATAGGAGTAACTCTTTAATAATAGTTGGAAACCTATGTTAAGTAACTTAATAACTAAACTAAAGGTATGCACTATAGATCAAGAAATTGTTTTGACTAATTTACTTTTTCAGAATGAAGCTAGTTGTCTAGCCAGGTGACTCAGTTGGTTGGAGTGTCGTCCCCATACACCAAAATGTTGTGGGTTCAATTTCCAGTTAGGGCACATACACACCTAGGTTGTGGGTTCAATTCCTGGTCAGGGTGCATACAGGAGGCAACCAATCAATGTTTCTCATGTTGATGTTTTTCTCTCTCTATCTGCCCCCCTTCCCCGTCTTCCTCTTCCTCTCTCTCTCTAAAATCAATAAATGTATCCTTGGGTGAGGATTTTTTTTAAAAAGAATGTAAGTAGTTGTAAAGCTCCCCATTCTCACCCAGAAAGGTCTAATTTCTGATCCTTGAATTTCTGTTACTTTCAAATCAGTGTTCCGTTCTACGACCCTGAATTTCCCTATCACCCTGTTGGATATCTACCCCTTACCCTTTCTGTATCCCAAGGGTTCAGACAAATACACATTTCTCTGCCTCCATCTTCAACTTGGCCTCTCCGATACTTACGGCCTTTCATTAGTGTGCTGTTTTTTTCTGCTTGTGGCCTTCACATTCCTCTCTGGTGGGTTAGTTCCCCCCTCTCGGTCCAAAAGCAAGTCCACGTGCACACTCCAGCCTCCTTTAACCGTGAGCTCAGGGTGTGTTTCACCTCTGTCCTAATGGCTTTCGTGTGTGGCTCAGAGGCCTGTTCCTACAGGAAACTTCCAACTACCCACGAACCCATGCATCTGCTCTTCCTCCCTACATCCTGCCCCCACCCTCCCACCAAACATGTTACCAGCACATCTTTACCTTTCATGACTCCCACCTTGACTTGTAAGTTCTTTGAGAGCAGCGAATTGTTGTAATAGTTTAAAGATTTCCTGGTACTGTCAATAGCCACGAATTTTCATTAAAATCACCGAAAGTGCCAACTTCCAAACCACAAATCATTTTAAGTGTGTTCAGAGGTGTGCTCATTAATGATTCTGTTCTGACAGTTTTAAAAACAGTAAAAAATGGTTGATGCTCACTTTTCTTTGTTTGCGCTAGCATCCAGTGGCACCTCGGACTACAAGCGCCTAGTAGCATGTGCGAGGTGAGTGCATCTCCACAGAGGGGACTCTAGACTTCGAAAGCTCCCATCTGCCGTTGTACTATTTCTTTACATCTCTTTGAGATTTAAGATGGCCAGAAGATGCAAGTTGTTCACCTGTTTAAGTGTAGAATGTAACAGGTATTCTTAAATAGCTATTCAGTGTACAGAATAGCTATTCACTTTGGTTTTTGTTCATACATAGTTTTTCCCCCTGTTTTTGGCTGTCTTCTAATTCAAACACTGTATTTTTTATTTGTCTTTCAGAAAGGTAGAGATGTGATGAGAGCATTAGGAAAAGAAAATAGTTCTCTCATAAGCAGCTCCTACTCTCTTCTTTAGAAAGATAACCTGCGCCAGCAAAATCCCTGGCCAGCATCAGCCAGTGGTGTTGGCTCAGGCTGCACATTGAAGGCAGCTGGCGGGCAAGGCCTGCACTACAAGGGGCCTGCCCTCCAGAAGATAATCCGAAGATTATTCCAGGTTTTTTTATCCCCCCTCATACAGCGTGGGGCAAAAGTATGTTTACAGTTGTGAATATGAAAAACACAGTTTATTCTTGTATTGTTATTTATTAATTACTGTATCATTTTCCATACATACAGCTGTAAGCCTAATTTTTCCCCATCCTGTATAAAAAGGCTCTCGTCAAAAACTCATTCATTTGAATTTATTGACAGGAGGCCTAAGTCCAGATTGTTAATACACAAAAGAAAGCAAATAGAGATGCAATATTGAGTATTCTCTAGTTTGGCTTTTACAAACTGGGGACAGAATGTTTAAAAAAGCCAGGTGACCTGCCTGGTGTAGCTCAGTGGATTGAGCACGGGCTGCAAACCAAAGGGTCACTGGTTCGATTCCCAATCAGGGCACATGCCTGGGTTGGAGGCCGGGTCCCCAGTGTGGGCCACGTGAGAAGCAACCATACGTTGATGTTTCTCTCCCTCTCTTCCCCTTTCTTTAAAAATAAATAAATAAAAGCTTTTAAAATATATGTATATATGTATGTATGTGTGTATGTATACACACACACAATCTAGGGGGGAAAAGCCGGGTGGAATATTAGTTCTGTGATGCTGAAGTTATGTTGGATAAATTGTAAGAGTAATTGTATGGTACTTATTCATGTGAGAAGTTCTTTGCCTTTTAATATTCTCTCTCCTGATATAAAAAATGCCGGTACACAGTTTCTGTGTTCAGCCTCTTTCATGTATTAAGCTTTTTTACAACCTCTCTGTTGTATTTATAAGAAAAGGAAAAAGGATTTTATTTCTCTCCTTCTCTTGGAACAAAATGCCCTTGGTAAGGAGTGCTCTTTGGCAGCAGGCAAAGGGCTTCTTGAAAGGATGGTTTCCTTCCACAGTAGAAACCGTCACCATGGCAATCAGTCGCCAAGGCTCCAGCAATCTTTCATAGATACTTTCCACTCAGGAGGCCCTTCTCCATCCTGTTGACAGATTCTTTGCATCTGTGAGCAAGAGTTCTCTACTTCTGGTGACACTCACCCAATTAGGGACATGTCCAGATGTCATATTACATTCCAAGTTGCTTTTTATTCTATGCAAATTGTTACTCTGGTGAAGAATGGACTTAATATTTTATAAGCCATTAATCTTATATTTTAAATTATTATGGTAAATATCACACCTAAAACTTTGAATGGGGTCTGCTTTATATATGCTCTATGAAGTGTGACCGGGGACAAGAGATCCTCTGCCTACCCCCTAACTCAAGTAAGACCTCCTATTTCACTGACACTTATTCATTTAGGTGGGATCAATTAATTTTTCCCCACATGAAGCTGTTTTCCCAGTTTCTTCCTTTAATCCTGACTGTTCTTTCAAGTTATGCTCTTGAACAGCCAGCCACCTGTGAATCATCCTGAGATGCAGCTGGAACCTGAAACTCAGTCTTTGCAGGACTGCGCTCACTCTGCCCCGTCTCTAGTCCTGGGCCCACCAGCTTGTCCCTTTTTACTCTTCTGACTGCTTAAAAGTTTAGAATTATAAAGATACATTTAAAACACAAGTTTCCATTTCTTTATAGTTAATATTAGCAATAAAAAATGAGCTCTACAAAGGGAAGATGATTTGTAGAAATCTCTCAGAACTGGGATAAAACCCAAGTTTCCAAGTTTTCTCTCTTACCAGGAAAACAAACAAACAAACAAAAAATCTTCATTCATTTCACTTCGGTTACCTTACTCCTTAGCTTCTCCACAAGCACAATTCTTAGGCAAAGGATAGTCCTTGGAACATTTAAAAAAAAAAAAAAAGTACAGTGTTTATTGTGGAAAATTTAGAAAATAGAGAGAATCATGAAAAAGAGATAATCGCTTATAATCTCACCATACAGAAAAAAACAGCTGCTGATATTTTAGCGTGTTTCCTGCCATTGTTTTCCTGTGCATGCTCATTGAATCTTTTTCTTATGTACCACTAATTTTCTTCTTTGAATATTCTCTGTTGGAAAGAGTACAAAAATGAGAATTAAGGAACATGCAGCTCTGGAGCTAACCAGTAATGTGACCTTCGACCGAGTGCCTCACTTTCGTCCTCAGTTTCCTCAAGGAGTTAATTAAGAGCTTGGACTCCATGGCTTCTGTCTCTTCCGGCTCTGTTCAGATTAACCGTCCAGTGGGTAAAGAGTTAGAATAGATGACTAACTGGTCTCTTGCAACGTAAAATTCAGAGATTGCTATTCATATATTATAGCGGAGATCCAACTTAAAAAATTAAAGCCTACTAAGGAATATGGCCTTTTCTTAAAGAATCTTATCTATTTATTTACTCCATTTTCTAATCTCTAATTATTTTAGCTACAAGCCCAGCAGAGAAGAATCATCATCCGCATCCTCCCATGCAGTGATGGACATCGCTTTGCCCACTGGAATCAATGCAAACACAGACGACTTAAGAGCTGTGAATGTTTTTTATATATTATTATGAACTTTTGGTTTTCTTTACTGCATTATTATTTTTTTAATACATTTTACTGATTATGCTATTACAGTTGTCCCATTTTCCCCCCTTCACTCCCCTCCACCCTGCACACCTGCTCCCACCCACATTCCCTGACTTTAGTTCATGTTCATGTGTCATATAAGTTTTTTGGCTTCTACATTTCCTATACTATTCTTACCCTCTCTCTTTCTATTTTCTACCTACCATTTATGCTACTTATTCTCTATACCTTTCCCCCTCACTCCCCCTCCCACTTCCCTGTTTTTAACCCTCCATGTCATCTCCATTTCTGTGGTTCCGTTCTTGTTCTAGTTGTTTACTTAGTTTCCTTTTGTTTTTGTTTTAGGTGTCGTTGTTAATGATTGTGAGTTTGCTGTCATTTTACTGTTCATATTTTTAATCTTCTTTTTCTTAGATAAGTCCCTTTAACATTTCATATAATAAGGGCTTGTTGATGATGAACTCCTTGAACTTGACCTTATCTGAAAAGCACTTTATCTGCCTTTCCATTCTAAGTGAAAGCTTTCCTGGACAGAGCAATCTTGGAAGTAGGTCCTTGCCTTTCATGACTTGGAATACTTCTTTCCAGCCCCTTCTTGCCTGTAAGGTCTCTTTTGAGAAATCCGCTGACAGTCTGATGGGAACTCCTTTGTAGGTGACTGTCTCCTTATCTTTTGCTGCTTCTAGACTTCTCTCCTTCATTTTAATCTTGGCTAATATAATTATGATATGCCTTGGCGTGTTCCTCCTTGGGTCCAACCTCTTTGGGACTCTCTAAGCTTCCTGGACTTCCTGGAAGTCTATTTCCTTTGCCAGATTGGGGAAGTTCTCCTTTATTATTTATTCAGATAACTTTTCCACTTGTTGCTCTTCCTCTTTCCCTTCTGGTACCCCTATAATTTAGATGTTGGAACGTTTAAAGATATCCTGGAGGTTCCTAAGCCTCTCCTCATTCTTTTGAATTCTTGTTTCTTCATTCTTTTCTGATTGGATGTTTCTTTCTTCCTTCTGCTCCACACCATTGACTTGAGTCCCAGTTTCCTTCCCATCACTGTTGGTTCCCTATACACTTTCTTTTATTTCACTTAGCGTAGCCTTCATTTTTTCATATAATTTGTGATCAAATTCAACCAATTCTGTGAGCATCCTGATTACCAGTGTTTTGAACTGTGTATCTGATAGGGTGGCTATCTCTTCTTCACTTAGTTGTATTTTTTCTGGAGCTTTGATCTGTTCTTTCATTTGAGCCTTTTTTTCTTTTTAATTTTTTGTCTAACGCGTCTATTACATGTGAGGGGCAGATCCTTAGGTGTTTACCAGGGTGAGGTAACCCACTTCACTGGGTTGTGATGCTGTATTTAGGGAAGGGGTCCAAGGGGGAACAATAGAGATTGGTCAAATCTGCCAGATTTCAGTCACTTCCTCTGCTTCCCACAAGCAAATTGGGCCCTTCTGGTGCTGATTTTCGTGTGGGTGGTTTGTGTGCATTCTAGGACCCTGTGGGTTTCCCCACAGGTGTTTTCAATCAGTGATTTGAGGCTTTATTTTTCTGAGTTGGGACCCTGGTCCCACTCCCCCTTTGTTTCTCTTGGTTTATCTATGCACAAATGTGGGACCCCCTGGTCCACCCACCGGCTGCCTTGCCGGCCAGCTACAGCCTTGCACATCCTGTTCCACAATCTGCCACCTCGCTGGGTCCACCAGCGGTGGCTGCCTTGCCCTGAGTCCTCTCCACCCTGGCTGCCCGACTCTGCCCCTCCTACCGGCCTGGATGAATATGTGTTATTTAACTTCTTGGTTGTCAGACTTCCATACAGTTCAATTTTCTGTCAATTCTTGTGGTTTTCTGTTTTTAAATTGTTGTTGTCCTTCTTTTGGTTGTGCAAGGAGGCACAGTGTATCTATACCTCCATCTTGGCCAGAAGTTTGGCAAGATACTGCATTATTTGACAAAGATACTTCTCTTGTTCTAGTATGTTATTTTCATAGAATCACCCAGAATATTGTTTCCAAACCAATGATCTACCTAAATTTTGATTTTTCAGAGAAGTTGGTACTGGTTGAAGTGGACTCTTGTGGTGTTGTGAGAAAGGAATTTCAAAGGGCATTTGCATAGGAGAAGTTTGAGTGCAGTGGCCAGATTTATTGGGGTGAAGGGGAGTAATACACTCTCAGGGATGTAGAAGGTGGGCAAGCTCTAGTAGCAACTGCTTTGAGATCCTCGATAATCCTCCATATATTTTCTTGGTTCGGGGGAACGAGCAGGCTTTCTTTCAAACTGTCCAACCAGCCTTGTGGTTTTCCAGGGTTGTGTTGGGCTCACCCCCTAGCCAGTCCCTCTCCTGGGATTTCCTGGGGTTTCATGCTCTTACCCAATCTGATTCCTCACCCCACCCCCCAGGTTTTCCTAGGCTGAATTCCACCCTTTTATGTCATCATTTTGGCTCTGATGGCTTTGGAGCATTCACATGCTCCAAAGTTCTGCATCATCTGGCTTCTACTGTACATGCACTTACCTACCTCTGCACCATTTGGCTTCTACTGCGTGTGTGCCTAGCAAAGGCATTTCCCTTGCTGTTTTTACCCCTCCTTCAGTAATCCCAGCTAATCCCAGTTAGTGACTGGTAGACAGTTTTTCCTGCCCACTTTGGGGATTACATCCCCTCGGAAGATGATGTAGCAGGCCCCTAGGGATCCTGTGAACGCTGTGGCACCCCAGTAAATCAGACTTAATGTCCCATTTAGCTCCCTAGTGAGTCAGGTTTAATGTCCAATGCCATTTGCTCCCCTCCTCAACTAACTAGCTACTTACACTAACAAAGCGAGGGCATATATTTCCATGGCACAAAAACTGTGAGTGCGTGTGATAACATGTTTCAACTTTTTAAGATTTGAGAGGAGCTGCTCTTCAACTTCTTTGATTAGTGGCTTATATCCCCATGATCTAACATATCATCAGGTAAATGCATTTAAACAAAAAGATCATAAAATTAAATTCATGCTTTTCTCTTTCCTCCTTTAGCTTGTAGAAAGGGTGGATCAACTGTTAACTGATTACCAAATCAAAGATGGACATGTTATTCTGCAACTGGATTCGGTACGTTCTACCTCCCATCATTCTTTATTTACTATTACTATTCAAAATGTACAAGCTAAAATATTATCAGTCTCTTCTCTCACATAATTTCCTTAAACTTTGAATTTGCCAGATTCCTTCAAATGAGTTCCTCTGTGTTCGATTTCGGATAGTTGAATTTTTTCAAGTTGGGTTTCTGAATCCTGCTACTTTCACAGTGTATGAATACCACAGACCAGGTAACCAACTCTACTCCAAAATTTCTTCAGAGGACTACTTTGTATTTATTACAGAACCTTTATAAGTCCGCTAGAGGCCTATAAATTTTATATATTGCCTCTTCCAGACTCACTCTTCACAAAAGTCCCAACTTGGACATACAATCTATAGCAGAACTTTGAGCAAATCATTACACCTCTCTGGTCCTCAATTGCTTTATTTTTAAAATAACTGAATCAGATTGCTTTCAGATTTTGAACTTTTTGCCTCAAGTTTATTTTTGGTGCTTATTTTCATTGGACCTCTCCTTTTAGAGAAGCCCACTTAGTCCCCAACTTCTTAATCCTCCCAGAATCACCTTCTACTCCACCTCTGTTCTCATCGCATTTTGCAGGGAGCCCTATCAGGGCAGCTGGTACTACACTGCATTGTAGTTACTTGTTTGTACGTCTTTCTCAGCAGCCCCAGACAGAGTATTTCCATCCATTGTGTCCCTATCACCTAACACAGTGTTAGGTACATAATGTGTGCCGACAAATGTCGAGTGAATGACCCAAATTTAATCACTCTGCCACTTCTGAGAATATTAAGTGATTAGAGAGCCCTCTGGTTCACATGACAGATAACTCTACTTTGGACAGTTCTACTTCTTAGAAAGTTCCTGGAATCAACTACAATCTATTCATTCTAGTTTTAACTTCTGAAATTACATAGAATACACTTACCCTCTCTTCCCCTTGAGAGATAAAATACATGTGCACACACACACACTCCTTTCTTCTCCAGTCTAGACAATTACATTTCTTTTAATAGACTGTCATGTAACATAATTTATTTCCTCTCATTCATGGAAGCAAGCACCAAATATGTTCATCCTAAGAAATGAATGTTAAACAGTAAAATTTCAAGCACAGCAGAGAAGGTCATTTTCAGGATAGAGAAGCCCATGCCAGGATGAGCAATTCAAAATTTAACCTCCATGAGCATTTCATACAAAAAAAAAAAAAGGGGTTTGGAATTGGTGATCTCTAAGACCCCATGGGCAAGATTCATGGGGTGATAAATGCCCTGTGTGTTGATCTGGCCCCTCTCCTAACCATGCTTTCGTTGCCACAGAAAAAAAGTGCACCATGTTTTATAGCACGTCCGACAGCCAGCTCCAGAAAGTCTGTGAAGGAGCGATGTGCAAGTGCATGGAAGGTAACCTTTTTTTTTTAAACATGTTTTAAAGTTAATCCAAGGCTAATCTGGGGGAAGCTGCGTGACAAACCGTCATCCCTCAGAAGTAGAAATGTCATCTCAGCCGACTGAAAGTTGATTCCTTGAGCAGTGTGAAACTACGTCTCACAACCCCTGAACAACCTGATAGTTTGCACCATACAGAGGCGGAGAAACACGATCGGATAGCTGTTGGCTACCAGAGGGATAATATGATGTGAAGTTCTTACTTTTCACCTGGCCTTTCTCATGTACTAGGACTACAACCAAAGAGAAGAGGCTCCTTTCTTTCCCATGTGCCCCCAGTGAGCGAGTTCTCCGTTCAGTCTTTACAAACCCAAGGCAGCCTTCTTGGCCAAGAAAAAGACCCAGAGCCCACAAATAATCACCTGCCTTCATGAGGGTCTGGGTCGGTTTGGTTTTATTTTGGTTTTCCAAATTCTTAATACCTACACATTTCTAGGGTACTCGTTGCACCGTTTTATAACTATAAATCAGTGAAGTTACCATTTTCTTCCTTCAAGGGACATTAGACTAAACTTAAAATGGGACATTTTCTTCCATTCTTCAATGGAAGCATATACATTTTTGAAAAGCTGACTGTGGACTCTCCATCCTAAGAATAAGTCTCAAGTTCAAGATCTTGTTTTTATTTGTTTTGTTTGTTTTTGCTTTATATGCTATTTTGCTTTATGGAAGAGGAGAAAATAGGTCTTAGGAATCTAGAATTTACAAGATTATGTTAGTTTGTCCCCTAACCCATCAGCACTGTGTTTTCTCCCGTAGAGAGTGTGCTTCCTACATTAACCTTTTACCATTTTTCACAAAACCCAGCTGATTGTGGACAAATGCAGCCAGAATTGGATCTGACGATCTCTACAGACATGAGACAAAACGCAGCATGTAAACCAGAGATTGTGTATGGTAAGTTCAAAAGTTCAATATATAGTTCCATTAGACATGACATTTTATGAATACATAATCAGGAAGATCAATAACTTCATGTTGTGATCATATGGATACAACAGTCCATAGATTCCTTTGAAGGAAAGTCCTATCAGTTTTCAGCATTAACATGCAAAGTTATTTATCCTTCCACAAGAAACATGATTTCATTAAAAATGATGGAAGTGATATGCACACCCAGCCAAGATATTTTACTCCAATAGATCTCATCAAATTAAAGGTCCTAAAATATAATTAAAGAAACTTTTTGAGAAGCCACAAAGGTATAAGATTTTACTCATAATTGCACTCTTCCAGTCAGTGGAACAGAGGCAAAGACAAAGGTGGTTTTAAGGTTTGGTTTGAAAAAAAATATTCAAAGACACAGTAAAATATCGATACTAAATAATTTTTAATATATGTAGAATTTCAGTGCATGTTTGAAACTCTCCATTTCAAAAGGAGCATCTGCTTCCGGCCGTCCAGAGCTCAGCACTAAATTAAATGCCCAAGTGCAGTTGTAGTCTTATCTCAAGTTCCTCATGGAATTAGCTCCTTGAGTTTCTGTCCATAGTTTCTAATGTTTATTTCTAGATTTTTTTTTAAGAGAGAGGGAGAGCACAGTGTACACTACCTCCAATCTTTGTTTGGTCATCAGTGGGGGATTATTTACAAATGAGTCAGCGCATTCGGTCTGGTGTTACATGTTTACCAGCTGCTTTTGTATAGTTTCTTATTGGAGTCCCAGGAGACACCTTTGAGGTAACAGAGGATCATCCCTATTTTACCAGAAACTGAGGCTCAGGGAAACGAAATAATTTTCTCAAAGCTATGCAGGAAGCGAGTAGTAGAACCAGGAGCCATCCTGGTCTCCAGTATGATTTTCATGTATTACACTAAATTCCCTTAGTGGAAAGACAATCATCAGGATGATTATTGTGTGGTTTATAGTCTTTCTTTCCTTTTAATTCATCTTGATGGTTTTTAAAAAACTAAAACGTTGCCCACCTCAGCCAAGACCCACTGTAGTTTTTAAAACATAGGTCTGAAGAAAATACTATATTATTTTAGCAAAGAAAAATCTCATTAAACTCTTCCTGCCATTTTAGAACTATTTAAACTCTTAAGTGTTAGAAGTCTATTTAACACGATGAATAAATGCAAGCTGGAATTAGTTTATTACATTAAAAAATAGTGGGCTTTTCGGGGGACTCTGGGGTTCTGCTGGAATAATAGAATAGAAACAAAATAAAATGGTTCCCTCTCCCCACCTATGCCTGTAAGTAGGTACATTGCTCAAAACCACCATGAAGATTTATGAATCTAAAATTCAGAACAGTTTTTATGTATTTTAAGACATTAATTTAAACAGTCTTTGGTTTTTTCCACAATGAGTTAATTCTTTTATCTATTGTGTCCTTTCTTGATGCTGAAAGTGATAAACTAAATCCAGATTGCATCGATTCTCTGTGTTAAAATAGGTTTCTGACATCTAGCTAGCTTGCTGGGATCTGAAAAATGGACAGACATTGTAGGTCATTCAACCCCGTCAAAAGCAAAAATAGAAGGGTCTTTTCTCAGGCCACGTGGAAGGGATGGGTCCCTTCAGGTTGGTCCTTCCAGAACTGAGGTCAGACACTCTGCAGACGCCTGAGTGAGGAGAAGCAGTGCAGGGAGTGGCTTGTGTCAGAGAGCTGCCAATCCAAGCAAAGTCAGAAAACAGAATCCTATCAAAAACTGAAGACCAAAGCCGATGGAGGTATCCAGGGAACTGAAGCAAGAAAATAAGGAGTCTCACACGGCGAGCCTGCGTGATAGACGAGGGCCCCCGTGGTGGTGGTGGTGCGGGGAAGGGAGAGGCTCTTCAGGGTTCCCCGTGGACAGGATCTACTAATCTCACAGGATGGGACTCTGAACTTTATATCTAACAGAGCCTCCTATTGTTTGTTTTGTGCATTTCTGTCTTTTAATTTAGTATTATTCTTATCCTAGCCAGCCTGTTCCATAACAGAGGCCAGGACTAATGATTCTGAGTGGAATGAGTCATTAGAGTAACGATCGGTAGAATCAGACTGAGAGTATCTGGGAAGGCTTCTTGGAAGAAGAAATAAGATCCACCGCAGGCTGCCCATAAAGGCTGGCCATGCTTCCTCTCTCATTTGTTTGACAAACACTGGCCTCCACTGGACATGACATCACTGGTATTTAGTATGAACTGTTGTTTTCTTTTTCACCAGCTTATAAAGTTAGTATCACATCCTTCACTGAAGAAAATGTTTTTATCAAGTACACTGCAACCCTCCTGGATGCCTTCAAAGCGGGTGAGCATTCATTCATTCACTTTTCCATTCAACAAATTCTTAGTACCTACTACGTGACAGGCGTTTTATTAGACACAGAGGATGCAACGTGAATAACACAGAGTCAGTGTTTTCATGAAGTTTTTGTGCTACATAAGGAGACACATTTTTAAAGAAAGGAAGTGGACAAATAAACAATCATAAAAGTAAAACAGCCCTGTTTGTAAAGTATGTTAAGAAATATTTGCGTACTTTGTTATCTCTTCATTCTGGGTGTACATTCTTAATATATGTAAAATTTAAAGTTGTACAAACATCAAAACACCACACCTAACAATTTGTACAAGAATTGTGAGCTACATAGTTCAAAGCTAATAAACTGGGGTTTCTCCTAGAACACAGTGTACTTAGAGTAGGCAAGGATATAAATAGTAAAAAGATTAGTGATTGCTGAAGCTGAAGTTAATTAACTATCCTCTCTTCACCCAAATATGCTTGAGTTTTTCCATAAAAAAAATGTTTTAAAAAACAGTGGTAAGGCACCACACAGCCACGCTGCTAACCGTGCAGGGCTGAATTGGCAGGTAGTGCTGAGAATGTTGTTTAGGCGTTGCTGCAACAGGAAGTCACGGGTTAATGGTGATCAGGACAGCCTGGGGAAAGTAGCCTAAAATGATGCGTGCACACCAGAATTTGTTACCGGAATTAGCCTGAAGTGATACGTGCACACCAGAATTTGTTACCGGAATTAGCCTGAAGTGATACGTGCACACCAGAATTTGTGTCACCAGAATTAGCCTAAAGTGATGTGTGCACACCAGAATTTGTGTCACCAGAATTAGCCTGAAGCAATGCGTGCACACCAGAATTTGTGTTACCAGTGACGGTGATCGTTCACAGTTACTGTTCTTTACTACTTACCAACATGTTCAGAAGTTTTTTCAGGATTTAATAATTAGGATGGCTCTGCCAGAGTCTGATAATTCACCAACTCTGTTGTTTTTAGGTACCAACTACTTTTTAATTTTGCTATACAGCATATGGAGATTAATATTGTTCAACTGTAGAGAGGTTCTCTTAATTCCTGTTTCTACGAGAATAATAATAACCAGCAACTATATAGTGCTTACTACATATATAGTTCTAAGCACTTTTCATATATTAGCCGTTTAATCTCATGACAGTTCTACAAGGTAGGTTTTATTGTCATGCCCATTTTTCAGATGAGGGGGCTGAGCCTTTACACAAAGAGCATAAACCATTTGTCCGGGGCCACACAGCCCGTCAGTGGCAGAGCTGGGGTACAACCAGGGCGCCGGAGTCTGAAGTCCGAACCACAGGGACATTGTTGCTCTTCAGTAGCCATTAGCCTCTCAGTATAAACTTACACTCACTAATAAACAGCCAGGAGGGGCTGGAATACTTAAGAGAGTTTATAATGGTGACACTCTAACACGAATGTGATCATCTTTACTGGTATGTCTCTCAGGCGAAGCTGCTGCTGAGAAAGGCTCTGAAATCACCTTCATTAGAAAGGCAAGCTGTGTTAATGCTGACCTGCAAAAAGGAAGACAGTATTTGATTATGGGTAAAGAAGCTCTCCAGATAAAGCACAACTTCAGTTTCAAGTAAGTCCCCGATATTTTGGAGTCCCAGGCCTTCCCTCCAAAACTGAGTGTAATTTATTCTGAAATACACTACCTGTTTCTTATGCGCCTGCTGTTAACCAAGAAACCATTAGGAGAAATCATTGAAACAGTAGTTCAATTACTTAAAATTAAATAATTGAATGTTAAAATAATTGAAACGTTTAAAACAAAGAACTATTTAAGACCGTTAGGGCATCTGAGGACGCGCTGACCAATAAACTGAGGGGCCTGCCTTTGAAAGTGAACTGAGGTGCTCATCCGAGCCCCAGCGCCACATCTGCTCCCTCCAGGGGTGTTCAGGCTGCTCCGTTTGTAAAGACAAAAATGTTCACATATGCATTTTATTGTCATTAAAAAAATAGACATCGAAACAGGTGCCCTTCCTGCCTTTAACTGTGGGAGCCCCACGCGGCTTCATGTCCGTCAGGGGCCTGAGGACCTTCCCGCGGGGAGGCCGGCCCAGACGGGCTGGCTGGCAGCCTGACCCGGGGACCTGTCAGCCTGAGCGCAGTGGAAGTCGGCGCTGCTCTCCGTGGGCGTCGTCACAGACGCTTCGTTTTCCTGTTCTCTCGGCAGGTACATCTACCCTTTAGATTCCTCCACCTGGATTGAATATTGGCCTACAGATACAACGTGTCCATCATGCCAAGCATTTTTAGCTAATTTAGATGAGTTTGCTGAAGACATCTTTTTAAACGACTGTGAAAACGCCTGAAAAATTCATCTGCGTACAGTTTTCACTGTGGACTCCTGTTGCTGAAGTTTCTTTCTTCCCCTTTTTTTCCCTAAACATTCACAGCTGGTCTTATTTGGAAAGATTGCTTTACTTAGAATTAGTGGCACTTGCTTTTATTAAAGAACAGTTTCAAGAGCTGTAACTTTGTGAAATAACATGGCCTTGGGGGCATGGAGACAGATACTCATTCCAGAGTTATTGGACACGAGAAGCAATAAATGGGACCATCTAAAGCCCACCTCGCTGGAATGTCTGCTGGGGAGAAAAGAATAGCCCACTGAAGTGCAGTGTCTTACAAAACGCAGCCTCTGCTTAAAAGGAAACACCGAGGGGCAGGAAACTGATCATTAAAGCCTGACTTTGCTTTCAAAGTGTGCAAACGAGTGTTAATTTATGCTGGGTCGGCTTCCCCTACACAGAGACAGGTGAATTGAGAGAGCTGAAGAAGGCGGCAGCAGAGGCCTGAGAAGGCCGAACCTCAGAGTAGGAGAGTCGTCCTTGCCCTTCCTCTTCTGTGACCCTTGCCTCAACCCCTTGGGGGCCCCTCCACCCGCTCCCCCTCCCTCCCAGCACATGTTTGTTTCCCCAGGAACTCACTCCTGCCGGCAATTGCTCTCCTGGAAGGCAAGCCCAGTGCAGCAACGTGGCAAGGAGAAATCGCTGTCACCAGGAGACCTTAGCCCTAGCAGGTGTCTGAGCCTCGGTTTGAGCTCTAAAGAGGATTCATAACAGGAGGCTCCTTTTCGAGTGAGATTTTGCAGCCCATTAGAGCTCTCCCCTGTATTCCCACTTAATGTCTCAAACAACTCCGAGGTGCAGGAATTATTATTATCCCCATTTGACAGAGGAGGACGCCAAGGCTCAGAAAGAGGAAGCAATTTTCCCAGCCCAGGAAGGGGCAGAGTTGGTGACCCACCTCCAGGCTCCCTCTCAGTCCCAACACACCCTTTTCCACGTCACGGCACCATCACACTGCTTGTCGGGTTTCGTTTCCTAAGGCTCAGGCAGGACGCAGTTGGGCTTTTCTTGTTTAACTGGCCTCACCAAAATAGTGCATAGAAATGCGAGGGTAAACTCCGGCTGTAACAGTAATAGGGACTAAAGCACATTCTCCTTTTGAAAAATCTGCATTTTTACCAGTTAGTTAAAACTACAGGACGCCATGCAGCGTTCCTTGTAAGTAATACTACGATTTCCATTTCCAACCACCTCACACCAGTCAGAATGGCCATGATGAACAAAGCAACAAGCAAGTGTTGGAGAGGATGCAGAGAAAAGGGAACCCTGGTGCACTGTTGGTGGGAATGCAGACTGGTGCAGCCACTATGGAAAATGGGATGGGATTTCCTCAGAAAACTAAAAATGGACCTGCCTTTTGACCCAGCAATTCCGCTGGTGGGATTATACCCTAAGAGCCCTGAAACAGCATTGGGGAGCCCTATGCACCCCAATGTTCACAGCAGCACTATTTATAATAGCCAAGTGCTGGAAGCAACCTAAGTGCCCATCAGCAAATGAGTGGATCAACAAACTATGATACATTTACACAATGGAATACTATGCAGCAGAAAGAAAGAAGGAGCTCCTACCCTTTGTGACAGCATGGGTGGAACTGGAGAGCATTATGCTAAGTCAAATAAACCAGGCAGTGAGAGACAAATACCATGTATTCTCACCTTTAACTGGAACATAATCAACAAAAGAAAAAAGCAAACAAAATATAACCAGAGTCATTGAAATTAAGAACAATCTAACAATAGCCAGAGGAGAGGGGGGAGGAGACAGTGGGCAAAAGAGTTTTCAGAAACTACTATAAAGGACACATGGACAAAACCAAGGGGGAGGGTGGAAGCAAGGGAGGGAGGGAGGTTTGGAGAGGGGGGTCATGGGGAGAAAATACAACTGTAATTGAACAACAATAAAAAAACTTTAAAAAAAGATTTCCCATTTCCAGGAACTAAGGATTTTTTTTTAAACTTTTTTATTGATTATGCCATTACATTTGTTCTATTCCCCCCTCCGTTCCCCTCCACCCTGCATGCCCCTCCCCCACCATTTCCCCCTTTAGTTCATGAACACGTGTCTCAAATTCTTTAGATTCTGTATTTCCCCTACTATTCTTACCCTCCCCCCTATCTATTTTCTATCTACTGTCTATGCTACTTATTTTCTCTACCTTCTCCCCCCTTCTCCTTCTCCCACTCCCCTGTTGCTAATCCTCCACGTGATCTTCATTTCTATGATTCACTCCTGATCCAGCTGTCCTCTTAATTTGCTTTTGTTTTAGGTGTGGTTGTTGATAACTGTGAGTTTGCTGTCCTTTCACTGTTCAACTTTTTTATCTTCTTTTTCTTAGGTAAGTCCCTTTAACATTTCATATAATAAGGGCTTGGTGATGATGAACTCCTTGAATTTGATCTTATCTGAGAAGCACTTTATCTGTCCTTCCATTCTAAATGAAAGTATTGCTGGATAGAGCAATCTTGGTTGTAGGTCTTTGGTTTTCATGAATTGGAGTACCTCTTTCCAGCCCCTTCTTGCCTGTAAGGTCTCTTTTGAGAAATCCGCTGACAGTCTGATGGGAACTCCTTTGTAGGTGACTGTCCCCTTATCTCTTGCTGCTTCTAGGATTCTCTCCTTCATTTTAATCTTGGCTAATGTAATGATGATGTGCCTTGGTGTGTTTCTTCTTGGGTCCAACTTCTTTGGGACTCTCTGAGCTTCCTGGATTTCCTGGAAGTCTATTTCCTCTGCCAGAATGGGAAAGTTTTCTTTTATTATTTGTTCAAATAAGGTTTCCACTCGTGACTCTTTCCCTTCTGGTACCCCTATAATTCAAATGTTGGAACATTTAAAGATGTCCTGGAGGTTCCTAAGCGTCTCCTCATTTTTTTGAATTCTTGTTTCTTCATTCTTTTCTGTTTGGCCATTATTTGCTTTCTTCTGGTTCACTCCATTGATTTGAGTCCCAGACTCCTTTCCATTACTATTGGTTTCCTTTGCTTTACCATTCACTTCATTTAGTTTAGCTTTCATATGTTTCTCTAGTTTGTGACTAAAATCAACCAGTTCTGTGAGGATCCTGATAACCAGTGTTTTGAACTGTGCATCTGAAAGTTTGGCTATTTCTTCATCGCTTAGATTTATTGGCTCTGGGGCTCTGAGTTGTTCTTGAGCCATTTTTGGTCTGTTCGCGCCTGTAAGTAAGAGGAGTGAAGCCTAGTTGTTTACCAGGGAGGGGCCACCCAGGTCGCTGGTTTGTGACGCTGTGTGTGGGGGCGGGGTCAGAGAGGGAGCAATGGCGGTCCTCTCCACTAGCCCAATGTGTCCCATCCCACCACTCGCCCCAGCCTGTTTATCCGAGCAGAATTGTGCAAGTCTGCTGCCCCGCCCTGTGCGGTTTCAATGTTCACCTCTTCACTGGTCTATCTGCACGCAGATGCGGACCTACTGCAGACCGCCAGCCACGCCTCTTCCCTGTGTGCGCCCGTAGCTAGCCCGCGACCCGCGCCTTCGGCTGCTTCCGCACCAGCAGGTCAGGGATCTTTTTGGTCAACCGGCTCTCTGCTGGCTTCACCCCCCTTACCAGTTTAGCCAAGCATTTCATCCTTTTCTCGGACTCCGTATTGTCGATTTTCTGTGTGGTCTGGTTGTGTTTATCGTTGTTAAAAATAGTTGTTCTTAGATTTGGTTGTGCATGGAAGCAAGGTGGGTCCACCTACGCCTCCATCTTGGCGGAAGTCCTCAGGATTTATTATTATTTTTTTATGTCAAAGCTCACATTATAGACACCGCCTTGGCAAAAACAACAAACATATCCAATATGCCCAGACTCTCTGCCGTCAAGGGTTGAGGGCCCCTCCGGAGCAGGCCCGAAGTGTCTCCTGTCACCTTCTTTCTGATGCAGGATGGTGGGGGGGAGCAGACCACTGCAGTGCCCCAGGGGCCCCGGGGTCTCCCAGCTATTGGTTTGCCTGCTCTCTGACCACTGTGGCCAATCGGTTGGGCCTGGTGGTCTAATTCGCAGAGCAGCCGAGCTTCCCAACACCAAAGCAGGCCTCTGTGAGTTCGCCCGGCACCATTCAGAAATCTGCCAGCTCCTCTTCAGCTGATTCCTAGGCATTTAAACATACTTCCTCAGGGACACTGTGTGTCCCTGCAAACAGGCTGGGGCCCCTACTCCCCCTGCACTTCTGTTCCAAGGCACTTGCAGTTATTTACTCAATCGTGTCCATTGCTTAGTGGCAGCTTCCTGGCTCCACTGTAAGCTCCTTGTGGGCAAGGTCTGGGTCTGTTCTGTTCACCATGACCTCCTGGGCCTGGCACACGGCTGGAAACGTTACAGCGATTCCTCACTGCACTCGGGCATCAGAAGACCCACGTTCTAGTCTTGGTTTTGCCCCTGGAGGAGATTTGGGACAAGCCTCTTCCTCTCTTTGGTAGCCGATAAAACAGGGGAGTTGGACACTCTGGTATTTCTTTTCTCTGTAGCTCTTACGAAGTATTTCATTATCTTATGTTGTTTGAAACTGAAAACAAAACCACATGGCCTGTGTGCATCCAAATGTGGGTGTGGATTTCCTTCTGTAAGTGTGAAGGGGGCTCAGGGGCACGAGGGACCGAGTGAACGGGAGGAGCTCCGGGAGGTTTCCTGCAGGAAGGTGGCGGGAAGTCTCCATGGTTACAGGGAAAAGCACAAGACAGGCTAAGCTAAGTAAGCCATGATTGCGGTGGATGAGGTCTATTAAATGCATTTTGACTTACAGTATTTTCAACTTATGATGGGTTTATCGAGACAACCCAATTGTAAATTGAGGAGCATCTGTATTTGAAAAACTATAGGTAGTACATAAAAACAAAGATATATAATTTTCTTTTAAATTAATTTCGTTAAAAAATAAGTCTATTTGAATAAAAGAAATACAGGTGTTCTTAGGGCAAAAATCACGAGGTCAGCATGCACATGATTGAAATTTGGGAAACCCAGCTTTGTGGAAATCCATGGAGCCCACGATGAGCCGAGTTGAGACAGGCAGCCTCACTCTCTGCTTCACTCACCCTCAGTGAGGGATCCTGAGTTACTCAGTCTTACTTCCCAGCCCCTGTGATGCTAGTGTGCTTATCAATGGTCAGCAGACTTGTATCGATAGGTAATTGTGAACCAGACCTAATCCTAGATGATTGGTTCCTAGATCCTTGTCCCGCGGAATTTAGATTCCAGCGGAAGGAGACATACACTGAACAGTAAAGATAATAACTAGGGGATTGGCCTTGAATGTTGGAAGGTGATCACAGCTATGGGAAAAGGAAAATGTAAGGCAAAGTAAGGGAGATTGGGAGTGGTTGAGGGAGGAGTTGCATTTTAAACTGG